AAACCAGAGTCCTTTCTGTTGGGTATAATTCAGACAGAAATTCCTAGGTGTCCGAAAAGGTTATTTATGCATGCAACAACTGCAGTCAGTGTTTTGCTAGCCCTCAAATGGAAAACGAGTGAGGTCCAAACCAAAGAATGGCAACTTAAGTTGACAGAACATGCACAACTTGCAGACTTAACATATAGAATAAGAAACAAGAAGAACATATGTTTAGAGAAGACTGGAAATGTTTACTGAACATATGGAAAATAATTGTGTACAGCTGAAAACCCTGGCAGCATTAAGATAAACTCAACAGTGTAAATACATTTTGATGGATGCAATAATGGAATACTGAATGGTATAGTTTTTGTAAAATATGCAGGGATTTATGTTATGTAAAATGAACCATGGAAAGAGAAGAAGGGAAGTCATTGACACCTTAAGGATGTAAATTGAGTATTTGAAATTGTAAAACAGAAAATTTAATAAAAAATATAAAATAGAAAAACAAACGACATGAAACATTCTGAATAAACCTTAGGAATAATTTTCTGATGGCAAGAGCTGGTAAGACCTGTTCAGCAGTGGAATGGTACTCCTCAATGGATATTTTGAAGCAGAGGTTGGATGGCATAATGTCATGAATTCTTTAGCTGTGATTCCTGTATTGCACAGGGTTATGACTACAGGGGTCAGCAAACTTTTTTCAGCAGGGGGCTGGTCCACTGTCCCTCAGACCTTGTGGGGGGCTGGACTATATTTTTTGGGGGAATGAACTAATTCCTATGCCCCACAAATAACCCAGAGATGCATTTTAAATAAAAGGACACATCCTACTCATGTAAAAACATGCTGATTCCCGGACCGTCCGCGGGCTGGATTGAGAAGGCGATTGGGCCGGATCCGGCCCCTGGGCCTTAGTTTGCCTACCCATGGAATAGACTGACGCTCTGGGTCCCTTTCAACTCTGCAATTCTGTGATTTTTATCAATGCACAACACACAATGCCTGGCTGCACTTTCCCCTGACGCAGTTTGGCTTCACTGAAACCACCCCTTTTTTTTTGCAGGTGGGGCATCGCTTTGCTGCTAGGAGAAAACAACAGCAGCTTGGTGGTTAGGAAAGTCACCTGTACAGGTGGGAGGGGAGGAGGCCCAGCTGGCAAGCATCTCTGCTCCAGTGGGAAAAACATGAAGGTAAGCAACCAAGCAGACCTGTGAGTTCAGCACTTGTGTGAGGAGCAGGCTGAAGGGGGGTGCCTCAGATTTCCCCCTTGCTTGAATTTACAAACACCGGAGATCTGAAGTTCACAGCACATTATTCATTGAAGGACAACTTCCTGAAAATGATTTATAGATGGTATCTAACCCCGAGCAGACTTGCTAAAATGTTTAAGTCTGAATCAGATAAGTGCTGGAGGTGCAATGAGGTAGAGGGTATGTTTTATATGTGGCAGACTTGTTTTTTATATATACAGTGTGTATGTATATATGTTGTTGTTGTTGTTTAGTCGTTTAGTCATGTCCAACTCTTCGTGAACCCTTGGACCAGAGCACGCCAGGCACTCCCATCTTCCACTGCCTCCCGCAGCTTGGTCAAACTCATGCTGGTAGCTTCGAGAACACTGTCCCACCATCTTGTCCTCTGTCGTCCCCTTCTCCTTGTGCCCTCCATCTTTCCCAACATCAACATCAGGGTCTTTTCCAGGGAGATTATATATATATATATATATATATGTTATGCCTACTGGCGTGGTTGCTCGAGAGCGAACTGGCAAGATCCCCCCTGGTCTTTTCAAAGGCTTTATTATCGGTGCAAAAATATTTACAGTGCAGAACGTCTCAATTCAATGTCTTGCTCAGTCACTAGCAGAATCTGAGAGGGGGTGGTCCTTAAACTTTCTGAGAGGGGGCGGTCCTTAAACTTTCTGAGAGGGGGCGGTCCTTAAACTTTCTGAGAGGGGGCGGTCCTTAAACTTTCTGAGAGGGGGCGGTCCTTAAACTTTCTGAGAGGGGGCGGTCCTTAAACTTTCCCCAGCAGAGTAGTCTCTTGACCCCCAGCCTACGCCTCCCCTCTCTGCGCGAAAGCCTACTGCGCAAGGAAGGCCTGGGGTAAAGTGGGACCTCCCTCCTCCCCGCTTTGCTCAGGCAAGGTGTCCTGGCACCGCCTTGCATCCTCCGAGCCCTGCATCTCCTCCCCACTAGAGGCGTGGCTTCCTTCCTCCGCGGAGGAAGTGCTGCTTCTCACAATGTTTGGAAGCTCCCTGTAACCCAGCTGCCCTTCCACCTCTCGCCTCTGAGCCTCTCTCTCTCTCTCTCTGATTTTCTTTTCTCAGAATAAGTATCCATTTTCCAATCCCCCCCCCCCCGTTGACTTCCCTCAACTACCATTTCTGGTTTATTACATCAGATGATACATTCTGCTGTTTATATACAATATTATGTTATCACATGGTTATACTTCTTGTTCTCTGTAAATAAAGTTGCAAATGTTTATTTAAATCCTGCCAACGAGACTGTTTCTATATGTGGTGGACTTGTAAAAGGGTAAAAAAAGTATTGGGAAATGATCCACAATGAATTGGGGGGAAATGTTTAAAAGTACATTTCCAAAAACCAGAGTCCTTTTTGTTGGGGATAATTCAGACAGAAACTCTCAGTGTCAAAAAAGATTATTTATGTATGCTACTACTGCGGCCCGTGTTTTGCTAGCCCAAAAACAAAAAACTAGCAAGGTCCCAACCAAAGAAGAATGGCAACTTAAATTGATGGAATATGTGCAGCTTGCAGATTTAACATATAGAATAAGAAAACAAGGAGAACATGCGTTTAAAGAAGACTGGGAAATGTTTACTGATTATTTGGGTGAAAGTTCTGTACATTTAAAAACACTGGTAGCATGAAGATAAATTCAACAGTGTAAACATGTTTTGATGGTGTAACAATGGATTACTGAATGCTTTAGTTCATGTAAAATATGCAGGGGTGTATGGCATGCAAAATGAACCACGGAAAGAGAAGAAGGGAAGTCATTGATTTAAGGTTGTCTAAATGATTATCTTGAAATGTAAATTAGAAAAACTTAATAAAAACTATTTTTTAAAAAACGAATTTACAAACCCCAACTTTCTAGGTAAACAAGTTTAAATATAATAATAATAAAATTTTATTTATACCCCGCCCAGAGCCAGGCTCAGGGCGGCTAACACCAAAAAAATTACAATAAAACATAATGGGGGGGGGGGGGACACAAAGAAACAAAAACCAGTTTATTAAAATGCGGGTTGAAATACAATTTAAAATGCAACCTCATTTTAAAAGTAGCCCATAGATCAAGACCATAAAGTGAGGGAAACATAAGGGTCAGACTGAGTCCAAACCAAAGGCCAGGCGGAACAGCGCAGTCTTGCAGGCCCTGTGGAAAGATGTCAAGTCCCACAGGGCCCTAGTCTCTTGGGACAGAGCGTTCCACCAAGTCGGGGCCAGTACTGAAAAGGCCCTGGCCCTAGTTGAGACCAATCTAACCACCTTGCGACTTGGGACCTCCAAAGTGTTGTCATTTGTAGACCTTAAGGTCCTCTGTGGGGCAGACCAGGAGAGGCAGTCCCGTAGGGACGAGGGTCCTAGGCCGCATAGGGCTTTAAAGGTCAAAACCAGCACCTTAAACCTGACCCTGTACTCCACCAGGAGCCAGTGAAGCTGGTAAAGCACTGGATGAATGTGTTCCTGCGGCGAGGACTCCGTAAGGAGCGTCGCCACGGCATTCTGCACCCGCTGGAGTTTCTGGGTCAGCACAGTTATGTAGGGAGAAAACCACCTGGGGTATTGGGGTTTCCTTGTATATCATAAAGGAGTGCCAAGTTCCAGGTATTACTCTTAGTATATACAGTCATTGGAAATGGCTTACCTACAAGATTGCTTTAGTCCCTAGGTGCCAACTTGACAGGTGCCCCATAACTGCACTGCATTTTTAAGAACTCGGCCCTTTCGTACAGCAGCACACACTATGGAACTCCTTGCCTGTTTATATCAGCCAGCCCCTTCACTGCACTTTTCTTGGCATCTGCTAATAAATACTTGTTTCGACAAATATGTTAGATATTTAGGAAGTTGATGCAAGTCTTAATATGTTTTTAGCCTATTGTTTAGCTTTGCGAAAGCCTTACTCTTGTTTATTTTTCTTATTGACTATTTTATTGTTTTATCCTTTTTGTGTAAACTGCTTTGAGGGATGGTTGGGTTTTGTTTGTTTTATTTTTTACAATGAAGTGATGTTTAGATTTTATGAAATAAAAACAGTGGAAATAGTGAGTGGCTGCAAGGAAGAATTAAGAGGCTAATGAAAAGACTGAGGATTAAAAACAGGGATTGCAAATTATTATTTTTAAACAAATTGCTGCTCACTGTTGCCAAGTGGGTCTGGCGCTGATGGCGCTGTCGCAATCTGCCTCTGCTCTGTTATTCAGGCAACGCACTTAGGATTGATTTTTCTGTGCCATTTAGGGCAAGAGAGCAAGCTGGATCAACATCTGTTCAGAAAAGGACACATCCCCAACCAACCAGCTTCCTTCCTTTCCTGGAACAGCTTAGCGCACAGCTGGAGGAGCTCGCAGACCACAACTGCTCATCGCCTGTGTTGACATCTTATGCCAGGGGTCAGCAACCTTTTTCAGCCGTGGGCCGGTCCACCATCCCTCAGACCATGTGGGGGGCTGGACTATATTTTGGGGGAAAATATGAACGAATTCCTATGCCCCACAAATAACCCAGAGATGCATTTTAAATAAAAGGACACATTCTACTACGTACCTCTCCTGGTATGCCCTGCGGAGGACCTTAAGGTCCTCAAATGACAACACTTTGGAGGTCCCAAGTTGAAAGGTGGTTAGATTGGTCTCAACTACGGCCAGGGCCTTTTCAGTACTGGCCCCGAGTTGGTGGAACGCTCTGTCACAAGAGACTAGGGCCCTGCGGGACTTGACATCTTTCCGCAGGGCCTGCAAGACAGAGCTGTTCCGCCTGGCCTTTGGTTTGGACTCAGTCTGACCCTTATGTTTCCTTCCCCTTATGGTCTTGATCTATTGGCTACTTTTAAAATGAGGCAGGGTATTAAAAAAATGTATTATTATTTATTAATTATTATTATTACTCATGTAAAAACACGCTGATTCCCGGACTGTCCACGGGCCGGACTGAGGCGGCCATTGGGCTGCATCCGGCCCCGGGCCTTAGTTTGCCTACCCCTGTCTTATGCAGCCACCGCTCTGTACATTAAGCCAGCCACAGGGTCATGGAAACAAAACCACACAGAGCCTGGCAACCAGTTGCACGTAATGGCTGTGAGACAGAGCACCCAGGATCCAGAGGGGTCAGTGCGGTTGCAGAGGGGCACATTTGTAGATAAAACAACAAAGACCCTTGCAGCGTCTTTGTGATAAACAGGTTTATTGTGATGAACCCACATTCTCAGATACATTTCAGCAGAGGCATTTTGCTGGGGCCCGGGTGGTGCACTCTGGGTGCCCTTGAAATGGCACAGAGGACTCTAGGGTTGTGTGAAGCCACTTTTCATGCCCCCAGCACTGCTGCTGCTGCTGCCCAAGAGAATTGCCTGAGCTGCCAGTATATTTGGGGTGGGGCAGGGAGGCTAAATCCAAAGGACATTCTGGCCACAAAAGGCAACGCAGCTTTGAGCTCTGGGCTTTTCAGTCCATTTGAAGCTGCAGTAGGTTTCTGTAAATTAAGTGAGTATATCGAATTGGCAAAATTAACTTCAATTATAAGATATCAATCAAATCAAAAGTTAAGAATGGAGTGGAAGTATTTCGAAGATTATATGTCAAAATATTGTTCTAAAAATGCTATGCTAATAGGCTTAGACTAAAAAATGTAAGCAATAACAAAACCAATAAAGAAAGAAGGAAAAATCAGAATTTAACAAAAATAATTTATTATAGAATGCAAGGGGAAAAGGTAGAAAGAAATATAAATAAGTCGAATTGCTGTGGAGGGGAAGTGGAGGGTGGGTGGTGGGTTTTATAATTAAGTGTATAATTATGCAGCTGTTGTAATTTGGATATTATATTTTATGTGAGGGAATCATTGGGAATTTTGGTTATTATGTACCGTATTTTTCGCTCTATAACACGAACCCGACCATAACACGCACATAGTTTTTAGAGGAGGAAAATCTGTAGGCATGCCACCCGTAGGCATTTCCTCCATAACACGCACAGACATTTCCCCTTACTTTCTAGGAGGAAAAAAGTGAGTGTTATGGTGCAAAAAATACGGTATATATGTTAAGTTTCAGTAAAGATCTTTGAGGGGGGGGGAATAGATTTTTGACTTTATTTAAGACCAAGTCTGGACTACGGAGGTGAGATGAACTGCAGATGGGAAAAGAAGCCACCTTCTCTGCTGAGCCCAGCTCAGTTTCCATCCCTTCTTACACCTGTTGTGTTTTGATTTGTTTATCTAGCAGATAAGGAAACACTATCCCGAAAGAGGACCTTCCAATGGGCCAGGAAGGTCCAGCGTCAGGGGCGAGGCTCTCCTCCCGCCAGCAGGAGGTCCAGGTAGGCCCCTGCCAGAAGGTCCTCCTGGCAAACGCCCAGCTCCTTCATCAGCTGCCGGGCCACCTCTTCGCCATCCTGGGGGCTCTGTTGCTCCTGAAGAACCACCTACGGGGATGGAACAGAACCTAAGAAGAGCTGGCTGGGCAAGGCCGAGGGCCCTTCCAGTCCACCATCCTGCTCTCACGTTGGCCAACCAGATACCCCAAAGGCAAACCCACAAGCATAATTTGAGCAAAAGAGCAGCTCTCCCCTCCTGAGGTTTCAAGCAACTGGGATTCAGAAGCATTTACTGCCTCCAACCATGGAGGCAGAGTCTAGCTATCCTGGCTTGTGGACATCGCTATCCCTCTCCCCCTCCATGAGTTTCTCTAACCCTCTTTGAAAGTCATCCAAGTTGGTGGCCGGGAAGGCGATTCCACGTAACGTGTTGTTGGAACGTCTTCTGTGTTTCCTGCTCTAGGGGGAGATCCCCTTGGGCAAGGCGAGTGGGCTGGTCTACCAGTGAGGTGGAAAACCTAGACTGAAGCCAATTCTGAGTGTGCATGTCAATAATAATAATAATAATATTATATTATTTATACCACGCCCATCTGGCTGGGCTTCCCCAGCCACTCTGGGCAGCTTCTAGAAAAATATTAAAATACTGTAATACATCAAACATTAAAAGCTTCCCTAAACAGGGCTGCCTTCAGATGTCTTCTAAAAGTCTGGTAGTTGTTTTTCTCTTTGACATCCGATGGGAGGGCGTTCCACAGGGCGGGCGCCACTACCGAGAAGGCCCTCTGCCTGGTTCCCTATAACTTGGCTTCTCGCAGTGAGGGAACCGCCAGAAGGCCCTTGGAGCTGGACCTCAGTGTCCGGGCAGAACGATGGTGGTGGAGACACTCCTTCAGGTATACCGGACCAAGGCCGTTTAGGGCTTTCAAGGTCAGCACCAACACTTTGAATTGTGCTTGGAAACGTACTGGGAGCCAATGTAGGTCTTTCAAGACCAGTGTTATATGGTCTCGGTGGCCGCTCCCAGTCACCAGTCTAGCTGCTGTATTCTGGATTAGTTGCAGTTTCTGGATCACCTTCAAAGGTAGCCCCATGTAGAGCTGTCTGCGGACAGGTAGGGTCTCAGCCTGCTTACCAGATGGAGCTGGCAGACAGCTGCCCTGGGCACAGAACTGACTTGCGCCTCCATGGACACCTGGGAGTCCATAATGACTCCCAGGCTGCGCACCTGGTCCTTCGGGGGCACAGTTACGCCACTCAGGACCAGGGAGTCCTCCACACCTGCCCACCTCCTGTCCCCCAAAAACAGTACTTCTGTCTTGTCAGGATTCAACCTCAATCTGTTAGCCGCCATCCATCCTCCAACCGCCTCCAGACACTCACACAGGACCTTCACTGCCTTCACTGGTTCTGATTTAAAAAAGAGGTAGAGCTGGGTATCATCCGCCTGCTGATGAACACCCAGCCCAAACCCCCTGATGATCTCTCCCAGGGGCTGTATGTAGATGTTGAAAAGCATGGGGGAGAGGACAGAACCCTGAGGGACCCCACAAGTGAGAGCCCAGGGGTCTGAACACTCATCCCCCAACACCACTTTCTGGACATGGCCCAGGAGGAAGGAGGGGAACCACTGCATAACAGTGCCCCCAGCTCCCAGCCTCCATCTTCAAAGCAGAGTCTGCTGCAGTCCTGGTAGGGTGGTTCTGGATGGGGCCTCATCAGGTCTAGGCAGGGAGCTGCAGCGATTAAACAAAAGCACCCCTATGCTGCCCCCTCACCTGTATAGATAATATAGAGGACTCTCTGCCCAACTCCATAACTAGAACCCAATTTAGCAAGACGGTTTGATTTGGTTTCTTGTCTTCTGGTTTCCTCGCATCCCTTGCCAAAAGAAGCTGGAAGAACTCTGCCTGCACTTCTGTCCAGTCCCCCTGACCTGCCTAGATTTCTTCCACCTCCCCTCGGATCTGCTACCTTGACCAGATTCCTCTCCCCTGGTGCAACCAGATCGCACTGGGCCTTTATTCCACTTTGCTCCTTTCTCCAGGCCAAATCCTGCCTTCGGTCTCAACTCCCAAGCCTCTTGTCTGAGCAATGCCTCCCTCCAGGGCCAGATTTCACGTCCGCCGGCTGACCTAGCACCCCCAGCTACCCTCACCTCCAGCTCCATGAAGTCGCCCAGCCCTTCCACACGATCCACATGGACACGGGTCTGGCCCACCAGGTAGAGGCGCCGCTCCTTCTTCACTGTCCCCTGCACCCCAAGGGCCTGGGACAGCACAGCCTGCAAGGGGAAGAGCGAGTGGGGGTCAGGCAGAGGGAGGGCAGCATTCACACATGCACATATCAGGTTCTCCACCAGGTCTACCAACCAGCCTGCGCATGCCACACGAAAGGTCCTGAGTTCGGACCCTGATTGAAAGGCTCTCAAGGGAGGAGAGCTGGGAAAGGGCTCTCCTCCTCTGCATCTCAGGCCTTGGACAGCAGCTGCCAGTCAGAGGAGGTCAGCGGCAGCAATATTATTCGCTGGGTTCACATCCCGCCTTTCTGCTAAGGCACCCAAAGCAGTTTACAATTCAAACACTAAAACAAATGCATTACTGCGGTACCTTGGTTCTCAAACGCCGAAAACCCGGAAGTAAGTTGGCGGGGTATAAATTATTATTATTATTAGGGATTCCCCCATCCAGGTGGGCTTCTGGGCAGCATCCAGGAGCCTTTAGAAAGCACAGCGAGAAACAGCTCCCCCCCCCCCAAGGAATTACCGTAAGCCCGGTGGGATCATCCGTGGGTGAGATGGCATAATGTGAGAGCTTGGGGCCTTCGGCGTCAGGGCGGTTATAAAAGACCAGCTGCCCACGGCCGTCCTGGGAAGAGAAGATTTGGCGTCAGCCCATGGGAGATGAAACAGCTGCCCCCGAGATGAAAGGAAGTTCGTGGTATGACCATTTTCATTCATCAGGATGTGAAGTATGCCCCTGTTTCCCCTGCACCGTCCTATTTCCCAGAATTCAGTCTGAGAAGAAATGCAACATGCCACAAATGGATTCCCTCCCTCCAGGGCGGTGTATAAATAATAAAATTATTATTATCTCATTTTTGCAAATGTAGCTCTTATTTTCTTTTTGTTTGCAATTTTCAGGACTTCCGGGGTGGCGCCATCGGTAATGGCGGACTCCCTCTGATCTGGAGGGACCAGCTCTACGGGAATCGGGTCTGCTCCGCTGCGGCGAGCTGGGACCCTTGAAAAAATCACAGGCGGGTGAAGCCTGTGACCGTGGGACTCGGCGGGCACCTTTTGCACCCCCCCAATTTGCAAAGGAGCCCGATTACGGAGAATGGCAGATGAAGGTGATGGACTATATGGAACTGGCGGAAATGACTGGCAGAATCCGAGACCAGGGAGAAGAGTTGGTGGAAGAAGATTGGAAGAAATTTAAAGACTATCTACAGAAATACTGCAAAATTAATGAATGTTAGAATGATGTCAGAATGAAGTTAAGTGATTTTAGCAGTAATGTTATTAAGGTGTATGTAAAAATGGATTGTTAACAGGTGAAAATCTAAAGTTATAATATATTAAGTTAAAGGATTAAGACAAAAACAAAGAGGGAAAGGAATTGCTGAATTAATTAATAGAACTGGAATACAAAAAAGGGAGGTGTGAGGAGGTCAGGGAAGCAAGGAAATGAAATGTAAGGCATGGAAAGATTGATGTGTTTTTTAAGTGTTTTTTATCTTTTTTCTGTATTTTGTATTTTTCTTTCTTTCTTATTTCTTTCTTTTTTTCCCTTTTTATTTATGTAATCTTTTCTTTGAAACTTTAATAAATATCATTTAAAAAAAAATATTTGCAATTTTCAATTTTATACACTTCAATAAATTTACAATCATTTTAACATTTCTTCCTTCCCCCTCTTTCTGCAGTTCCTTAAATTTATTTTTTACATTTTCTGCATATTCCAAATTAACTTATTCATTTATTCTTCTACTTTAAATATATATTCTTATAAAACTGCAGGTTATTGCAATAATCCTGCCTATGTTCTTATCTGTTTACAGTGTGTTTGTAAATATTCAACAAACCATTTCCATTCTTTTATAAACAGTTTGTTATCTTGATTTCCTATTCTTCCGGTAAGTTTCGCCATTTCTGCGTATTCCCTAGATTTTTGTATCCATTCTTTTGCTTCTTTCCACTTTTGGGCGAGTGACAGTCTTGCTGCTATTGTCGCATACATGAATAAATTTCTATACCTTTTAGGTAGTTCTGTCCTTATAATTCCTGAAAGAAAAGCTTCTGGGTTTTTTTACAAAGGTTATTTTAAGCATCCTTTTCAATTCATTATGCATCATTTCCCAGTAAGCTTTAACCTTACTACATATGATAAAAAGAACCTTTTTTCTCTTGCAAATGTGGCTTTTCAATCACCACTACCTAAAAGGAATGGAGATTTTTCAGCTCCCCACCTGTAAAAATGGGTCCTGGCCTCTCCCTCACAAGATCTTTCGGAAGAAAAATCATACGAGTCCACAAAGCACTCTGGAAACTGAAAGGATCCTTGAGAAGGGATTTAAAGTACTACTAGAGATGGTTATCAGGCTCTTGACTTCGACCGCTGCCTAGTTCTGAGCTAAGAGAACTCCAGAATGGCCTCACCCTTGGACTGACGACAGATTTCCTGTCTAATAATTTATCCACCCACCTGCAGAGTTTAAACTTTGGTCTCCTGGAGGCTGACGGCTCGCTTGTGAGGTCAGTCCAATAAAGCAGGGGGAAACGGGCAGCAGTTGGAAGTTCAAGGCCAGGGCTGGGGACCCGTCTTCAGCTCAAGGGCCACGTGTCAATGGTGGGTGGAGCCAGAGGCGAAAGTGGGTGGGGCAATAAAAAAAGAGATGTTTACCTGTGTGCAGTAAAGGTAAAGGGACCCCTGACCATTACGTCCAGTCATGTCTGACTCTGGGGTTGTGGCGCTCATCTCGCTTTACTGGCCGAGGGAGCCGGCGTGCAGCTCAGGTCATGTGGCCAGCAGAACTAAGCCGCTTTTGGCAAACCAGAGCAGCGCATGGAAACGCCGTTTACCTTCCCGCCAGAGCAGAACCTATTTATCTACTTGCACTTTGTGCTTTCAAACTGCTAGGCTGGCTGGAGCAGGGACAGAGCAACGGGAGCTCACCCCGTCGCGGGGATTCAAACCGTCGACCTTCTGATTAGCAAGTCCTAGGCTCTGTGGTTTAACCCACAGCGCAACCCGAGTCAATGGTGGGTGGAGCCAGAGGCGAAAGTGGGTGGGGCAATAAAAAGAGATGTGCAGTAGGTACACACAAAACAACCTGCTCTATCGTCTGACCCAGTGGTTCTCAAAGGGAGTGGTTTGCCATATGGGTGTGGCAGGGAGATTCAAGGATAATCAAAGAAACATTCAAATATTTCGATGTAGTATAGCACAGTATCATTTTATATATATCTATATCTATACACAATGGTACCTTGGGTTAAGTACTTAATTTGTTCCGGAGATCCGTTCTTAAGCTGAAACTGTTCTTAACCTGAAGCACTACTTTAGCTAATGGGGCCTCCTGCTGCCGCCGCACGATTTCTGTTCTCATCCTGAAGCAAAGTTCTTAACCCGAGGTAATACTTCTGGGTTAGCGGAGTCTGTAACCTGAAGCATATGTAACCTGAAGCGTATGTAACCCGAGGTACCACTGTGTGTGTGTGTATATATATATATATATATATATATATATTCAAGAGCATTGGCCATTCTTCTACAGTTCTCCATGTCACATTGTTGTGAACAGGGATTTTCAACTCTGACCAATCTGAAAGATTAGAAAAGAGAAACTCTTCTTTGTGTAGATGAAGAGAGTTTGTTTGTCTCAAATTAGACCTAATATAAATGAGATTATCCGGCAAAAAATCAATCTCACTCACACCTCTCATTGAGTATGTATGCATATTTAAGGTACATACATAAGAGGCTCGTTTATAATTATATTTTGGGAATGATTCATGTTCTTATGTAGTTGCATCGTTTTATACACCTGGATGCCCCATGATTATATTCTAAAGAAGTTGCGTTCTGCATTGTTCCTTTTTGTTTTCCCACGTATTTCTTATCAATTTAAAAAAATGATGTGGCGCAAGCGAATTTTTATTCTGAGAACCACTGCTCTGACTAGACAAAGAAGCAGATTATCAGAGTTCAGAGACACCCTCCATCTAAGCACGGAAAGACTCCCATCTGCTCACTCACCCTGAAGTCCCGAAGTTTCAGTCGCCCGTTGGGGGCAGGAAAAAAAGTGTCTGTCTGAAGAATGACACAGCCTGGGGATCCGCTCAGCCGCTCAGCGTTCCTTAGTAGCTCTGCCCGGTCCCGAACCCGCGCCTTGATCTCCACGTTTGCTGGCATCTGGAAGAAAACAGCGAAGTTCAAAAGAGGCAAATAAGATTATCCAGTGCAGGGGTTTTCAACGTCCTGGAAAACTCTTTGCAAATCCTTGCACACCAAGGTGTCCTCACTACCCAAACCACAGGTCTGCCATGGAACCAGCATTGCAGAGAATTCTCTCATTGTATGCAGGGAGCTGGTCAGTTTCTCTGTTGCCCCAGTTTGGCAAATTCCCCCTCTGGCTACGAACCTTAGGAATCTCAGGGGGAAGAATTTGTATATAAAAAAAGACTTGAATACTGCTATATTATAAAAGAAAAATATATCAAAGCGGTTTACAGCAATAAAACCATAAAACCATAACATAAAGCCATCAGGAAGTTAAAAACAGACACCCAAGGAACAGAAACGTGAGGTAGGACTTTATGGATAAACGTGACCCATTCCAGACACATTTTAACACCCCATCACCAGCATTGCTCTGCTTCTGTTTGTCTAAATTTAAGAACCTAAAAAGATGCTACTGGATTGGGCCAAAGGGGGGCCATCTAGTCCAGCCTCCGGCTCTCACAGTGGCTGATCAGATGCCTGTGGGAAAACTGGAAGCAGGATCCGAGCGCAAGAGCAACTCTCCCCTCCTGCAGCTTCCAGAACCTAGGACTCAGGAGCATGGCTGCCTCAGAGCATAGGCCCTGAATAGCCCTCTCCTCCTCCATGAATTTGTCTAATCCTCTTTGAAAGCAATTGGGATTGGTAGTTGTCACTGGCTCCTGTGGCAGGGAGTTCCAGAGTCCAAACTATGCACTATGTTGTGGAAGACTTTCCTTTGCGACCCCGCCTGATAGCCTGCTCCCTAAAATATCCCTTGTTTGCTCATTTCTATATAGAGGGTGCCTACATTCTGCTATTTATAAAAATTAGTAGTTTGCATGGTTTTCCCAGTAGTGATGTATGGAAGTGAGAGCTGGACCATAAAGACAGCTGCTCGCCAAAGAATGGATGCTTTTGAATTCTGGTGCTGGAGGAGACTCTTGAGAGGCCCATGGACTACAAGAAGATCAAACCTCTCCATTCTGAAGGAAATCAGCCATGAGTGCTCACTGGAAGGACAGATCCTGAAGCTGAGGCTCCAAGACTTTGGCCTCCTCATGAGAAGACTCGACTCCCTGGAAAAGACCCTGATGTTGGGAAAGATGGAGGGCCCAAGGAGAAGGGGACGACGGAGGACAAGATGGTTGGACAGTGTTCTCAAAGCTACCAGCATGAGTTTGATCAAACTGCGGGAGGCAGTGGAAGACAGGAGTGCCTGGCGTGCTCTGGTCCATGGGGTCACAAAGAGGCGGACACGACTAAACAACAGCAACAAAGTAGTTTGCATTATATATTTACAGCAATTATTATTTCATGTTATAGCAAGTTTCTAGAGACTAGATTACGAGTCTTTGTCAATTGTGTTTCCAAAGGAACTTTTGTTATTGCCAAATGCCCATGTGCATGCATTATTAAGTTTGTTATGAATAAAAAATCATGTTAAGTTATTTAACTATTCATTATTCACTTCTTCTTAACTGTATTTCAGTTCAACAATTACTTTGCTAAAATACATATTTTGTGATGTGCAAATGGCTTGAGATACCTATTAGGTCCATCAATGACCATATAGCATCTATTCCACACAAAAAACAACGTGGGCAAAGGACAGCTGGACATATCAAGGGCCCCATTACCTTCAGGAGCTGAGGGCCTCATCCAACCTGAATCCGGCCCTGCCCCCCACCCACCTCACCCCATGCTCTATATCTCAAGCACTGGGGTTGCAGAAGCTGAACCCACCGTCAGTCCCAAAGCTTGGCCGGAGTCCCCAAGCCCGACCCCGACCCGCCTGCGCGTTCCCACAAGCACTCGAACACGTGTCTCCCGCGCCCAAGCTTCCCTTCTCCCTGACCGCTGTGATTGGCCTCCCGCTGCAGAGGCGGGTCTGGAGCGGCGGCTCCGGATTGGCCGCGGGCTTACGGGGTGGGGCCTCACCAAGGCCGCACCCACCTCTCCGTCACCAGCTCGGTCGACGTTGACGCCGCGAGAGGCCAATCAAAGCCGGAGCCAAGGAGGACGCGCGGCGAATGAGAGGGAAAGGGGCCGTCCAAGCGACGGAGAGGCGATTGGGCGGGCCGGGGCCCGGTGGGTGGGGCGAAGGCCCGGCGCGTCCGCCATTGGCCGAGGCGCTGAGGCGAGCGGCGCTCTGATTGGCGGGCCCCGGCCAGCGCAGGCGAGCGGGCCGCGGGATGGAGTCGCCTGAGGGAAACGGGTCCGGAGGGGACTTCGCCGTGCCCAGCTCGCCCCGGGGCTCCCCGGCCGTGCCCGGGCCCACGCGCCTCCGCGCCTTCCTCTGGTGCCGGGAGTTCCTGGCCGGCGCTTGGCGCTGCCTGGCGGCGCCCGAAGACCTCGGCATCGTCCCCGTCAGGTGAGCCCCGCCCCCACCGCCGTAATGCGCCCAAGAGCCGCGCCGAGTGACGTCAGCCTCGCTCCACTCGCCGCTGCTGCCGTAGAGCGTGGAATAGCGGCGCACCAGCTTTCCAGGCCTGGGCTTCCCTTCCCCGAGGAGGGAGCGGGGTTCGAATCTCGCCCGTGAACCAACCTCGCAGGGTTGCTATGTCTGTGTGTGTGGGGGGGGTGAAATGGGGCTAGAATCTCAGGCTAGCCAACCTCGCAGGGCTGGCGTGGGGGTGAAATGGGCAGTGTGGCGCAGTGGTTAGAGCGCTGGACCAGGACCTGGGAGAGAGCAGGGCTTGATGCCATGGACCTTGGGGGCCGGGCACCATCTCTACCAGCCTAGCCTACCAGGAAGGGTTGGCATGGGGTGAAATGGGGAGGGGAGGCAGTGTGGTGCAATGGTTAGAGCGCTGGACCAGGACCTGGGAGGGAGCTGGGCTTGATGCCATGAACCTTGGGAGCCAGGCACCACCTCTCCCAGCCTAGCCTACCTGGAAGGGTTGGCGTGGGGGTTCAAACGAAGACTAGGATCTGGGGGAAAGCACAGTTCCAAGTTTTGCCTCTCTGCCATAGGTTGGCCTTGGGGGCAGGTCACTGCCCCTCAGCCTGACCTACCTGGCAGGGCTGTTGTGGGAGAGGTTAAATGGGGAGGAGAGGCAGTGCGGTGTAATGGTTAGAGTGTCAGAATAGAACCTCAGAAAGATCAGGGTTCGAATCCCCCTGCAACTGTGCCATGAAGCTCCCTGTGAGGGCCAGTCGCTGTCTTCCGTCAGCCTGACCTACCTCACAGGGTTGTTGTGTGGTTTTGCAAACTTGCTTCCCCCTGCTCAGGTGAGTAGGACCCAACCAGTGGCTTCAAGTTCCAAGAAACGAGACTCTAAATACACCTGGAAGAAGAAACCTTCTGCTGGCAAGAGCTGTTCGGAAGTGGGATCTCGCTGCAGGCTTTTTAAGCGGAGGTTGGGTGGCTGATTTGCCAGGGATTCTCAAACAGAGCCATCCAACCTCCTTCCCAGGAAGGAGAGCCCAGGATCTCCAGAGGGCGCCCGTTCCTTTGTCAAACATCTCTTGCCGCCCAGAAAGCTCTTCCTGATGTTGAGTCTCCTATCTTGTAACTTGAATCTCCTATCTTGTAACTTGAAGCCGTTGCTCCTTGTAACCTTGCTCCATCTTCCACGTCACAGCCCTTCAGATATTTGAAGCCATAGGCACTTGCAATTACGTCTCTGTATATATAGAGAGATATAAATCCCCCTGGCCTGCTTCTTTAATGTTTTAATGTTGTACTTTAATCTTGTTTTTTAAGTTGTATTTCAATCAACTTGTTTTTATTATCAGTTGTTAGCTGCCCTGAGCCCGGTCTTGGCTGGGGAGGGCGGGGTATAAATAAAATTTATTATATTATTATTATTATTCTTTGCTTCTTCTGCTGCTGCTTTTGCAGCTGGACAGCTCAGCTCTCCGGAAAATGAGTCACTTCTTCCTTGCAGGCTCTGCGGCTTTCCTGCCCCCAGAGGAGGAGGGGTGTGGCTCAGTTGTTCCTTTCTCCTGTAGGATGTGTCACAGCAGGCCCACGAGTCACCGTCTCCTTCTCAAGGCATTCCAGGAACGCTTCCCACACTGCCAGAGCCCTGCCCAGCACAGAGCATGGCTGGGGTGGGTGCTACCAGTGAGATTGGCAAACAACAGGGCAGTGAAGGAGGGCAGAACATCTGGGGAGCAGCTAAAATTGGCATTTTGTTGACTGCACAGTGGAGACAACCTTTCCTTTTCCCCCTTTTTATTTTATTTTATGAACATAGAAAACATATACATTTACACAACACACTACCTAATTTTCATAGCATAAAACATAAGGATCTGAGCCCAGGAGCAACTCTCCCCTAATGTGTCTTCCAGCAACTGGGATTCAGAAACATTGCCTCCTCCAGCTGTAGAGGCAGTGATGAGCCACTGTGTCAAGCAGTCACTGGTAATGTTCTCCCAGTGCCCTACCCACAACTGGGGCAGTCGAGCCTGCAGCTGTCATTTTTAATATACAGTGGGTGCATCTGTGCGTGTGCGGTTTGCGATTTGGCACTTCTGCGCATGCGCAAAGGACGATTTAGCGCTTCTGCGTATACACAACCGCCGAAACCCGGAAGTAACCCGTTTTGGTACTTCCAGGTTTCGGCGGTCTGCAACCCAAAAAAATGCAACCTGAAGCATCTGTAACCCGAGGTATGACTGTATCTGACTTTTAGAAGACATCTGAAGGCAGCCCTGTTTAGGGTCGTTTTTAATGTTTGATGTTTTATTGTGTTTTTAATATTCTGTTAGGAGCTGCCCAGAGTGGCTGGAGAGGTCTGGCCAGATGGGCAAGGTAGAAGTAATAAATTACTACTACTACTACTACTGGTTTTTTGTTGGGGCATCTTCAGTCTCCACCTGCCCTCCCCGTTTCTGACTCTTCCTCCCCTCCTGGGTTGTGCTTTCTCCACAGCGGGGGGCTGAGCAACCTCCTCTACAAGTGCACCCTCCCCGATCACATTGTGACTGCGGAAGATGAGCCACGCCAAGTTCTGCTGCGTATCTATGGAGTCATCCTCCAGGTGAGATCTTCTGGTCCTGGTGCTCTGGGTTCCCAACCCCTTGGCATGGCCTTCTCTGTGCTGGCTCCCCAGGGGCTGAAGAGGAACTGATGTAGCACTGACAGCACCTTGCGGGAAACTTTAGTGAAGAGCAGGGAGGTGTCTAAATCCAGCCCTGCCCCTCCCGCTGCGCTCCGGAGGCTTCGGGTTGCCTTCACTGAAGCCTGGAGAGTGAGAGGGGTCAGTACGCACCAACCCCTCTCGCTCTTCAGGCTTCCGACGTAGCCGCCTGAAGCCTCCAGAGTGCAGCAGGAACTCCCGCTGCGCTCCGGAGGCTTCAGGTTGTGGATTTTGAAGAGGATTAGATAGATTCCTGGAGGAGGAGAGGGCTATCAATGGCCACCGGCCAGGATGGCTCTGTTATGCCATCCACAGCAGGAGGAAGGAAAGCTTCTGAATCCCAGTTACTTAAAACCGCAGGAATGGAAAGTGCTGCTCTGGGTGCTTGAATCCGGCTTGCAGGTTTTCCCAAAGAGGCATCTGGTCAGCCACTGTGAGAACAGGATGCTGGACTCGATGGGCCGTTGGCTTGATCCAGCAGGCTCTTCTTCTGTTCTTAGGCCACTTCAGGGTCTCGTTTGTGGCCAGCCTGATCTCGAATCCTTTTTGTCTTCTCTGTCCCTCTGGGGTTTGGAGGCCCCACAATTCTTTTGCCTTCCCTGCTGTGGCCGTTTGACTGTCAAATGACTGTCAGGGTCCCTTCCAACTCTACACTTCTATGATTTGCACGTCTTTCTCTGCCCGGGCTGTGCAACACCCTCTTTCTTCGGGGGGGGGGGGGGGTGGCGGCAAGGGCAGAATCTGACCCCATCGCCTTTCTCTCTCCCGCAGGGGGTCGACTCGCTGGTTCTCGAGAGCGTCATGTTTGCCATCCTGGCTGAGCGGATGCTGGGACCGCGACTCTACGGCATCTTCCCCCAGGGGCGCCTGGAGGAATATATCCCGGTGGGTTGTTGGCTGTGCCCTGGATCAGCGGTTCCCATAGTGGGTGGGATTAACTGAGGGGCTGGCAGAAGGAATATGGGAGGTGTAAATGGCTTTCAGACTTGGAAAAGATGGATCAAGTTCATCAGGTTTGTAGGAATGAATTAAACTAAATCAGGCTTCCTCAAAATCGGCCCTCCAGATGTTTTTGGCCTACAACCCCATGATCCCTAGCTAGCAGGACCAGTGGTCAGGGATGATGGGAATTGTAGTCTCAAAACATCCGGAGGGCCGAGTTTGAGGAAGCCTGAACTAAATAGTTTTAATTGGGCTTTGAATAAATGCAATTAATGGTTTCCACTTTGAATTTCATAATAATAATAATAATAATTTTATTTATATCCCACCCTCCCCATCCAAAGCAGGGCTCAGAGCGGCTAACAACAATAAAAATAACACAGTTTACATAAAATCACAATCAATTAATTGAAATACATTCTAAATTCATTCTAAAATCAATTCAGAGTCAAATTAATGGCAACCATTGGGCTAGAGTTCTATGAGGATTACAGAAGGAGGGGGTCAGACTGCATCTTGGCCAAAGGCCTGGTGGAACGGCTCCATCTTGCAGGCCCTGCGGAAAGATGTCAAGTCCCGCAGGGCCCTAGTCTCTTGTTCCACCAGATTGGGGCCACGGCTGAAAAAGCCCTGGCTCTGGTTGAGGCCAGCCTAACCTCCCTGTGGCCCGGGACCTCCAAGGTGTTTTTGTTTGAGGACTGTAAGGTCCTCCGTGGGACGTACCAGGAGAGGCAGTCCCGTAGGTACGAGGGTCCTAGGCCGTATAGGGCTTTAAAGGTTAAAACCAGCACCTTAAACCTGATCCTGTACTCCACCAGGAGCCAGTGTCATATTATCTTCCTTAATGGGTTGTGCAGGCTGCTATTCTAAGCAATGCTTTGTACAGGGTGGCTGTCCAGTGTTCTCACCGCAGCAGCCCTGTGAGGTAGGCTAGTCCGCTTGTGGTTGTTGCCAACATGCCCTCCTTCATTTTCTGCCGTGGTTTAGTGGCCCCAGACACGCACACACAACTTTCCTCCCCCCGTGATACGGACTCTCAATAGATGTTTTCTTGCCTGCTGTTTCTGCGCTCTGTTGCGCAGGGGTCCCCACACCTCTGGGGCAGGTGCCCACGGAGCTATTCCTCACAGTGGGAATTGGCTTCCGTTGGGTGGGAGAGGAAGAGGCTCTCATGCCGCCTGTGTCTCTTCCCCGCAGAGCCGCCGCCTGACCACGGAGGACTTGCCCGACCCCAGCATCTCGGGGGAGATCGCCATGAAGATGGCTCACTTCCACGAGATGGTGATGCCCTTCAATAAGCAGCCCAAGTGGATGTTCGGGACGATGGAGAAGTAAGGTTCCTGGTGCTTTTGAAAGCTGCAGGCTAGAAAACCCGGAATCCTTTCTCCTGGGTATCATGTCAGCGGAAATAAAAAGAACGGTCAAACCAATATTTTATGTATGCAACTACTGCGGCAGGGTTATTGATTGCCAAGAATTGGAAAAACAGCAGCGTCCCAACTAAAACAGACTGGTTATCTAAAATGATGGAATACTTCCATCTTGCCGAACTAACAGGGAGGATAAGAGGAGATATGGTACAAAAAGTGAATAAGGAGTGTGCTGGGCCCAGGGGAAACCCTTGAAACGCAGTCCAGGACCAGTCCAGAATCTGGAGGTTCCGCTAAGAGTCAGTCCAACAGAGCCAAGGCAGGACACGAGGCAGGAAACCAGGCAAGGACAGGCACAGGATCTCAGGCAGGTTCAACATTGCAAACAGCAATGTTGCTCCCGCAACCTGGGGCAGAGTCCGACAGCCTTTTATCTCTGTTGGGGTAACGGCCGGTCCTGATCCCCCGGTGACTCACCTCCCTGTCTCGCCCGAAGGTAAGCGCTCCTCCTGCGAGTACTCAGGTCTCTCTTTCTCTCAGACCTCAGTCTCTGCAGCTTGGGAGACATCGGTGGGTTACTAGACCCAGAGGCCGCCTCAGCCTCCCCTGACCCAACCGGTAGTGGAGCAGCTGTAAGTGATGGCCCAGCTGGAGGCAAGGAGGGAATCCCCGCATCTGGAGCCAGGCCCCTGACTCGGCCCAGCTGGTGTTTGTTGCAGGGGAACCTGTGCAGACTGGGACTCTTCAGGATCAGGCCCCAGACTTGGTTCAGATGATGCCTGAGGCAGAGGATCCAGTGCAGACTGAGACTCCTCTGGTCCCGCGTCCCAGGCCATCACAGCCTGTTGGGTTGTGGCTGGAGAAAGCCAGTGACTGACCGATTCTCCTTTCCCCCTGTTGGCAGGTACTTGAGGCAGATCTCTGATCTGACCTTCCCCCAGGAAGCCCAGCTGCAGAAGCTCAATAAGCTCAAGGCGTACAACTTGGAAGCGGAAATGCGCAGCCTCAGGTGAGCGGGCAGCAGCGGGGCACAGGATCGGGGGCCTTGGGTCAGTGCTGTGCCCCCTGGCAGAATTAGCTAGTCCGTGATGGGATGCCTTGCCCCTTGCTTTCCATCACACACACCCTGCCAAGGCAGGGTCCATAGCTCTAAGTGGCAGAGCAGGTGCCTTGCCTGCCTCAGCCCCTCTCCTGCCAGGAGGCTTTGGGGCAGCAGTGGGGGTGGACTCCAACGCCAGAGGAAATGGACCAGTCGTTGGACTTGAAGCAGCGACATGCCCTTAGCCTCTGGCTGCAAGCGGCAACCGGCCTCGAAACAGGGAAGATGCATTTCTGGCCAAGATAATCACAGAATTGTAGAGGCGGGTGGGATCCCCAAGGGCCATCTAGTCCAACCCCTTGCAATGCAGGAAACACAGCAAAAGAATCCCTGACAGCCATCCAACCTCTGTTTATAAACCTCCAACAAAGGAGATTCCAACCACCTTCCAAGGTTGTCCATTCCATAGCTCTTGCCGTCAGAAAGTCATTCCTAATTTTGAGCTGGAATCTCCTTCTTTGTCATTTGAATCCGTTGGTTCGGGTTGAATCCTGCCCTGTGGAGCAGGAGAAAACTCCCTCTTGTCTCCCATGAATTGATGGGGTGGATGTGAATATTTTCTGTGTTTTCTTTTGGGGGGCCCTTTCCCTCTCCAAATATGCTCTGTTTCAGGGTGGGGGGTTCCCCTGTGCAAAGCAAACACCCTCCTCATTCTCCTAACTCTCTTTTCTCTCTCTCTTTTCTGGAATTTCAGGGAGCTGCTGGAGTCCACCCCGTCCCCCGTGGTCTTCTGCCACAACGACGTGCAAGAAGGTGAGGACACTGAAGTGGGGAAGGGAAGCTGGGGTGGTGGTGTGATCTTTCCCCCAGGTTCTGGCCAGGGGCCTGTGAATATTGGGTGGTGCTGAGAGTCCCACTCCCCACCCCCTGAATGATGCTGAGATTCCTCCCTGAAGCAGAGCGGGGCAAGGCACACTGCCCTGGCTTCCTGCTGCTGTGAGAGCAACGCAGTGCCTGCAGCCACCCTGAATGGAAGGCCATATACGAAGAGCCTTGCAGCTGGATCAGACCCAAAGGGCCCATTGAGGCCAGTTCTGGGAGCAGAACCTGAGTTCCACAGGGCTCTCTCTCCACCTGTGACTCCCAGAAACCAGTATCCAGAGGAATACTGAAAGATCCTATTCCCTCATATGAACCTGACTGGGCTCTAAGAGCTTCGGGGGGGGGCAGTTTTTTCAGTCCGATCCCCCTCACAGGCATACTGGGTAGGGACTCAAGACAGGGCCTTATTGGTGGCAGTTCCCAGTCTTTGGATCTCCCTGCCTAGGGAAGCCAGATGGGCTCCCTCCTTGCTCTCCTTCCGCCAGCAGATGAATACCTTCACCAGCAGATATAGAATACCTACTCAGCAGATGAATACTGCCCTTGTTCCAGCAGGCTTTGGGGAACTGGTTGCTTTTAACGAGAGGGCTTTTTTTCTTGTAATTATCTTCATGTTTTTGTAGATCACACAGAGAGAGACATACACTGTGCACAATTTTTGTTGGCATCCGTCTGTCTCAGGATAACAGGGGCAGAATGCACCTTTGGGAGTGAAATCAAACCATTAGAGAGTTACAGATGGAGATGGGAGAGACATGTTTCATTACGCATATGTATTCACATGTAAAATGTACATATTATCTATACAGTGATACCTCTGGATGCGAACGGGATCCGTTCCGGAGCCCCGTTCATATCCTGAAGCGAACGCAACCCGCTTCCGCGGGTCGCATGTCACCGCTTCAGTGCATGCGTGTGACGTCATTTTGAGCGTCTGCGCATGCGCGAGCGGTGAAGCCCCGAAGTAACGCGCTCTGTTACTTCCGGGTCGCTGCAGAGTGCAACCCGAAAATGCTACTTCAACCCGAGGTATGACTGTACCTACAAAATATGTGTGCGTTTAACAATTGCTTCCCCACAAGGTTCTGTTTCAACTGAGCTGCCTTGAGTTCTTGTCGGGGGGGGGGGGGGAGTGGGATATAAATAAATATAATTATAAAAAGAGAAGAAGAGTTTGGATTTGATATCCCGCTTTATCACTACCCGAAGGAGTCTCAAAGCGGCTAACATTCTCCCTTCCCTTCCTCCCCTACAACAAACACTCTGTGAGGTGAGTGGGGCTGAGAGACTTCAGAGAAGTGTGACTGGCCCAAGGTCACCCAGCAGCTGCATGTGGAGGAGCGGAGACACTAACCCGGTTCACCAGATTACGAGTCCACCGCTCGTAACCACTACACAATGCTGCCCTTGACACTGGAAGAGGGTGGCGAGCATAGTGGCCATGGCGAGTGGCCGCTGATGCCTTCTCCTGCTCTTGCTCCTTCTCTCCCCACAGGGAACATCCTGCTCCTTGCTGGGCGTGAGTCCGCCGCCTCCGACCGCCTCATGCTGATTGACTTCGAGTACAGCAGCTACAACTACCGGTGAGCTGGGCGTGAGGGCAGAGGGCAGGGAGGGAAGCGGGCGGCAGACATTGGGACTTGGTCATTCTGGACTCACAGCTGTCCATGGAGGCACAGGTCAATTCTGTGTCCAGGGCAGCTGTCTACCAGCTCCATCTGGTACGCAGGCTGAGACCCTCTCTGCCCGCAGGCTGTCTCGCCAAGTGGTGCATGCTCTAGTTATCTCTCGCTTGGACTACTGCCATGCGCTCTACGTGGGGCTGCCTTTGAAGGTGACCCAGAAACTACAACTAATCCAGAATGCGGCAGCTAGGCTGGGGACTGGGAGCGGCCGCTGGGACAACGTAACACCGGTCTTGAAAGACCTACATTGGCTCCCAGGACGTTTCCGAGCACAATTCAAAGTGTTGGTGCTGACCTTGAAAGCCCTAAATGGCCTCGGTCCAGTATATCTGAAGGAGCGTCTCCACCCCCCATCCCCCACACCCCCCATCATTCTGCCCGGACACTGAGGTCCAGCTCCGAGGGCCTTCTGGCGGTTCCCTCACTGGGAGAAGCAAGTTACAGGGAACCAGGCAGTGGGCTTTCTCGGTAGTGGCACCCTCCCTGTGGAACGCCCTCCCACCAGATGTCAAAGAGAGAAATAACTACCAAACTTTTTGAAGACATCTGAAGGCAGCCCTGTTTAGGGAAGCTTTTAATGTTTAATAGGTTATTGTATTTTAGTGTTCTGTTGGAAGCCACCCAGAGAGGCTGGGGGCCCAGCCAGATGGGCGGGGTATAAATAATAAATTATTATTATTTTTTATTATTGGTGGCAAGAGGCCTGGCAAGGACAGCAGGGCCGAGCTTGGCACGGTGACCCCTTAACCAGGCAAGCCTCTGGATTTCTTTGGGCCGAGGAAAATTTGGGGGCAGGCCTGCTGCCCCACTATCGATGAGGCTTTTCCCCACTGTTAACGGAAAAATCTGAGGGCTCCCTTGGACAAAAACAAAGACACCAACCAGGATAACTTGGAGCAAAACAGCAGCCTGTAGGCTTGGTCTTTATTGAATACTGTCGCGACAGGACTCCCACCCCCAACAAGATGAAGCAAAATGGAAGCCCAGAACAAAAGAAGACCCCAACTTTAATTAGTTACTAATCCCCCAAACTACACCCCCAAGACTACATCACAACTACATCACAGAAAGGAGGGGTTGAGGGAGGAACTGTGGTCGTAACCTGAGTGTCTTGGCACCTGGCTGGTTCCCCCTTTCCCCCTCCCCGTGAGTACTTTCCAGGTGACAGAGGGGAGTTTGCAGTTTCCTGCCCCCAGAGGGAAGAGCTGATTATTGTCCTTTGTTCCAGTCTGTGCTGAATCCACTCCCATATGCAAGTTCTTTGTGATCTTGATGGTCTTCCGTCTAGGACCATCAGGGTTGGCATAGCAACTGGGCAGGGCTCCTGTGTATGTGCTGGTATGCTCAAGGGATTATGGCTGCCCTGTAACAAACCTTCCCCATTTTGTGGTCCTTTCTTCATGGAGTAAAATAAAAGTGGAACAGTGCAGATCCAATGTATGGTTGATTTTCTATGAATTTATAACAGAAGCGTAGCGTATATAGTGTGTGAATGTGTGTGAAGTTTGTACAAACTGAATGATTGGGGGTGGGTTTCCCTGCGACACCACCATGAAATGCTTAAAAGAGGTTTCATTCCATTGAGGCCCATTGGCAAGCGTCCCACGCCCCAGCTTTGCAGCAGGCGAACTGGAGGTACCTGCCCATATTGGAGGGGCGGGTGTGATCCTGGCTTGACGCTCAGCCACAGAGACCAGTGGGTTGAGCTTCACCCTCCCTCCCTCTCTCCCTGCAGGGGCTTCGACATCGCCAATCACTTCTGCGAATGGGTGTACAACTACGCCCACGACCGGTGGCCTTTCTACAAAGCCAGCCCAGAAAACTACCCCAGCCGCCAGCAACAGGTAACGCCTGCCCTCTGCTTGCCACAAGGACGTGGCGCCTCTCGCTTGAAGGAAGTGGCTGTTTCTCAGTTGATGGCCCATTTTTGTTTCTCGTCGAATTATTCCATGTTGGCTGCTTGCGCTGAAACGTCCACAGCAAAAAGGAGAAGTAGAATGTAACATATGCATTCATATAACATATGACAGATGAATCACAGTTTGTGAGTAAATGTAGGTAGGAGAATTAATATCAAGGCCAACAGAAAACTCTGGCTAAAAGCAGTTTGCAATAAGTGCTCTTAACATTCAGCTTCATTGTGCATCACTTTTAGTGTTATGAGAGAAGAGGGGAAACTTTTCTCTATTCCCTTTCTCCATGTCATGCATAATTTTGATAAGCTTCTATCAGGTTGCCTCTCACTCGTCCTTTCTCTAAAGTCTCAAATACCTGATAATTTTGGCTGCCTTTACATCTCAAAAGTGGTTTGCAACAAGCATTTAGGTTCCCCATAACTGCATTTGAAAGCAGATGTCTCTGTTCTGTAGTTCCTGCAGGCTTTGTGCAGGGGGCGGGGGTGTTGATTTTTTATTTGCGTAGTTATAAATAAAGCATTATAATTGCTTTGCAAACCCATTTCTAACTTACGGGACCTGCCTTTGGGTTTCCAGAATAAATGCCAGTATATCAACAGCTGGGTCCTCTGAGCATCACTGTCTCTCCCTTACATTTGCATAACATTTCGTTATAAATCACGGATTACAAGAGTTTTGGTTTCGAATCTAATCAAGTAATGGGTTTTTTGGAGGGTGTCGTTGTAATTGGCAGAAACCTCTTAGGCTCTTATACTAAGTCGCTGCTGGCTTGACCAGCCATTGGTGCACGTTTGACTTAGCAGCTGACTCTGTGCGTTTGAAACTGGTCCGGTGAGTAGCCTTGGTGCTTCTGGAGGCTGAAGGCTCAGGGAGGCTGGAGGGCAGCCTTTTGGGGGAGGGGGGTGCTCTCAGAAGCCCCTGCCCAGAGCAGCAAGACTGCAGGAATTTTTATTTGAACATTGATTTCTGCCTCCCTCATCTGTCACAGTTCTTTCCAAAGCACACTAAACTCCACTAAAATACAGAAGCAGAATTTTGGAAGATTCGGAACAAGGCTGTCAATATTGTCATGCTGTTATGCAGTGGTATCTCGGGTTACAGACTGACACAATTGGAAACTGTAAGAGTCCCTGACTTGGAAACAATTCAGCAGGAATTGTACCATGGGTTAAGAACTTTGCTTCAGCATGAGAACAGAAATCATGCTCAGGCGGCAGCGGGAGGCCCCATTAGCTAAAGTGGTGCTTCAGGTTAAGAACAGTTTCAGGTTAAGAACGGACCTCTGGAACGAATTAAGTTCTTAAACCGAGGTACCACTGTACAAAATTTTGGTACAACCACATTCTGGTTGCCTCACCTCAAAAAGGATATTGTGGAGTTTGGAAAAGTTTAGGAAAGGGGGTGGCACAATGACCTTACAAAGATTGATTGCAATGTCTACGACCTTTTAGTTTAGAGAAAAGCTGGGTAAGAGGCAACACATTAGAAGTTTATAAAATGATGCACAGCACGCAAAAAGTGGGTAGAGAAAAGGTTTTTCTCTTGCCAGACTAGAACTTGTGGACATCCGATGAAGTTAGATGATGGAAGATTCAGGGCAGAGAAAAGGAAGTCCTCCACGCATAGTTGAACTATGGAACTCACTGCCACAGGAAGCAGCGAGGGCCACCAATTTGGAAGGCTTTAAAAGAGGATTGGGCAAATTCATGGAGGAGCAGAGGGCTATTGAGGGCTCCTAGCCAGGATGGCTGTGCTCTGTTTCCAAGGCAGCAATCCTTCTCCATCCCAGATGCTGGAAACCACAGGAGAGGAGAGTTGCTCTTGTGCTCAAATCCTGCTTTCAGATTTTCACGCAGGCGTCTGATTGTGCCACCGTGGACAACAGGACTCTGGACTAATTGGGCCACTGGCCTGGTCTAGCAGCCGCTTCTGTTTCTCTGAGCTGCCTCTCAGCTTCACCGTAAAGCAATAAATCGTCTTTTTTTTATTTAAAGGGAAATATTTATTGGGGAGAAACAGCTGTAGGTCTCCGAAAAGCACAAGCTTTTTGGTTTCCAGTGTTGCCTTTTGAAAGCATGGTGACCTGCCCTGGGACCTTGAGGTGGTTATAAATCAAATTAAGAGGATCAGTAATGAGCATGTTCGGGCAAGCAGGCCAGAGCAAGGAGATCTCAGAGAGTGGAGCAGCCTGCCCTGTCAGGACCCGGCTCTGTTCTCCCAACTCACCCTGAGGTTACTCTTTCCACAGCTGCATTTTATCCGCTGCTACCTGGAGGAGGCGGCTGGGAAGAAAGCGCGCCCGTCCCCGGAAGAGCAGGAGCGCCTCGAGGAGGAGATGCTTCTGGAGATCAGCCGGTCAGTGTCTGGGAACGCACGAAAGTCGCCTTGGGAATTAATAAATAATAGTAATAATAATTTTATTATTTTTACCCTGCCCTTCCCAGTTCAGAAAACCGGGCTCAGGGAGGCTAATAACAAATTTAAAATACTTAATTGATGCAACAAAAATAAAGCATAAAATACAGTATAAAACGTGAATAACAATAAATTCAGAATTCCGAAATCAATTTAGGGGGGAAATCCATCCAATAAGCATCCAATAAGATGATCACCAGGGCTAGCTGGCTAAATTAGTCCTATTTGGGCCAGCGAGGAGACCAGGGGAGAATTAGCTGTGGGATCCCAGAGCGGGTAATCTTCATAAAAAAGGGAGGGGGAGGGAAGGAAGGGGAATAAAAGATCAGGCTAAGTTCAAGTTGAAAGCCAGGCAGAATAGCTCTGTCTGTGGAAGGAGATTAAATCCTGCAGGGCCCTGGTCTCATGGGACAGAGCATTCCACCAGGTCGGAGCCATCACTGAGAAGGCCCTAATAGGGAAAGGTCAAAATTTTGCTTTTCCAGGAGCTCAGCGAGCCTCACCAGCAGGCGATCAGTGGTCTCCCTACGTGCCTCTTCATAAAAGGGACATCTAAAGAACAAGTGCTCTGGGCTTCCTGTCTCCCCTGATGAACAGGCGCAAAGTCTCTGAGCATATGCTGCCCCTATTTTATCCTTATAACAACCCTGTGAGGCAGGTCGGGCTGAGACAGAGAGGTAGCGACAGGCCCAGGCCCCACCCAGCGAGCTTCGTAGCCAAGTGTGGACCGTGGTCTCCTGGGTCCCAGCTCGTTTTTCTAACCACTGCCCCACAGGGAGTCAGGAAGCATGGATTTCCAGAGCATCTGCTCTGTCCCTGAGCCAGCACCCCTCTATACGATGGAGAGAGGCCGCTTTGGACCCCCGTTGCCTCACCTCCAGCTCCTCTTCCTCCTCCTTCCCTGACTCCTCTCCTCCCCATCTCTCTCTCCCAGATTTGCGATGGCCTCCCACTTCTTCTGGGGCTTGTGGTCCATCTTGCAGGCCAAGATCTCCACCATCGAGTTTGGCTACCTGGTGAGTTCTTGTGTTGATGACCTAGCAAGCTCTTCTCATGTGATGCTTTCAGCAAACTTCCAGTGGTTTGCGAAGGCAGGCGGACGCCTTATGCAACAAGAGCATCACTCTAGAACTGGGTTGGCTTCTCATGTTCTGGGAAAGGTGGGTGCAATGCCTGACCCTGACTCTGCCCTCCTCCCCTCCTCTTACCTCCCAGGAATATGCCCAGTGCCGCTTCGAAGCCTACTTCCAGCAGAAATCTCTCTGCGAGTGACCCTCGCCCATCCTGCCTCCGCGCCCAGGCTTCCGCCTGGCTGGCGCCGTCGCGGGACCTGGACTCGAACTCCTGGACCTCAAGAGGCACCGTTGCCAGTGGACCAAAGCTTTCTCCCCGGATGCAGGAGGAGGGTTGGCTGGCCAGCTCTCGTTCCGCAGCGGCAAAAACTCTCTGGCTTCTGGCTGGGCTGGTTCGTAGCCGGGCAAGGGGGCCACGGAGCCCCCGTGGGGTGGCAGCACACCTGGAGGATGCCAGGCAGCTAAATGTTTCAGGCATGGCTTCCGGCAGGCGGTCCCTCCGTGATGGAGGTCCCTTGGGCACGGGGAAGATGGGAAGAAGAGATCTCTGCACTTTGGGACAGGGAGGGGATGTGTGAGGACCCCCCCCCCCCCGGGCCCTCGCCTGCTTCCATTCTGCCTTCTGTTGCCCTCGGCCCTCCATGCCCTCTGCTGCCTCCACCACTGTGCCTTCCCTTGGCCTTGCTCAGCCCTCTCCCCCAGAGATTTCTCTCCTGCCCCAGATCTATGCACAAGCTCACCCCTCTCCTTCCCTTCTTAGCCCATCCCTTCCAGATCTTAGACTCCTCACGGGTCCTTCTGGTCTGCCTCAGTGCCAGCCACAGACGGCATGGTGGGGGGTGGGCTGCCTTTGGGGACAGAGACTGCACAGTGAAAGGCCAAGGACCAGTGAGCCCCACCCCACTCTGGTGAGCCTTGGGGCAGAGGTAGAGGGTCTCTAGGCCTTACTTGCTGCTGCAGGGACCCCCAGTTCTGGCCGCCGTCTCCCGTTACTGGATTGGTTCCCTCATGCGGTTTCCCAAGGAGACGCCTTGGCCAGGACTGGGGAGGCAGTGGAGGGCTTTGGAGGCAGGGCCAGAGGGCAAAGTCGCCCCAGAGGACACTCCTCGGCTGGGGGGGGGGCAGGGTTTGCTCTAGAGGTCTTCCCTCCCCAGATGTAATCCCAGCCCACTTCGCCGGAGCCTCTCTGGAACGGCAGCCAGTTGAGGCCAGGACTTAGGGGGCGGCTCCTGCCCCTTGCCCAGGGGCACCACAAGCTTTTGGACCTGCTGGAGGGTCAGATTTTGCAGGGGAGGGGGGCTTCCACCTTGTTTCTTCCTTTCCCCGGGAATGGGTTTGCTTGCTGGGGGCGGTGGGAGATAAATAACACCTTTTGGTCTTCGTTAACTTGGTTGTATCTGCATTTCTATGAATGTCCAGCAGAGAGAGCCAGGGATGCAGTGGGCTCTCTGGTGCAAGCTAGCCTTTGGCAGGCTGCCTGCCCTCTCTCTCTGTTCTCAGGGCTGCTCTTCTTTTCCGGCATCACTCACGATAACCATGGAATGTAATCTCTGCAATTGCCAATAAAAGCCTGGCACTCCATTCACTAGGACTCTCTCTCTCTCTCTCTCTCTCTGTGTGTGTGTGTGTGTGCTTGATCACTTTGGGGTGTCTGTGCCAGGGGAGGAGGTCAGATGTCTCTAGCCATAGAATTGGTCGCAAGCCAGCTCCCCCAGAGGGGAGCCCCACAACAGGACCCAGAGCTCAATAGAAATTTTCCCTTCCATGTCAAAAGCTATCTCGTCCTGTTGGGTGTTCAGTGCATCCATTTGGATAGTATATCTCGTCAGCATATGAGCAGAAGGGATTCCTGCCGTAAGACAGAGAATTTGAAAGAAGGCTGAAAGGAAGAAAATATTAGGCCAAACGTGATATTTCCCCCCCAGTTAAGTGTAAAAATATTGCTTCTGACTCTTCGGAATAAAGTTGGTCATCACACTTCTGTAGAATGTTGTCTGCAGAATACAGGACATTGTTTTAAATTCTTAGCAAAGATAGAAGTTTCACCTCGTTCTCTCCACTGTTTCGATAACTTGCTTTTTCAATTGGTCATGTATTTGTTTTTCCCTCTGAAAAATTTGGCAACTGCATGGTACTGTTTATGCTGACAGTAAACCAATCCTCCCCCCTTTTTTTAAAGAAACTTCCCCCCCACTTGCCACCCCCAGCAACCAATATCATAGAATTGTAGAGTTGGGAGGGACCTCAAAGGTCATCCAGTCCAGCCCCCTGCAATGCAGGAATCTCAAGTAGATCCAACATGACAGATGGCCATCCAACGTCTGCTTAGGAACCTCCAAGGAAGGAGAGTGCACCATCTCTCATGGGAGTCCGTTCCGCTGCCAGAAAGTCCTTCCTGGTGTTTAGTCGTAATCTCCTTTCTTGTAACTCGCAGCCATCGGTTTGGGTCTTCCCCTCTGGAGCAGGAGAAAACAAGCCTGCTCCCTCTTCCATGTGCCAGCCCTTCAGATATTTAAAGGTCGCTATCCTATCTCCTCTCGGTCTCCTCTTCTCCAGGTGAGGCATACCCAGCTCCTTCAAGCGCTCCTCATAAGGCCTGGCTTCCAGACCCTTGATCATTGTTAAGGAAAAATCTAGATGCGAGGCTGCTCAGTCCCCCAGCTCTTCGGGCAGAGCCCGCGGGTCCCTGCGGAATAAAGGAAGGAGTCCAGCCACCAACTGGAGCAAATAGCTGTAGACCAAAGTTTATTGTGCAACAGGTTCAAAGAGGAATTTTGAACCCCGAGGATGGGGTGACAAAGAATTTTAAAAGTTTCTATCTTATCCTAGCATACAGTTCATTAAGCATCATCACGACATCATTGCTACATCAGAAAAGGGGAGGGTTATACATGATTAAGGGACGCGGGTGGCACTGTGGGTTAAACCACTGAGCCTCTTGGGCTTGCTGATCAGAAGGTCGGCGGTTCAAATCCCTGCCACGGGGTGAGCTCCTGTTGCTCGGTCCCTGCTCCTGCCAACCTAGCAGTTCCAAAGCACATCAGAGTGCAAGTAAATAAATAGGTACCGCTCTGGTGGGAAGGTAAACGGCGTTTCCATGCGCTGCTCTGGTTCGCCAGAAGCATCTTAGTCATGCTGGCCACATGACCCGGAAGCTGTACGCCGGCTCCCTTGGCCAGTAAAGCAAGATGAGTGCCGCAACCCCAGAGTTGGCCACGACTGGACCTAATGGTCAGGGGTCCCTTTACCTTTACTTTTATACATGATTAACATAGGAGGAATGTGTTGGGGCAACAGGCGGATACAGGATATGTACAGTGGTACCTTGGTTACATACTCTTCAGGTTACAGACTCCGCTAACCCAGAAACAGTATCTCAGGTTAAGAACTTTGCTTCAGGATGAAGAACAGTTCAGGTTAAGAACAGTTTCAGGTTAAGAACAGACCTCCGGAATGAATTAAGTACTCAACCTGAGGTACCACTGTATTGAGAAGTACATTCTAAAAGCCTACTACAAAAGAACAATAGAACCTTGGTTTGCATAGTCTGCCACCTGGGCAAGTCTGGAGGAGTGCCTTTGCCCAGCGATGGACACCTTCCTGTGGACACCCACGTGTGTGCAGATGTGGGTTGCGAATGCTACAGGTTGCGAACGTGCATCCCACACTGATCACGTTCGCAACCCAAGGGTCCACTGTATATTACTTCCATCAAAACTTAATTACACTGTTGAATTTAGCTTAATGCTGCCCACATTTTAAAGTGTACGCAATTTCCACCCATATATTCAATAAACATTTCCCGATCTTCTTTAAACGAATGTTCTTCTTGAAATAAATAAAAAAACTGTCCAGTATCACCTTAGAGATCAATTCAGTTTGTTACAAGAATGTTCTTCTTGTTCTCTTATTCTATAACTTAGATCTGCAAGCTGCACATATTCCAGCAGTTTAAGTTGCCGTGCTTCTTTGGTTGAGACCTCGCTCGTTTTCCATTTGGGGGCTAACGAAACACAACGTTAGTGTTCTGCACGATCTCTCCTCTCCCCCGCCGAAAGTCTTCCCCAGTAGCTTTCTGACGTCTGTGGCCCCTTCCGCTCCTGGCGACGGCTCTGGGCACCAACATGACTGCTCTGCTGTAAACACAGACTAAAAATAGCTCCGGCGCCCGAGCCAAACTCTGTGCCGCAGCCTGTGTGTGCTTTGGGACGGCTGAAGGGGCGCTCTGACCTGCAAATGATTCCCTGGCCATGCCCCATGGAGGTCTGCGCTCGACCCCTTTGCAGGGGCTTCTTGCTGCATCCGCCTGGCTGGGTTGGGCCCACCTCGCCAAGCAGGCGTTCGACTTCCTGGCCGGTGCCCTCTGGGCTTTGTGGGGCCTCATCGCCTTGTCCTGGAAAAGGCAGGGTGCTCAGGGGTCCCTGCCCGAGCTGTGGGAGAGCTGCCCCGAGCTGAGGGTCTACCGGGGAGGAGATGGTGAGGCTGAGCTGCTCACGGTCCACACACAGCCCTACAGCTTCCAGGTAGGGTCTGGAGGGGGGCTCTCTTGTGCTAAGGGGTGGCAGGAATCATAGAATCATAGAACTGTGGAGTTGACAGTATCAACCGCCCGCAATGCAGGAATAGACAGGTGTCCCCAACGGGGCTCGAACCTGCAACCTTGGTGTTATTGGCACCATGGTTATCTAACCATGGTGAGCTATCCAGGCTGCATGGAGGCTTTCCCCAGGAGTCAGATGCAAATTCACCTGTCGCACCTGTCGGAATCAGGGGGTCGAAAGGCCAGCTGGCTCGGCCCCAGCTGAAGTGTCTCCTTTCAGCCTTGCCGCTGCGGAGATCCCTTGACCTCTGCTCAGTGACTCAAGCTTGCAGACTTGAGCACACTTTACTCAGCAGTGTAAACTGCGCAACAGAAGAGGCTTGAGGCTGCAGACACATACTAAACTACGCATTTATTAAACATAAACCAGGACAAAGAAAACGTCGGAGAGAGAAGGAAAACAGAAGCAATACAGAGCGGAAGTACCACTCACGCCAGCAATCTGTGCTGGAATGCAAACAGACGTGTGACATGTAACAATCCCATGTCTGCAGCAAAGGGTGGAATGGAATCGCAACAGCGCCAACTATGACCGTTTCTGGACATGCCTGACCACTATAGTCCATGCAAATCTGGACTACTCAATGTGGGGCTGCCCTTGGGGTTGGTTCAGAAGTTCCAGCAGGTGCGGGATGCTGTGGTCTGATGGGAGCATCTGGTGAAGAACATGCAACACCAAATGCTGCCTTGGTTGCCCATCTGCTACCCAGCCAAGGTCGAGGTGCTTGTATCAATTTGCCAAGCCCTGGACAGCTCAGGTCCAGAATATCTCAGAGACTGTCTGAACCCTTACAGCCCAGCTCAATCGCTAAGATCACCTGCAGGAGCATCACAGAGCGTCCCCCGATTTGGAGAGGCTCATTTGGCAACCATGGGAATAGAGACAGGTTTAGGGGAGACCAACCAGGTCCACCACAGGAGGCACCGAGCCACGGGTTGCGAACGCTGCGGATTGCAAACGTGCTTCCCGCACAGACCACATTCGCAACCAAGAGTCCACTGTACTAGCATAATTTTCTAATGTTCTCTCTCTCTCTGCCTGGCAGGTGGATCTGGCCCGGCTGGCGACGGAGAGCGCCTATTTTGAGGCCCTCTTGAGATCCCGCATGCAGGAGGCGTCGGAGAGGCAGCTGGATCTGAGCCACGTGCCTTCGGGGACCTTCCGCGCCATCCTGGAGTGGGTCTTCAATGGGCGTTTCAGCCTAGAAGAGGAAGACCTCTTGCCAGCGGTGCAGACTGCCAGCTACCTGATGCTCCCGGGGTTTCTGGACCGGTGCTGGGTGGCGCTGAGCCCACTGCTGAGCCCCCAGAACTGCCTGTCATACCTGGGTTTCATGGAGGCTGTGGGATGCCCCGAGCTGAGAGCACTGGTGTCCAGCTACATGAGTGCGCACCTGTTGGAGCTGCCAGCCCCTGTCGCTGGACGGCTGGACCCCCAACTGCGGGAGGAGCTGGCACAGCTCCGCTTCAAGGGACGCCCCATGCTGTGCGCCCTGCGCAAGGAGAACGTCAGCCTGGCGCCTGGGGTCCCCCTGGAGTCTCTGCAGGGCCTCTACCACCGCCCTCTGCCCCCCAAGGAGGGGGACTGGCGCTGTGCCACCCGCCTGCCCTTCCAGGCCGAGAAGTGGAGCTTCAGCACAGCACAGCTCCTGAACTACCTCTTTGTCATGGGGGGCTACCGGGAGAAGCGGGGGGCCCGCAGTTTCACCTTCCGTATGGCGGCCTTCCGCTACAACCCCTTGACGGGAACGTGGGCACCCACCGCTGCCCCTAATAAGGTCAGGTCCTGCTCTAAGGCCAGGGCTGTGTCTCAGGTACCACATATACACATACATAAACACACTGTATTTTTCCATCTATAAGACGTCCCCATGTATAAGACGCCCTATTTGGGGGGACTCCGATTTAAGAAAATGGGGAAAGATGGCCCCCATGTATGACGCCCCCAAATTCTGGACATAATTTTTTAGGGGGAAAACCTAGTCTTATACATGGAAAAATACGGTGTGTGTGTGTGTGTGTATATATATATATACCGTATTTTTTGCACCATAACACTCACTTTTTTCCTCCTAGAAAGTAAGGGGAAATGTCTGTGCGTGTTATGGAGGAAATGCCTACGGGTGGCATGCCTACTGATTTTCCTCCTCTAAAAACTACGTGCGTGTTATGGTCGGGTGCGTGTTATAGAGCGAAAAATACGGTATATATATATATATATATATATATATATATATATATATATATATAGATTTTCCATTTTATAATATACGGTATAGCCACATCATTATTACAGTCATACTTCAGGTTGAAGTAGCTTCAGGATGAGTATTTTTAGGTTGTGCTCCGTGGTGACCCGGAAGTAACAGAGCGTGTTACTTCCAGGTTTCACTGCTCGCGCATGCACAGACGGTCAAAATGACGCCATGCACATGTGTGGAAGTGGCAAATCGTGACCCACACACGTGCAGACGTGGGTTGCATTCGCTTCAGGATGTGAATGGGGCTCTGGAACGGATCCCGCTCGTATCCAGAGGTACCACTGTATTCACATTATCTCTTTTGCTCATTAGAGCCTATTGACTTCCGTCCCTCCCGTCTCATGGCTTTCAAAATTAACCTTTATATCACTGCCTTTGTACGTTTTCCAATTCTAGTTGATTCATTACAGATAGCATTGAAATTAATATTATCATTAAAAGGGAGGAAGTTGCCCATTACAAGTCTTTAGTCAACCCTGCTAGCGATGTTTAATTGCTTACAGTGATCTTTCAAGTATCATATATATAAATTTACTACAGTCCTTGTGGAATACTCAATCCTGCTGGTTAAGGATCCTTCCTGTCAGCTTCGCCAGTTCTGCAAAGTTCATCGTTTTCATCTGCCCCTCTTCCATTTGCTTGGTTTCCTAAAATCAGAGTGTGAAACAAAAACAAACAAACAAAAAGCTCCAATTCCGTGATTCCCAATGTGGGGCGATTTGATTTTTAAAGGGGGCAATTTGAGAATGAGTTATTAACAGTGAATGGCCTTTGCAGCTTCCTCCACATAAATAGGAGTTCAGACTCCGCCCCTGGTCCTGGTCTTTACACCTCCAGCACTTATTAGCTCTTGTTCTATGCATTTCTGCTAATTTAACCAGGGTTAGATACCACCAGTACATCATTTTCATCTTGTAGCCTTATTAGACTATACCGATTGGTGGGGTCTGCGTTGCTCCCGGGAGGGAGAAAGGAAGTCAAATGACACCGAGGTTGATTCAGAGAAAGAGTTTATTCTGCTCTCCGGATAGCAGAAGGCACTTGCGTGGTCAGTCCACAGCAAGTCCAAAGAAATGAGAAATTCCATGCAGTATATATATCCTCCAGGCACCCTCTCCCCCCTTCCCCAGGAATCCAACCACGTCAGCTTATACACGTAAGTTGACATCCATGACCATAAACAGATCATAGAATCATAGAGTTGGAAGAGACCACAAGGGCCATCGAGTCCAACCCCCTGCCAAGCAGGAAACACCATCAGAGCACTCCTGACATATGGTTGTCAAGCCTCTGCTTAAAGACCTCCAAAGAAGGAGACTCCACCACACTCCTTGGCAGCAAATTCCACTGTCGAACAGCTCTTACTGTCAGGAAGTTCTTCCTAATGTTCCTGTTCCGGTACTCTTAACCATAAAAGGTTGTTCCTGTTCCTGTTCCTATACTCTTATCTTGGGGCAGGAAGATAACCAACTCTAAGAGCACTCCTGGCGCCATTCCCGGGTCTCTTGTCAGACCTGACAAGGTCTGTGCGTCAGTGTGTAAGATAAGACCCAGATGTGCCATCCCTGCTCCACTCAGAACTGGCAAGGCCATCCATTGCCGTCACGGACTGATAACGGAGAGGGCTTTGAGCACTTGTTTATACAGTTGATTTTCTGTTTATACATTGGCTCAAGTGCTCAAGTTAATGCATTTTAGAAATGCTTCCTTGGAGAAGGAAAAAATGAGGATTTTGGGTTCCGTTTCAGACTGACTGCACAGAAACCCATTCCTTCAATCTTATTCTCTTTCAGCAGTGCCTCTCCCTTCCTGACACTCTCTGCTTTCCTGTTCCTCTTGCAGCGCCGGCGACACTTCAGCAGCGTTGTGGTGGGGCACCACATCTATGCTGTGGGGGGCTGGTTCCTGGACTCGCTCCTGCCCCCGGACAGCAGCACCCGCCTGTACACGGCCGTGGAGCGCTACGACCCTTGGGCTGACTCCTGGGCCTTCGTCTCCTCCCTCCCCATGGGAGACTTCTCCTTCGCCGTCTCCCTGTCCCACGACCTGCCCCTCTGCACGGCGCATGGCAGCTGCATCTACGCCCTGGGCAGCGTACAACGCACCGGGGAGAAACTTCTGCTGTGCTACGATGTGGCCGCTGGTGAGGAGCAGACAATGAAGCAGCCTATGCACCGCGCCATAGGTGCCAACTCCCTGGGGCCCTGGGTGCCTGAGCACCCACAAAACTCCCCATCAATTGGCCAGGCACCCACAAAATTCAGTGCCAGGGCCATGCACGCTGCAGGGCACCCACCGTCCCGGACATCCACAGTTGCGCTGCCAGGCTGGCACGCATGCGCCACAGCATTGCACAGAGAGGGGAAGGCAAGGTGGTGTTATGTGTGAGAAAAGAGATAGGGGTGTCAGTACTTAGTTTTATTCATTGCAGAAGGTTTACACACTGCTTGATTTTTTTAAAAAAAAGAAAACCCTCATAGCGGTTTACAAAAAAAGATAACCACAGTGCTTTTTTCCTGGAAAAGAGGTGCCAGAACTCAGCCTTGAACCTTGTTCTCTTATAAGGGCAAGGGTGAGAGGTGCCAGAACTGAGTTCTGGTGAGTTCAGGCCCCCCGAAAGCCCTGGATAGTAATATTACGAGCCAGAAAAATGAACAATGATTTGAAACTTTCAGAAAGTTGAAATAACTGTAGACTAAAAACAGGTTATGGGACATGGGTGGTGCTGTGGGATAAACCACAGAGCCTAGGACTTGCCGATCAGAAGGTCGGCGGTTCGAACCCTCACGACGGGGTGAGCTCCCGTTGCTCGGTCTCTGCTCCTGCCAACCTAGCAGTTTGAAAGCACGTCAAAGTGCAAGTAGATAAATAGGTACCACTCCAGTGGGAAGGTAAACGGCATTTCCATGCGCTGCTCTGGTTCGCCAGAAGCGGCTTAGTCATGCTGGCCACATGACCCGGAAGCTGTACACCGGCTCCCTCGGCCAATAAAGCGAGATGAGCGCCGCAACCCCAGAGTTGGCCACCACTGGACCTAATGGTCAGGGATCCCTTTACCTTTACCTTAAAAACAGGTTAAAACTTGTAAGTTTTGAAACATCTGGAGAGGCTCCTCTAAGCAGGAACCTTTTCGGCGGATGCCGAAAAGAGTACAGCGAAGAGTACATCAAGAGGCAGGGAGTTCCAAAGTGTAGGTGCAGCCATGCCAGGAGTTCTCACGAAAGCAGAACAGATATTTTGTGGCGGTTCCACTGATCAGCATGGTCGGGTGGGCACATACTGGGGAAGACGGAGGTGGCTGATTGTGAGTTAAGCGGGCAGGGAAGGACGGGGGTATCAGCAAGGGCTGGCAGTGGGTGCGAGGGCAGGGGATCTGGGCTGTGGGTCCGGCCTGAGGGTGGTTACATCCCCGCCTTCTCTTCTCCTTGCAGACACGTGGCAGGAGCTGCTTCCGACTCTGACGCGGGCAGACGCTGACCTGCCTGGGCTCTACTTCCTGGGCGGCACGGAGCCCCTCTTCGTGGTGGGGGGCAATGCCCAAGACAACGTGGTCACCTCCTTCTGCCCCAGGACCCGGCAGTGGGGCCCTGCCCGGACCCTGCCCAAGTGCAGCCTGGCCGGACAGGGCCTGGCTTTAGACGGCACCCTATATATGGCCTCTCCTGACTTGGAGGCCCTCTTGGAAGTGGAACTCGGAGTCCCAGACTGCCACCCGCTGCCTCCGCCACCCTTTCCCCTGTCCTATGAGGCCATCTTCCTGCTCCACTTCCCCCCAGAAGGCTGTCGGGAAGAAGAAACAGAGTCAGGGGGACCCCAGGGACTTTAAGTCTCCCGTCTCCCCTCCTCCCTTTTGTCTGCCTGTCTTTTCCCGTCTGTCCAGTGAAAAAAAGACAGTCACGGAACCAAGAAATTACACAAAAGAAATTACCGTGAAAATCCCTGAAACAAGAAGTAATCGACTATAGAAGAACAAAAAAAAAAAAAAAATCAATTAAACAAAGACTTTACGAGATGCTGGCTACAAAATTCATTTCACTGAACTAATCAGTTTCCTCAGAAGGAAATAAAGAAATTATAAGATTTTAAGTGATATCAAACAAGCTCAAGAGCAGGGCTGAAAATGCTTCCTCGAGTTTACAAAAAAGGTATGGAAACCTTAATGACAAGTTTTAAACATAGCCCTATTTAAGAGAATCCAGCAGTAGTGATAAGAAATTGAGGTTTAAAAGTTTCAAACAAACTCAAAAAAACAGGGCAGAAACTCAAAAAAGTTTTAAACATAACCCTATTTAAGAGAACCAAGCAGTAGTAATAAGAAATTGAGGTCTGAAGTTTCAAACAAACTCAAAAACAGGGCTGAAGCGCTCCTGACTGCTGATGTTAAAGACTTCAAACCTTTATTTTGTATTACTATTATTACTGGATTCTCTTAAAGAGAGCTATGTTTAAAACTTGTCATTGAGGTTTTCATACCTTTTTTGTAAACTTGAGGAAGCATTTTCAGCCCTGCTCTTGAGCTTGTTTGATATCACTTAAAATCTTATAATTTCTTTTCCCGTCTGTCCGGCAGCTCTGGGATTTGGACCAGATTATTGGTGACCTGTCAAAGTTAGTTGGTGGCTCACGGCACCTGGACCTGTCTGATGTTATCAGCCGAGATGGGCCTTTCATGGGTCAAGCCCTCTTGCTGGGCACCCTCCCCCACCCTCCCTTGCCCTCTCACCCAAATACCGGCCTCTATTTATAGCACCACGGCTTGCAAAACAGCTGCGGCTGCAAACGAAAAGGGTGGTCTGGCTCCTTCCTCCACTCCCGATTCTGCACGCGCGGCACGGAGTGTCTCTCTCCCTGCCCCAGGCCCAAACAGCTACCTGGGAGCTTCTCTCTGACCCAGATCCTCCCCCTAACTCACAACAGCCCACGGTCTTTCAGAACTTCTTATTTTTGCTGCAAAGGAGCTGCAGGGTTAAGTTTACAACAAATCATCACAAAATTGCAGGGCACAAGGAGGGCACCTAAATCCCATCTAGTCCAACCCCCGTGCCTGGAGTGGCCTGCATCTATTGGAGAAATGTTGCGGTTCAGTACCCAATAACCTTTGGGTTCACAGCCTGGGCAGCCCATAAAATCCAGACACCATTTGCCAGTCATACGGGATTATTTTATTTTATTTGTGGTTTGGTGTGACTATTAATTTCACAAATGAAGCATATGGTAGGAAGGTACTTACATTATACAATACAGTCTGGTGCACATAATTCTGATATCTGTAACCAGTGACAAAAAGAACGGATACTGAAACGTATAATTTTGAATTGTTACTGGTATAAACTATTATTTGCCTGCTTAACTGTGTTCAGTGTCGGGAAAGCGTGGGAGATCTGAGCAGGAGGAGACAGACTGGAACCGCAGTAGAAAATCCTGCTTTGAGTTGCAGGGTTTTGAAAGAGCTCAGAACTTGCTGCAGACTGTGGGACAGCAAGAATTTTGAAGCAAAAAAACCCTCTCTGGGAGCAGAGAGAGTCCTACTTGTAACCGGATATAAAGCATATGTATATGCAGCATATGTTTGTGTGTGTGCAGTAAACTACAACTCTGCTAAACAAATGTTTCGTGTGGTGAGCTTAAAGCTTCTGTGCTACACAAACACAGAACACGCCCAACAAGATGGGAAGGGATGGAGAAGCAGCAACGCAGGATGAAGCCAAGCTTACAATTCTTGGGCTGTTGCTTCATTTCTCAGGCCGTGAGGTTCTGTTCCTCTCTCTCCAGGGCAGCGAGTTCCTCCAGAAGTTTCTGTTTCTCCTGCTGCAGCTCCTGCAGCCTCTCTTCCTACAAGAGACCCTCCAGCCACTGCATCAGAGGACCACCGATGATCAACATCTGGCTGCACAGCTTCTTAGTGAACACCGATCCATTGTGGATCTTGGTGATAGGCTCCAGATGAGAAAGGCTATGGATTTTCCTGAAGGCATCTTGCTCCTCTTGACGCAATACCCTGGGGAACGCCATCATGGACTCAAGGCACGCTTTCCCCATGCCGGTGTGAGGAATCAGGTGAACAGGAATTTCAACCCTTTCATATTTGCAGGAGCTCTTTGGGGCTTGAAGGGACTGGAAGCAGGTGAAGACAATCTGGTCCGTCCTTGTGCTTTTGTCCTCGCCAAAACAGGAGAAGATCAGCCCCGCAAAGTCTCTGTCCAACATCTGATACATCACTTGCGTGCAGAGGTCGATGTGCGATGGCCAAACGGTGACGTGGGGGTGGGAATGATGATGTTGTTGTTGTTGTTTAGTCGTTTAGTCGTGTCCGACTCTTCGTGACCCCCTGGACCAGAGCACGCCAGGCACTCCTGTCTTCCACTGCCTCCCGCAGTTTTGTCAAACTCATGCTGGTAGCTTCAAGAACACTGTCCCACCATCTCGTCCTCTGTCGTCCCCTTCTCCTTGTGCCCTCCATCTTTCCCAACATCAGGGTCTTTTCCAGGGAGTCTCTCTTCTCATGAGGTGGCCAAAGTCTTGGAGCCTCAGCTTCAGGATCTGTCCTTCTAGTGAGCACTCAGGGCTGATTTCCTTCAGAATGGAGAGGTTTGATCTTCTTGCAGTCCATGGGCCTCTCAAGAGTCTCCTCCAGCACCATAATTCAAAAGCATCCATTCTTCCGCGGTCAGCCTTCTTTACAGTCCAGCTTTCACTTCCATACATCACTACTGGGAAAATGGGAATGATACCAGCTCACAACCCTTGTGGGCTGTCCCGTTAACTCAGCCAACCTCTCCGCTTCTGTCGAAGCAGCCGAGAGCTGCTCCAGGGAAATCTCCACCTGATCTTTCCTCGTATCTGAGCGGAGCAGAATGATCACAGAGTGAATGTGAGCAATTCGGCCAGCTCCAACCTCGCTGAGGCAGAGGCCCATGACCTCTTCTTGCTGAGTGCTCAGAGCGTGGACCGTGCAGACCAGGAAGGCATCTGCCTCCAAGTGCGCGGCCTGCAACGCCATCGCCACCTGCTTCGCTTTCTGCCTGCCGCTCCTGTTCAGGGGAAGAGAGACGACGAACGTGCCAGTCAATGGCCCCAAACATCCCTTCCACCAAGGCCTGCCTGCACAGAGAACGAGACAAACAAGATGTGACTACATTATTACATGAGCACTGTTCCACAGCATTGGATATTTTCATTTACATACATTCATTCAAAATAAGATGGGTTCATGAAGCAATTCTATATCCTCCCACCATGCTGATGAAGAATTCTACAAAACAGTAGTCAATATCGGGAATCACTGTTCTGTGTTGGACATCATATGTGCTGAACACACAAAGTTTCACAGCTTGTCTGTCATCCTACACAGTCTGGTACCTTGCTTCATTTAAAGATTTCCAGAGACTTTGAGACTAAAGATTTCATTTTGGACTTGTTATGGTTTGAAGGAATTCTATAAAGATTGTCTGTTGCGTATGTACATGGTCATCGTGTTGCCTAGACATTGCTGATGCACAGAGAACGAGACAAACAAGATATTAATTTCGGTGTTGCTGGTGTGACACAATCCCCACCAGCAAGTACCGTATTTTTCCGTGTATAACACGCCCCATGTATAAGGAGACCCCTATTTTTAGGGGGGAGATTAGAAGAAAATGGGGGGACATTGCCCAGAGTTCTGCGGCTTTTTTTTTTTTTTGCGGATGATTGCCCCTCCAGCTTTTTTTAGGGGGAAGGACTGCCGAAAATTGGCACATCTGAGTTGCGCTGCCGCACGTGCGCCACTAAACCCACCTATCAGCTGTTCCCTCAACACAAGAAGAAGCCGCAGCAACAGCAAACACACAACAGCCCTTATCACACCCACAAATAACACCGATGACAATCACACCTATGCAGAAGCTACCCATCCTGTGTCACAAAAATGCACTGACCATGTATAAGATGCTCCCTCCCCCCAATTTTAAATGTTCGTTTTGAGGGGGGAAACCTCGTCTAATACATGGAAAAATATGGTAGTTGAGGAGTGGCACACCAAAGCAGAGGGGGTGGGGAGCTCAGTCGGCAGAGTGTAAGACTCTTCATCTGAGGGCCACGGGTTCGAGCACCATGCTGGGCAAAGTGATTCCTGCATTGCAGAGGGTTGGACTAGATGACCCCTTGAGGTCCCTTCCAACCTTACGAGTCTATGAATTCTATACACTTTCAAGCAAAGGGAAGCAAGGGGGCAGTCAGGTCCATATATAGCAATTCTCTCTTCTACTAGCTTATTAATCACGAGACATACCCACTTCTCTTCCTGCTTGTTCTCAAGATTTATAGCAATAGTTGCCACACACACACCCTGTTCCCATTCTCCCCTCGCGGTTTTTTTGCAAACGCGTCCTTCCCTTCCCAACCTTCGCTCGCTCCGTCCTCCTCACACACATTTCAACTTTTGATTTCATCACCTGTATAATTTCTGCGATACTTCCTCTCCCACCCTCAAAGCAAAGGGAGGACCTGTTCTTGGACACTAGTTCCGTAGTGTTACAGGTTCGAATCCCCATAACGGGGTGAGCTCCCGTTGCTCTGTCCCAGCTCCTGCCAGCCTAGCAGTTCGTAAGCACACCAGTGCAAGTAGATAAATCAGTACCGCTGTGGCGGGAAGGTAAACGGTGTTTCTATGTGCTCTGGTTTCTGTCACGGTGTCCCGTTGCTCCAGAAGCGGCTCCCAGTACGTTTCCGAGCCTCGGTCCAGTATACCAGAAGGAGTTAATCCACCTCCATCGTTCTGCCCGGACACTGAGGTCCAGCGCTGAGGGCCTTCTGGCGGTTCCCTCACCGCGAGAAGCCAAGTTACAGGGAACCAGTCAGAGGGCCTTCTCGGTAGTGGCACCTGCCCTGTGGAACACCCTCCCACCAGATGTCAAAGAGAAAAAGAACTACCAAACTTTTAGAAGACATCTAAAGGCAGCCCTGTTTAGGGAAGCTTTTAATGTTTAATAGGTTATTGTATTTTAGTGTTTTGTTGGAAGCCGCCCAGAGTGGCTGGGGAAACCCAGCCAGATGGGCGGGGTATAAATAATAAAGTATTATTATTATTATTATTTAGTCCTGCTGGCCACATGACCCAGAAAGCTGTCTGTCGGCCTGAAAGCGAGATGAGTGCCGCAAACCCAGAGTCGCCTTTGACTGGACTCAACCATCCAGGGGTCCTTTACCTTTAGTGTTACAGGGCCAGGTGGGGGGAGGTGGTGAAGGTCCGGATGATATCTAGGGGTCCCTTCCAGGCCCACGATTCTATATCCGTGAAGTTTTTAGGAGAACCTGTTGAAGGGGCCAAAGCAGTTTCCTCGTGAGGCTAAATGGCTCCAGCTGGGCCAGCGAAGCACCTTCACCTGCACTGTTGTCATGGAGACAGGGGGGTGGGCCTTTCCCCACATCACCTGGCTGGAAACCACCTTCTCCTAGAAAGGAGAAAAAATTGGCTGGGCTGGAAGCTGGGGGGGGGGGAGGCATCCCGATCTCTACGTCCTGGCAGCTGTTCCCCCCACCCTGAAAAAATCAAGCAAATAAATAAATATGCTTAACGAACTGACCAATTGCATCACAGATAACTTGTTCTTTGCCCCTGCCCCCTGCAATAAATCCTGGCTACATCCATGCCTCCTGTGGTTTTCAGCAACGGGCTATATGTGTGTGTAAATAAATCCATCTTCTCTAAGGACAAGACAGTCTCCCTTGCCCTTCAGTCCAAGGAAACTGAGCCTGGACTGGAACTGCGGAACTCCCTGCCACAGGAAGCAGTGGTGGCCAACAACCAAGATGGAGAAATTCATGTGAGGAGGAAGAGAGGGCTGCCAATGGCTTACTAGCCACAATGGCTCTGCTCTGCCTCTACAGCTGAAAACAGAAATGTTTCCATTCCCAGTTACAGTGGTCCCTTGGTTCTCATGCTTAATCCATTCCGGAAGTCCGTTCCAAAACCAAAGCGTTCCAAAACCAAGGCGCGCTTTCCCATAGAAAGCAATGCAAAATGGATCAATCCATTCCACACTTTGGGAAACAACCCCCTAAAACAGCAATTTAACATGATTTTTACTATCTAACGAGACCATGGGTCCATAAAATGAAAGCAATTAGCCGTGTGCTGCAGTCACACAACCAATCAGTGCCTGACCTGGGTTCCACAGTGTCACACAAACGCACACAAAAAGAGCCGCAAAAACAATAACGCAGAATTAATAGCCAAAACAGAAACCTCAGTGTAACACTCAAGATGTAAGTGTGGCACTCAAAATGGAGCATGTTTGGCTTCCAAAAAATGTTTGCAAACCGGAACACTTTCTTCCAGGTTTAGCAGCGTTTGGGTTCCAAGTTGTCTGAGTACCAAGGCGTTTGAGAACCAAGGTGCCACTGCGCTGGAAACCACAGGAGGGGAGAGTTGCTCTTGTACTCAAGATGTTGCTTGCGGGTTTCCCATAATAGGCATAATAGGTTGGCCACTGTGAGACCAGGATGCTGGACCAGATGGGCCCTTGGTCTGATCCAGCAGCAGTCTGCTTACGCTCTTACATTTATCCAGGACCTTGGGGAGACACTATTCTCTGAAGGCCAAGTGGAGTTTGCACAGACCTTGCAGAGCGAGTCCAGTTGGTGGAGCTGGAACAATGCCTCTTGTTCACACACCCCTTTTTGCTTAGCAAAAGCAGCAGGACTGGCCCCTCCTGCTTCCTCTACCCATGCAGCCTGGTGACTCCTGGGGGGGGGGGATGGCTCAGCCTGGTGCACAGGGAGCCAGGAGTCTCCTCCAAATGCCCTTCCGGCTGCAAGGGGCCGTCCCAGGCTGCAGGTTGCTGCTTCCAGCCTGCTGCAACAGCAGCTACCTGGGCCCAGCTGAGCTGCTCCTCCTGGAGGAAGGAAGGTCAGCCACGCAGGGAGAAGGTCGCAGGTAAAAGCAGACCCTTTGGAGCCACAAGCAAGCTGGCTGCCTGGGTGCTGTTGGGGGGTGCTGGGGGGTTTATCTCTGCATCTCCTGGTGCAGGTGATCTGAGGATGCCCAGGGAACTCGTTCCTGGAGAGGGTTCCCTTTGCACTTTGTGCAGGTGGAAATGTGCAAGGCATCGCACAGTTACAGTGGCATTGCAGCGGCTCAGAAAGGATACCATAGGGGTGGAGAAGGGTAACTGAAATGGCCGAGGGGGGTGTTTGTGGAGTGACTCCCCTAGGATGAAAGATTGCATGGTCTTTGGGACTTTTTAGAAAAGGTGAGTAAGAAGGCAACACAGCAGAAGTTGATAAAATTCTCCACGGCCTGGAGAAAGCAGATAGAGGTAAGTTTTCCCTCTCCTAAAAGAAGAACTTGTGGGTTTTCGATGAAGATTCCGGACAGATAAAAGACTTTTTCACACAGTGCAGAGTCAAACTACGGAACTCACATGTGAAAAGGATCTCAGGGTCGTGGTGGCCCACAAGCTGAACATGAGTCCACGGTGTGGCACAGCAGCAAAAAAGGCTCTTCTGGGCTGCATCAACAGAAGTCTAGCGTCCAGATCAAGGGGAGTCATATATCTATATATCTATATATTGCAGCCACGTGAAAATGCAATTGATGTGCACAGCAAATGCTTTTTAGTGAGTTCTGTTGGACATGCTCCCAGAGACACACACTCAGAAGCGTCTGTGCCCGAAGGCACGGGAGGGCTACCCTGTGGCCCTCCAAAAGCTCTTGGAGCCCGACTCCCATCAACATCTGGCCTAGTGGTCAGAGACGCAAAGTTCGACAGGGGGTGACTTTGGGCCAGTCGCCCACGCCCATTCTCAGCCTGGCCTGCCTCGCGGTGTTGCTGTGAGGATAAAAGGGGGAGACCCACGTACGACACCTTGAGCTCCTCGGAGGAAAGGTTGCATACAAATGTCAGAAAAGTAGAATAAATCGATCAGCTCTGCATGCGCAGCCAATAACCTGCGGGGAACCTCGCGTCCCCCACCGCCCAACATACAGGCTGGGGAGTCTTCATGCCTAGGGGCGAGGGCGCTTCTGCAGCCGGCAAGGAAGGGAACTGGAGCGGCTCTTGTGCGAAGGGGGGCAGGTCTCCCCAGCTGATGATCGGAGGGGCCGGACAAGGCAGCATCCTGAGTGCCCCCAGCCCACCCCGTCGCCCTGTGGCGCAGCAGAGCCTTGGAGTGGTGGGGGCGCCGTCCGCTCCCTCCTTCCAAGTAGGGCAGCCGCAGCCGCGCCAGTGTCAAGTTACGGGCGCGCAGGGAGCCCCGCCAGAGAACCAGCCAGCCGGCCAGCCGTCCCGTCCCGTCCCGTCTCCCGGGGAAGGGCTGCAGCGGAGCCGTCGCCCGACGGGGACCCCCGCCCCGCCTCGCCTCCCTGTTCCCGAGCAGGTACCAGCGCCTACCGTCCGACTGGCAGGGGTGGGGGCTCTGGAGCCTTGCCCGTTTTTTGCAGGATCGGGGCGGGGGTGGGGGGTGGAGACCGGATCCTGACCTCTCCGACGGCGCGGCGCAAAGCTGCGCTCTGGACGCGGGGAGGGGCGCTGCGCCGGGCCTCTCCCAGAGGAAAAACACCGGCGTCTCTGAGTGCGTGCAGAGTGCTTTTCCGTCGCAACACCCATAGCAGCGAGGGGTGGACTGCGGCGATGGGTTTTGCTGACACCCCGGAGGGATCACCCAGACGCAATGATATTTCAACGCGTGCCGCCCTTTTCCTTCTCCGCGGGGCAGACGCTGGACACGGATCCTTCTAGCAAAGGCGTGGGGAAAAGACAGACCCCCTCCCCAGAAAATCCCACAAGCCCCCTCCCCACCCCGGCCAATTTCAGGGGAATTACAGCGACTCCTGTGGGGAACCCCAGGGGTCATCCAATCCAACCCCCTGCGATGCAGGAATCTCAGCCACTAAGTAGCCACTAAGTGTGGTGTCAGGATAGGCAAGGAGGTGCTGGTGCCCCCTCTTGATTTGAATATTGGGGGCCTACTGAAGTCCACAGGAGCAGCTGGTGCCCCCCCCCCATTTCTTGCCCAGTGATGCCCCCTGGCCTGTGGTAGTTCCAGAGAGGGAAGCTGCCTTTGAGTCTCAGGTGCTGAGCATCGCACGTGGGCAGAGAAGGGCTTCTTCACTTCGAAGGGGGGGGTTGCATCTGGTTAAGAGCTTTAGAAGTGCCTGCAGGATCAGGCCCATGACGCCATCCAGTCCTGTGTCTCCCCTCCTCTGGTTTCAAACCAGAGAAGCGCTGTTGCCTCCAGCCATGGCTAGTAGCCATCCTTAGCCCTCTCCTCCTCCAGAAATTTGTCCAGTTCTCATATTTATGGGACGGTCTCTCCTGGTCTGCACCGCAGACTTAAGGTCCATGAATAATCACAGTTTAGAGGTCCTGGGCCCTAAGAAAGTCAGACTATCCTCCACCAGGGCCAGGGCCTTCTCAGTGGTGGCTCCAACCTGGTGGAATGCTCTCTCCCATGAGACCAGGGCCCTGCAGGATTTAACCTCCTTCCGCTGGGCCTGTAAGACAGAGCTATTCCACCTGGCTTTCAGTTTGAACTTAGCCTGATCTCTTATTCCCCTTCCTTCCTTCCCTCCCCCTCCCCTTTTTTATGAAGATTACCCGCTCTGGGATCCCACAGCTGATTCTCCCCTGGTCTCCTTGCTGGCCCAAAGAGGACTAATTTAGCCAGCTAGCCCTGGGGATCATCTAATGTTTACTGGATGCATTTCCCCCCTAAATTGATTTTGAATTCTGAATTTATTGTTATTCACATTTTATACTGTATTTTATGCTGTTTTTTGTTGCATCAGTTAAGTGTTTTGAATTTGTTGTTAGCCGCCCTGAGCCCGGTTTTCTGAACTGGGAAGGGAGGGGTATAAATATAAATTTATTATTATTATTATTATTATTATTATTATTATTATTAAAGCTGCCGTGGCCATCACGGCCTCCTGTGGCAGGGAGTTCCATCAGTTAACTTTGTGCTGCGTGATGAAGTCCTTTTGTCTGTCCCAAATCATCCATCTGTGTGAGATCAGGAGGCTGGGCAGCCAGGTGGTCCTGCAGCTTCAGTGGGACATGGGGGGAATTGGGGGGGGGCGTCTGGCCAGGCCTTCTGTGCTCAGGGGCAGAGACACCCCAGGAGCAAAGCGACTGCAGATGCTAGTCCTTGGGGGTCTGTCACTCGCTGCTCTTAAAGGTAAAGGGACCCCTGACCATTAGATCCAGTTGTGGCCGACTCTGGGGTTGCGGCGCTCATCTCGCTTTACTGGCCAAGGGAGCCGGCGTACAGCTTCCGGGTCATGTGGCCGTTTACCTTCCTGCCAGAGCGGTACCTATTTATCTACTTGCACTTTGACGTGCTTTTGAACTGCTAGGTTGGCAGGAGCAGGGACTGAACAACGGGAGCTCAGCCCGTCGCGGGGATTCGAACCACTGACCTTCTGATCGACAAGCCCTAGGCCCTGTGGTTTAATCCACAGCGCCACCCGCGTCTTATCCCCCTTTTAAACAAACGCAGGACTTGCCACCTGAGAAGGAGCAGCCAAGGCAGCAGTTCACCCCCCTCCAGGCCCCCCCCACTCAAAACAAACCCAGTAAGAATGATAAGAAAAAACCAAGATGATAAGGGATTCCTGCTTTGCCTTTATTGGTAAAGTACATCGTTTGATACTTTGTTGAGTCATCAGTGGATTGGATTGCTGTTGGGGAGGGTTGTCTGAGGGGCAGGCTCCACATTCCCAAAGGACCTTAGAATTTTAGAGCGGGAGGGGACCTCTGAGGGTCATCTAGTCCAACCCCCTGCAATGCCTTTTGCATCACTTTGTAAAGGCGCAGGGTGCTACTGCATGCTTCTGAACTGCACTGGTGGTACCTGAATATACAGACCAGTGGAACCAGAAGGCATTTCTTTTGTGGTCAGAGGCACATTTGTCATAGTCCAATGCTGTATTCATATTTCTGTTTACCTGCCGCTTACTGCAAAGGTATCTCAGAGCGACTTATAATGTTGTCTTTCATAGAACAGGTCAGAGTCGGTGGAGCCTGAGACTTTCAATCTCAGGGTCATGGGTTCGAGTTTGAGATTCCTGCATGGGGGTTGACCCTTGTTGGTCCCTTCCATCTCTGTATATAGATTTTGGTGGCAAATTTCATTGTGTATGCAAGCGACCAGAATTAGATGGTGAGTAAGTAAAACATTCATGATGGAAGTTTAGGGAAGCTTTTAATGTTTAACAGACCATTGTATGTTAATATTTTGTTGGAAGCCGCCCAGAGTGGCTGGGGAAACCCAGCCACATGGGCGGGGTATAAATAATAAATTATTATTATTATTATTACTTATTATTATCACTATGATTCTACGAGTATGCCTTCAGGCTATCAAATCATTTTTAAATAACAAAGGAAGCGTCCGCGTTGCACAGAGCTGCTCTTTGCATTTAGGGAGCCGTAACAAAGATAATGTTGTTTGGCCAGTTTGCTGTCTTTTCGGAACAAAGTTTGGAGGGAGACTGGGTTAGGCACCACTTTCAGAATGCAACGGGCATTCGGTGGAGAAGCCACACCGAACGCCTCCTCCGTTGGCAGGATTGCTCACTGTCGAAAGAAATGCACTTTGCACGTGCTCAGGAGAAGAACTCCCTTTCTCTCATGGCTCCTGGAGCTGATCCTTTTCTCATTTGACAGCAGCCTTCTGGGAGTGACGCACCGGAGGGAGCCTGTGGCTCATGTGCGCCTGACGCCCAGGGCAGAGGCTGAGACTTCCCTTCTTGGCCCCAGGCCAGCCCCACGTGATGGAAACAGCCTCCCTGAGCCAAGGCTGAGCTCTGTTCCCAGCAGGAGATATAAACAGCGAGTCCTGAGTGGCAGGAGCCGGTCAGAGAAGGTGGCTGGAAGGGGGGGGCTCCTGGCTCTGGACTCCCCTTCTTCTTCCCTTGCATTGCTGCTCCCAACAAGGGCTGGCAGAGAGGGAGGACGAAAATCCCCTCTCCCACCCAGTTGTACGTATTTGAAGGGTATAGGAGGCCTGTTAATGTACAGAACTCACTCCCCCAGGAGGCAGTGGTGATGGTCAGCAGCCGGGGATGGGCTCTCACAGGTGTTCCCTGTCCCTGCATTAAAGGTAAAGGTAAAGGGACCGTAAGGTCCAGTCGTGGACGACTCTGGGGTTGTGGCGCTCATCTCACTTTACTGGCCGAGGGAGCCGGCGTTTGTCCACAGACAGTTTTTCCGGGTCATGTGGCCAGCAGGACTAAGCTGCTTCTGGTGAACCAGAGCAGCACACGGAAACGCCGTTTATCTTCCCACCGGAGTGGTACCTATTTATCTACTTGCACTTTGACGTGCTTTTGAACTGCTAAGTTGGCAGGAGCAGGGACCGAGCAATGGGAGCTCACCCCGTCGCAGGGATTCGAACCACCGACCTTCCGACAAAGGGACTGATTTGGCAAGCTTGCTCTTATACATTTTCATTTTCTTCTTCTTCTTCTTCTTCTTCTTCTTCTTCTTCTTCTTCTTCTTCTTTCTTCGGCAATCACTTGTAGCCAAGTAAGGTTGTCTTCCATAAACACGGTTTTAACAGTGAGTCCACAAGTGGCTGTGGAGGCCAGTTCCGGATCCACACGTCCTTCCACAGTAGGGACGTTGGTTTCTGGACAGGAGCGGATCACAATGAGGGTTTGCCAAGCATGCCTTCCTCTTGCACGTTTCTCCCTTGTGTCCTGAGTTCGAGTGTCTTCAAAGCCCATGACACCTTTGGTAAAGGCTGTTCTCCAACTGGAGCACTCGCAGGCCAGTATTTCCCAGATGTCTGTGTTCCTACTACATTTTTAAAGATTTGCCTTGAGAGAGTCTTTCTACCCGCACAGATACAGGGTCCCAAGAATGGGGAGGGACTCAAGACAACATCTTGTCTGGCCTCCCAAACCTGCAACAATATTTCAGATCGATAGCCATTATGGTGAACACAACAGCAGGGCATGTAACCTGGTCATTTCCTGGGCAGGCAAAGGAGAGCCACTGTTTAGAAAGTCCTCCCCCTTTGCCTTTTTCCTTTCTTTCCTCAGCGGAGACGAGCTCTCTGCTTTACACAGCAGCACAGCCAGGCAGATGCGTTGGCACAGCATTGGAAAGGAAGGGAACATCAGTGCGCCTCTCACTGGAAACCGAACGCATGGTCTATCGCTGCATCAGAAAAAAATAACAAAGTGATTGCATGCGTTGAAGAATACAAGTGGTGTAGACGATTTTGTTGAAATATGGCATCCTTTTATAAAATACCGTATTTTTTGCTGCATAAGATGAACTTTTTTCTTCCTAAAAAGTTAGGGGAAATGTCTGTGCATCTTATGAAGTGAATGCATGGTCCCTGGAGCTGAATTGCCCAGGGGCGAAAAGCAGATCATGCTTCTTCTTCTTTTTTTTGAAAGAGGGAAGTGGGTGTTGAAACAAAGCCACTGATCGGCAAGCGATCGGGAGGGAGATAAGGGGCACGATAAAGGAGGCTGCCTGGGAGGGGAAGGTAAAAGCCCATGGATCCTCAGAATTTTTGCATTAGGTCACCCCAAATTCACCATCAGATCACATAGCATGTCCTGCACCAAAAAAATCTGGCATCCACTGTTTCGTGGGGCCGCAATGGCGCAAAAACGTGGTTACAAAGCACGGATCCACATGGATTCTCCAAACTCACCGTTAAATCACATGTCTGTGGCCACAGCATGAACCACCAAAATCATACATCCACTGTTTCGTTCAGAATTTTTTTTCCTTGTTTTCCTCCTCTAAAAACTAGGTGCATCTTATGGTCAGGTGCGTCTTATGGAGAGGAAAATACGGGAATGGCGACAACCAAAATCACAGATCAGATTTTGGTAAACTTAACTAGATTGATCTGTCCTGGAGGGGGGAGGGGGCGAGTTAGGATTTTGCATTCTTTTTTCTCTCTTTTGTTATATATTGGAAATCAATTTTAAAAACAACAACGTGGGGGTGCAGTGAAGGGAGAAGCTGTTGTAAACAAAAATCTGCCCTTTTCCCCTTATGGGGTACCCAAGAGCCCATATAGAGTCCTTATGTAGGTTCCCTATTAGTAGGAGAAAATAACAGAGGCCAACCAGAAAATATTGAGAAGCAAAGCAGCTAGTAAACCTGATCTTTATTGATCTGTTGCAACAGGGTCCTCACTCACCACACGCAGGAGGGAGGAGGAACCCAGAACAATGGCGCACAAGGCCTTATATAGACGTTTTAAATTCCCTGTCCTGGAGCTCAAGACCACCCCTCCATACATCATACCCACATCACAGAAAGGGCGGTCTACAACAGAAATCTGAGTGGTTTGTTTACCTCCTGTCTGCCAGGTTACCTGTTTAATGGTCACTTGATTGGATTGCCTGGGGAGTCTGGTCAGTCTTTTGTCATGACAAATACTTATTTCCTGAGCCAGGTCACAGCCTCACACACTATTCATATCTTAAATGTGCCCTTAAGACAGGATTTGTGAAGGAAAAAGACAATGGGGAGGTTTCCCACTTTGACCTTGCAGAGAAATAATTGAGGTCAATGTGTTCAGGCCTTTTTTTCTGCGGGGTTTTCAGACATGTGGTTTATCTATTTATGTACATGTTTGCTTGGTACATTTATTACATAGCTAAGACCTTAAAATTCTTATCACAAAGTTCCCCCTGGTGACTTTCTGCCTGCTCCTTGGCTGCTAGAGGCATCGCATTTCTTGCTATGAAGATGATGCCCACAGTAGACCTGTTTCTTTAAATGGAGCAGGGAGGAAGGTGCTTTGTCTGGGGATTCCATGGCAGTTGGGGGCTCAGAAGAAAGAGGCTTCCCCCTGTCCTGAGAAGACATCCACCGGTGAGCAGCTACCTTTGACCTGCATCTTGCAGGGGGAAGTGTGAAGCCCCTTCCTCTTGGATCCCGCACTCGCACCCCCGGCACTCCAAAATACCTTGCTTCTGCAGAAACCCCTTGGCTTGCCTTTGGTGCCGTGCAGTGCAAGAGGGGAGGATTTCCATCGCCAACTTTGCTGTTTTCTTCCCTCCCTTCTGGCAGGGCTGCTGTGCCTTTGACAGCTCCATGACGGGCAGGAATTCATCAGGACGGGCTTTCCCCAGCATGGAGATGCGATGAAGGAGGAAGCTAGACCTTCCGCTCTGACCCCGGCTCGCTTCAGCCTCTCTCCTGGGAGCTATTTTGGGTGGTACTTTCCGAGCAGATGCAAGCGCGCCAAACTCCTTGCTGTTTCTTAAATGGGTGCTATCCCCTTCCTTAAAATAAAATAGGAAGAAGGGCAATTTTAAAGGGCCCAGCGGGGCAAGGAGACCTCAGGAACCGCCTCTTGGCCTACAGATCTGCCCCCACACTGAGGTGTAAAGCAGGGGGCCCTGCACTGTGTACCTTGCCATAGGAAGCCCAGGGGACAGACTCATTTGCAGGGCCTTTTCTGTAGTGGCACCGTGGCTTTGCAGTGGCAGGCAGCTAAAGTGTGTTTCTTTCAATGGGCTTTGGGGGATGCACATCTGAGACTGATATACGGAGCTATGGTTTTTAGTGGTTACGTCGCTACGTTGTCCTGTTCTGATTTTCAGTGCTTTTTTCTGGGGAGACGCAGGGGTACGCATACCCCTAAACATTTTGTGAATCTAAGTTTGGCCTCATTGAGGGGCATTGTTTCAAAATGAGCAGGAAAATGAGAGTACCCCCTAAACATTTTTTTTTTAAGAAAAAAAGGACTGCCGCTTTTGATTGCATCGTTTATTTCTTGTGTTGTGAAGTGTTTTGAAATAAACACTGGGCCATGCCCCCTGTCTTCAGGCAACACCCCTCACTGACCCTCCACTTCATCATCATCATCATCATCATCATCATCATCATAAATTTTATTTATACCCCGCCCTCCTCGGCCAAAGCTGGGCTCAGGGTGGCTAACACCAGTAAAATTACAATGGAAACATAATAGGGGGAGGGGGACAGAAACAAAAAACCCAATTTAAAATACAGGCTAAAATGCAATTTAAAAAGCAGCCTCGTTTTAAAAGTAGCCCATAAATAAATCATACCCCTCCTTGATTATTTTTGCCTGGCAGGGGACTCTTATCCTGGAAGTCTGATCTACCTCTTGCTTGCCATTCTCAGGGGAGTGTGTGTGTGTGTGTGTGTGTGTGTGTGTGTGTGCTGGGGAGCAAGCCCACTTTACCTGGGTGCAATTTGCATTTTTTGCTCTGCCCACCTTGGCCCATGGCCCCGCCCACCACTGCCATGCATCCCAGAAAGTTGCCCAGACCCTTGGAGGGGGGGGTGTCTCATAACTCCGTACCCTCCAACATTTCTCCAATGAAAATAGGGACATCCTAAGGAAACAGAGCCTAGGACTTGCCAATCAGAAGGTCAGCGGTCCGAATCCCCACGACAGGGTGAGCTCCCCTTGCTCGGTCCCTGCTCCTGCCAACCTAGCAGTTCGAAAGCACGTCAAAGTGCAAGTAGATAAATACCATAGGTACCGCTCCGGCGGGAAGGTAAACGGCGTTTCCGTGCACAGCTCTGGTTTGCCAGAAGCGGCTTAGTCATGCTGGCCACATGACCTGGAAGCTGTACGCCGGCTCCCTCGGCCAATAAAGTGAGATGAGCACTGCAACCCCAGAGTCGGCCACGACTGGACCTAATGGTCAGGGGTCCCTTTACCTTTTATGTAAAAGCAGGAGGGCTTCTGTAAATCTGGGAAAACAGGGTCACTTGGAGGGTCTGCGTTGTGGGGCATATATGCTTTTATTCCTATTTCAGGGTCAGTCTTTTACAAGAACGCTCTGGGTTTTCTGGGGACGGTGGTTTTGTCTGCTTGTGGGTGCTGTTCTCAACCCCCTCCTCCCCACCCCACCCCTACGTCCAGGTGACAGCGGAGCCTTCAAGATGGCGGAAGCCCACCAGGCCGTGGCGTTCCAGTTCACGGTCACCCCGGAAGGGGTGGATTTCCAGCTGAGCCGAGAAGCCCTCAAGCAGATCTACCTGTCCGGCCTCTCCTCCTGGAAGAAGCGTTTTGCCCGCATCAAGGTGAGCAGGATTTGAGTTCGAGTGGAACAACGCGGAATCCTAGAATTGACCCGGGGCTGCCCCAGCTGCTCTGTTTCCTTCCAATGCATTGCAGGGTCTAGAGGACCTCTAGGGTCCCTTCCAACTCTACAATTTCCTCCAGAGCTTCAGAGCCCCGTTCCGTGTACCTTGGGTTTTATTTCACCTGTGCTAGCCCACAGTGCCATATCTGATAATCCCCTCCAGTGCATGGCCTTCACAGAGGCCAAAAAATATTGTCCGGCCCCCCACAAGGTCTGAGAGACAGTGGACCGGCCCCCTGCTGAAAAAGTTTGCTGACCCCTGGTATAGGACAGTATGCAGATTCAATCAATCAATCAAAGATGGATCCCCCCTCTTCCTCCTTCCTCTTCCCCGGAATCCCTGCTTCAAACCTCCCTTTTCCTGCCCCCTTGGACCTACACCCCATCACCCCCCAGGCCAAAGGATTCCTCTCCTCAATGGCCCATCTCCCCCCCCCTTAATGGCGCTTGATTGTCCAGATTGGATTCCATAAGCCAGCCTGGGAATTATCTGAATTTCTTTCTCTGGCCCTTTTCTGCACTTTAATCCATATCCTAGTTAATCAAAACCTTGGGCGTTTATTGATTTCTAGGGTTTACCCGGATCTATAACAGTATGTCAGGTCCACAGGTGGACCCCCCCTGCAACGAAAACAGCCCTTGCTTGCTCTGAGTTCGGGATGCCGGTTGTAGAGCTTTGGCAAACCTTGATCTGTTAGGAGAAGGTGCTTCCTGGGCTGTAGAAGCTCCCAAATCCTTGCTTAAATGAATGCCGGGGGGGGGGGGGAATGGGGACACCCAGGGTCATCTAGTCCAACCCCCCATAATGCAGATGGGGTTGACCCCTTGGGTTCCTTGTGCTTCCTCACCTCTGGCCTCCCTTCTGCAGGTTGCTCAGTTTTATTTTTGTTGTCATTCATTGTACGTAATATATTTAATTTCATCATCAGCTGACGAAGATCCATCTTCGAAACAGTTGATCCAATCCGCTTTTACTGTTCTGTTTGTTTGCTGATTGATATTGGATTTGTTACATTGGAGCATCCAATACAATACTTCTTGGACGTGGAAAGGCATCCTGCCTGCATCGTGGTGTTCCTCGCTAGTAACTCATTACGTTGACTACTCTTTGGTTATGGGCTGACATATACCGTATTTTTCGCTCTATAAGATGCACTTTCCCCTCCTAAAAAGTAAGGGGAAATGTGTGTGCGTCTTAGGGAGCGAATGCAGGCGCCATGGTTTCAGCAAAAGCAACACGAAGCTTCCAGAGTGCTCCGGGAGCGCTCCTGCTGCGCTCCGGCGGCTTCGCGTTGCTTTCGCTGAAGCCAGGAGAGCAAGAGGGATCGGTGCGCACTGATCCCTCTTGCTCTCCTGGCTTTGCTTTGCTGGAGAGGCGCTGCACAGCTTTCCCTCTCTGCACAGCTCCCCTTCAGCGAAGCGGGAGGAGAAATGGAAGGGACTCCACTTCTCCTGTTGCTTAGCTGAAGGGGCGCTGCGCAGAGAGGGAGAGGTGTTTTTTTCTTGTTCTCCCCCTCTAAAACTAGGTGTGTCTTATGGTCGGGTGTGTCCTATAGAGCGAAAAATACGGTATATTATTTGGAAATTGTAAACTTTGGACGACCTTCTGCTACCAATGGTAACACATCTATTACATTCATTAGCCATGTGTTGCTGCTGTATTTGAGCAGATATCTCTGTATTGCAACGCAGGGGTTTGTTTTTGTCACTCCCTTCTGACACGGCTGCTTCCCACAGAACAGCATCCTGACCGGCGTCTACCCGGGAACACCTTCCGGCTGGCTGGCAATCTTTGCGACAACCCTGGGCTCCAGCTTATTCCACGTTGACGTGTCCATGGGGCTGATCTTCAGGATCCAAAGGCACCTGCCACGCAGGTGAGTGCCCACTGCATCTCCTTCCCTCCCAAGTCTCCCCGAACCTCTCCATCCCAGGCCTGCGCTCCCTCATCTCCTGGGATATCAAAACAAGAGAGACGGGTGATGTCTGAAGAAACAGATCCTCTGGAGCAAGGACTTTTGCCTGTGCAACAGAATAATAAAAATAAAAATAATTTATTATTTATACCCTGTCCATCTGGGTTTCCCCAGCCACTCTGGGTGGTTTCCAACCGAATATTAAAAACAATACAGCGCCAGACATTATAAAGCTTCCCTAAACAGGGCTGCCTTCAGTTGTCTTTTAAAAGTAAAATAGTTCTTTATTGCCTTGACATCTGCTGGGAGGGCGTTCCACAGGGTGGGTGCCACCACCGAGAAGGCCCTCTGTCTGGTTCCCTGTAACCTCACTTCTTGCAGGGAGGGAACCGCCAGAAGACCCTCAGAGCTGGACCTCAGTGTCCGGGCTGAAAGATGGGGGTGGAGATGCTCCTTCAGGTATACAGGACCGAGGTATACAGAACTCCCTCTCATAAGCTAAACAAGCTATAGCTTAGGGCCCCCCTCTCTTGGGGCCCCAAAAAATTTTAAAGGAAAAAACACACACCTGGATGTACATTTCCAAAATATAAGATAAAAAACCAATAAAATAAAAGCTACATACAGCAACAGTGTTTTGTGTTGTGTAGGCTCCTATGATGTAAGTCATGGGCCCCACCTGCTAGCCTACTCCCTAAAATATCACTGCTTTGCTCATTTCTATATACAGTTGTACCTTGGTTCTCAAACTTAATCCGTTCCAGAAGTCTGTTCCAAAGCCAAAGCATTCCAAAACCAAGCTTAATAATTATTTCACTATTAATATACAGTGGACGTTCGGGTTGCGAACGTTATCTGTGTGGGAGGCACGTTCGCAACCAACCAGAGGCCAGGGATGATGGGAATTGTAGTCCCAAAACAGCTGGAGGGTGAAGTTTGGCTACCACTGCAAACCAATTCAAGGCTGAAGAAGGCTTAGAATCAGCTCCCTTAGAAAGCAGCCGCCATGGTAAGATGCCCTTGAAGAAACAACGTGGGGCTGGATCTACACTGATCTGTAAAAACGCTATTAAAGGCTATACAAAAAAAAAGTTACCTAGCTCTCAATGCAATTTCCCATTGCCGACGGATGGCTGCTCTGTAACGCCCTCTGGTGTCTCATTGTTGTAGTGTATTTTTAACGTTTTACCCGGCCAGTGTAGATTTGTCCTTGGGCTGCAGGAGTGAAGGAGCCAGAGGGGCGAGTTTAAAGCGTTAGTATCCTTTGCCAACCTGGTGCCCTCCAGCCAGTGGCGGATTGTGCGCTCTTACATTTCGGCAGCGCCCTGCGCGACTATAAAATTTGGCACCCCTCGCCTCTCGTGCTGCATTCTGCATCATTGTTTAGGTGCCCCCTGTAGCACAGCATCCAGTGCAGTCACAGCAAACCCTAAAACCGCCTCTGCTCCAGCTGTTTGGGGCCACACCTCCCATCACGGCCTTCACGGCCTAGGACCCTCGTACCTACGGGACCGCCTCTCCCAGTCTGCCCCACGGAGGACCTTAAGGTCCATAAATAGTAACACCCTAGAGGTCCCGGGCCCAAAGGAAGTCAGATTAGCCTCAACCAGAGGCAGGGCCTTTTCAGCACTGGCTCCGGCCGGGTGGAACGCTCTGTCTCATGAGACCAGGGCCCTGCAGGATCTGACTTCTTTCCGCAGGGCCTGTAAGACAGAGTTGTTCCACCTGGCCTTTGGCTTGGAATCCACTTGATCCCCTTCCCCTCTTTCCTCTTTCCTTTTTCCTTTCTCCTTCTGTGATGGAACTCCTACTTGGGGACTTTTTTCTGGCCCACGTAGGACCAGTCTGGATAGTTGGCCTTGGTGAAGATTTGACGTTTTCATTCCGAAAAGTTTTCGATTTGAATTTCTACTGAAATGAGGCTGCATTTTAATGTTGTATTTTAATCTTGTTTTTAAGTTGTATTTTAATCGATTGTTTTTATACCTGGTGTTAGCCGCCCCGAGCCCGGTCTTGGCTGGGGAGGGCAGGGTATAAATAAATTATTATTATTATTATTATTATTATTATTATTTGCATGGTTGGATGGTGCTGGAGCTGGTGGGAATTGTAGTTTCGCGTGCCTAGAAGAGGAGGAGGACCCCCAGGAGGAAGGGGATGCCACAGAGTCACCCAGGAGGAGTACATCCCTGGGGCTGACACCACCCCCATTATTAACCCTCTCTTCCCCCCAGCTGCAATTACTGCCTGAGTCCCCGGAGCAAACACCTCCTGGGCGTCGTCCTTTTCTCCACGGGTGCCTGGATTTCGGGGATCCTGCTCTGCCGACAGACCCTCAAGCTTCTCCTCTCCTACCACGGCTGGATGTTCGAGCCGCACGGGAAGACCAGCCGCAGCACCAAGATCTGGGCGGTGAGCGGCCATCTCGGGGGGCTGGGGGGGGGGGGGTCGGAGAATTATTCCATTGCACTATTCCAAGGGCTCCTCCCTCGCTTTTTGTTCCTCATGCACTTTAAACGGCAGAATTAGTATTTTTGTCCGAGCCGCACTTTTACTGTTTGCATGTAGATTTTTGGCGTGGCACCCTCCTTTTCTTTGTAAGCTTGTGGGAAGGCAGCATATTGAAATACCTTATTGTCACTTGTACAACTTGTATAGGGACGCGGGTGGCGCTGTGGGTTAAACCACAGAGCCTAGGACTTGCCAATCAGAAGGTTGGCGGTTCAAATCCCCGCGACGGGGTGAGCTCCCGTTGTTCGGTCCCTGCTCCTGCCAACCTAGCAGTTCGAAAGCACGTCAAAGTGCAAGTAGATAAATAGGTACTGCTCCAGCGGGAATGTAAACGGCGTTTCCATGCGCTGCTCTGGTTCGCCAGAAGCGGCTTAGTCATGCTGGCCACATGACCCAGAAGCTGTATGCCGGCTCCCTCGGCCAGTAAAGTGAGATGAGCGCCACAACCCCAGAGTCAGCCACAACTGGACCTAATGGTCAGGGGTCCCTTTACCTTTACCTTACAACTTGTATACAGTGAGATTACACGTATAAGGTAAAGGTAAAAAGGTAAAGGACCCCTGGATGGTTGAGTCCAGTCAAAGGTTGCGGAGCTCATCTGGCTTTCAGGCCGAGGGGGGCGGCGTTTGTCCGCAGACGGCTTTCCAGGTCATGTGGCCAGCATGACTAAACTGCTTCTGGCGCAATGGGATACCGTGACGGAAAGCAGAGCGCATGGAAATGCCATTTACCTTCCTGCCGGAGCGGTACCTATTTATCTACTTACGTCGCGGGGATTCGAACCACCGACCTTCTGATCGGCAAGCCCAAGAGGCTCAGTGGTTTAGACCTCAGCGCCACCCGACTGCTCCTAAAATGACCAAGTAAATTGTCCTCTGTGGGAATGCGGAGCGTTGTGGCCCGCAGGGCTGACCGGTCAAATCTGCCTCCCCTTCTCTTGGCAGGCCATGGTGAAGGTGATGTCCGGGTGCAACCCCATGCTCTACAGCTTCCAGACCTCCCTGCCCAAGCTGCCCGTGCCCTGCGTGAAGGACACCATCGAGAGGGTAAGAGGAACGGGCAAAGCACTGGGCACTCAATGCCTCGGCGGGGAATGGCAGCAGGGAAGAGGGACTGGGGGTCCGTTCCTCCAAGTCAAGACAGCTTGGGAGAGAGAGATCTTGCTTCAGCCCTGAGGCAGCTCAGACCGGCATCCTTGCTTTGCAGCCAGGCTCTGATCTGAGCCGACCACCAGCACATCTAGCCCAGAATTGCCTGCGCTGACTGGCAGAAGCTCTCGTGGAGTTTGAGGCAGGGTTCTCTCCCTGCTATACCTGATGGTGCTGAGTACTGCATGCAGGACCTTCTGCATGCAAGGCAGATAATAATAATAATAATAATAATAATAATAATAATAATAATATATTATTTATACCCCGCCCACCTGGCTGAGTTTCCCCAGCCACTCTGGGCAGCTCCCAGTCAAGTGTTAAAAAGAATACAGCATTAAATATTAAAAACTTCCCTAAACAGGGCTGCTTTCAGATGTCTTTTAAAGATAATTTAGCGGCTTATTTCCTTCACATCTGAAGGATGTTCCATAGGGTGGGCGCCAGTACTAAGAAGGCCCTCTGTCTGGTTCCCTGTAACTTGGCTTCTCACAGTGAGGGAACCGCCAGAAGGCCCTCGGAGCTGGACCTCAGTGTCCGGGCTGGATGATGGGGGTATACTGGACTGAGGCCGTTTAGGGCTTTCAAGGTCAGCACCAACACTTTGAATTGTGCTCGGAAACGTCCTGGGAGGCAATGCAGGTCTTTCAGGACCGGTGTTATGTGGTCTCAGCGGCCTCTCCCAGTCACCAGTCTAGCTGCTGCATTCTGGATTAGTTGTAGTTTCCGGGTCACCTTCAAAGGTAGCCCCACGTAGAGCGCATTGCAGGAGTCCAAGCGGGAGATAACTAGAGCATGCACCACTCTGGAGAGACAGATATTCTTCTACTGAGCATGTCCTTCCACCATACGAACCACACCATTGGTTCATGCAGCCCAGTGCAGTCTGCACAGACTGGCAGCATCCCTCCGGGATCCCAGGCAGGGAGCCTTTCCCAGCCCTGTTTTTTATTTGGTTGCTTGTTACACCTGTTCCATTTATCTGCCCCCTTTCCCTCGAGGTGGCCTGCATCGTTCTCCTCCTCCCCATTCCCTCCTCACGACAACCCTGTGAGGTAGGCCAGGCTGAGAGACGGCGACTTGGCCCTCAAGGTCACACCCAGGGAGCCTTGTGGCTGAGTGGGGATTCGAACCCTGGTCTCTGCCGGACCATATTTTGACACTCTAACCGTCATGCCACGCTGGAAGTCATAGATTCATTGTATTGGAAGGGACCCCGAGGGTCATCTAGCCCAACCCCCTGCTTGCTTGGTGTGAGACTCGAATCCACGACCCTGAGATTAAGAGTCTCATGCTCTCCCCAGTGACCTATCCTCTTAGGAATGGAACCGGGGACCTTCTTCAGGCAGAGGAGATGCCAAGACCCTTTCTAAGCTCGGATCCTGCGTCTCCTCTGTCTTGGGGCAAGGCGGCGGGGGTCCCAAGGGCGTAGGATTCCGTCCAATCCTCCCTTGCTTTCCTTCTCCTGCAGTACCTGGAATCTGTCCGCCCCCTGCTGGACGCAGACAAGTATGACGACATGGAGGCCTTAGCCTTGGACTTCCAGCTGAACGTTGCCCCCCGCCTCCAGAAATACCTCATCCTCAAGTCCTGGTGGGCCACCAACTACGTGAGTCTGCTTGCCCCACCATGGCGCACCCTCCGACCCATGTCAACGGGGGTGAGGCGCTTGAGCATCCCCCAGGGTGTGTCCACATGCATCCCTTCTGCCAGACCTCAGAGCGGCTCCTGCCTCCTCTTCTCCATCCTGGGCATCTACCCCAAATTCTTACCTGGCGTCCCACCCACCCCTCCTGCGGCTCCCTGGACAAAAGCCTCCCATAAGAGCCTGCTGGATCAAGCCACTGGACGCCTGTAGGAAGCTGGGAAGCAGAACACGAGCGCAAGGGGTGTCTCCCCTGCCCATACCCGGCTGGTGTGGCTGCCTCCGACTGTGGAGGGCAGAGCTTTGGCATCCTGGCGAGGAGCCGCCGAAAGCCCTCTCCTCCTCCGTGAATGTATACAACCCTCTTTCAAAGCCGTCGCTTCCTCCCATGGGAGTGAGTTCCATACCTGAGCTTATCCAAATCTGGACCTTAGCACAGCAGGGACTTTGAAGTTAAAGAGCCCTCTCTGGGCTCAGAGAGAGAAGATCACTTGTAACCTCTGCAAATAGTGGGTGTAGCGGTGGATATTGGTTTTGGTCTAGTAAAGACAGCTCTGCCAAACCACTGTTCTCTGTGGTGAGCTTAATTGCTTGACTGAGCTTCCGCAGCACATACGCCCAACACCACCCCAACATTTGTCTAATCCTCTTTCATAGCCACCTGGGTAGCCATCACTGCCTCCTGTGGCAGTGAGTTCCATAGTTTAACTGCATGAAGAAGGACTTTCTTTTATCCGTCCTGAATCTTCCAATGCTCAGCTCCACTGTAGGTCATCAAATACTAGTTTTATGAGAATTGGGGGGGGGGCTTTCCCCCTCCACTTTCTCTTTTTTTATTTATAAATCATTTTTATTGATTTTCCAATGAAAAACACCCAATTAATATATCCAATCATAATACTCCAATTAAAATTAAAAACTAAAAAAACACACACCAAATTATAGTCCAAATTATAATTATTAATTTTTCGGAGCTCCCCACAGGCTGGATCTCTGAAGCATATCTCCACATCTCAGTCCTGCCTCCCCTTGTCGTTTCCATATTTTCCACATCTCGATTTTGACGCTTTATTTCCCCATCCACTTTCTCAATGGCGTGCCTAATTTTTTTATAAACTTCTATCATGCCCCAATCGCTATCCTTTTCTCCAGACTGAAGTCCCGGGGGCAGAAGGGACTTTGGCAAGGGAGAAGAGGATACCTTTAAAAGAGAAATAGACAAATTCAAGGCTTGTCAGGATGCTCTGTTCTAGCTTCCGGGATAATGCTTTTGGATGGAAAGCACGGGAGGGGAGAATTGTGCTCAGATCCTGCCTGTGGGTTTCCCCATATGGCCCCTTTGAGAAGAGGATGCTGGCCCAGATGGGCCCCCTTGGGCCTGATCCTGTGGGGTCTTCCCGTGTTCCTATGTATTGCCGCTCCCTTCCTCTGCCCACCTGGCCGGGCTGTGACAGGTGTTGTTGTACTTCCGGCAGGTGAGCGACTGGTGGGAGGAGTACATCTACCTCCGAGGAAGAAGCCCCATCATGGTGAACAGCAACTACTACGTCATGGTGAGGGGGGGGGGCATGTCTCGTGGGGGAGGAGTGCTCCTGGAGGTGGGGCAGGTCTCCGTCCCACCGGCCAGAATCTGGCTACTGAGCGGGCAGAGCGCAGGAGGGCTCCAGCCCCGCCACACCCCGCTCCTTGCCCCTACTATGGGCAGATGTCCCAGTAAGGTAAAGGGACCCCTCACCGTTAGGTCCAGTTGTGGCCGACTCTGGGTTTGTGGCGCTCATCTCGCTTTATTGGCAGAGGGAGCCGGCGTACAGCTTCCGGGTCATGTGGCCAGCATGACTAAGCCGCTTCTGGTGAACCAGAGCAGCGGACGGAAACGCCGTTTACCTTCCTGCTGGAGTGGTACCTATTTATCTACTTGCACTTTGACGTGCTTTTGAACCTCCGACCCCACCCTCTTTCCTTGGGCAGGATTTCCTGTATGTGACGCCCACCCACAACCAGGCGGCCCGAGCAGCCAATGCCGTGCACTCCATCATGCTGTACCGACGACGCCTGGATCACGAGGACCTTCCACCCGTGAGTCAGGGCCAGGGAAGGGGGTTGGAGGTTGGGGTGGGGGGCTCCCGAAAGAAGGATCCGGGAATTTTTGTTGTTTAGTCGTTTAGTCGTGTCCCACTCTTCGTGACCCCCTGGACCAGAGCACGCCAGGCCCTCCTGTCTTCCACTGCCTCCCGCAGTTTGGTCAAACTCATGCTGGTAGCTTCGAGAACACTGTCCCACCATCTCGTCCTCTGTCGTCCCCTTCTCCTTGTGCCCTCCATCTTTCCCAACGTCAGGGTCTTTTCCAGGGAGTCTTCTCTTCTCATGAGGTGGCCAAAGTCTTGGGGCCTCAGCTTCACGATTTGTCCTTCCAGTGAGCACTCAGGGCTGATTTCCTTAAGAATGGAGCGGTTTGATCTTCTTGCAGTCCATGGGACTCTCAAGAGTCTCCTCCAGCACCATAATTCAAAAGCATCCATTCTTCAGCGATCAGCCTTCTTTATAGTCCAGCTCTCTCACTTCCATACATCACTATCTGGGAATTTAGGTCATCCTATTTTTGCGAATCCAATGCGCTCCCCCATTTTCAAAACCTTGAAACCCAAAAGGTATTTGCTGGTGAATGTCAGTGTGGCATCAGATCTAACACACTGTTCCGTTGAGAGTCCGTCAAGGCTGCAAACAACTGGACTGTTGTGGTGTCTGATACTCTAACCCATGGGTAGGCAAACTAAGGCTTGGGTGCCGGATTCGGTCAAATCCCCTCTAAATCTGGCCCGCAGACGGTCCGGGAATCAGCGTGTTTTTACATGAGTAGAATGTGTGCTTTTATTTAAAATGCATCTCTGGAATTCGTTCATTTCCCCCCCGAAATATAGTCCAGCCCCCCACAAGGTCTGAGGGACAGGGGACCGGCCCCCTGCTGAAAAAGTTTGCTGACCCCTGCTCCAACCACTCCACTCCACTCCCTCTGCCTGCCTGCAAGACATGCCCCTGATTCACAGGCTCTCTGGACAGAAGACAGGCCAACTCTTGCCACGCTGGAGGGTCCTGCCTGAGGATCCCAAGAGAAGTTAAAATAATTTTTATGCCACGTCATGACATTTCTCAAGGTGGAAGTTCCCTCGTATATTTATGCCCCCCCTTCTTTCCTCAAAGTTGCTCAAGGTGGGTTTCATCGTTCTCCCCATTTTATACCGCAACAACCCTTTGAGGCAGGCGACGCTGAGAGGCCACGACCAACCGATGAGTTTCATGGCCAAGGGGGGGATTTGAACCCTGGTCTCTCCCAGGTCCTAGCCCGTAGTTTTTAATATATTTTTTAAAGATGTGGTGCTAACTTTTGGCTTATGTTATTACCCTTAGCAATCTCGTCAGCAGCCGGACCGAAAACTGATTAACCCGATAAGCAGCTAACGCTCCTTCTCCCTGCCCCCAGGTGATGGCGCTGGGCTTGGTCCCCATGTGCTCTTACCAGATGGAGAGGATGTTCAACACGACCCGCATCCCTGGAGAAGAGGCAGGTGGGTGGCATTTAGGCTGGCACGAAGCAGGTGGCACGGCGGAGTGGGGGCAGGGGCCCCCTGCCGGCTCAGCGGTGTGATGCGCTGAAATTCCTCAGGCGCGGTGCAGAAAGCAGCCTTTCTCTGCCTGGCCCTCGGGACTCTCTGCGGGAGTGCCATCTTGGTCCCGCAACTGTGGGTGCCTGGGGAAGTGGGTGCCCAACCTTACTATATGCTTGTGAAACATGGACCACTTATAAACGCCATCTCCAACTCCTTGAAAGATTCCATCAACGGTGTCTCTGAAAAATTTTACACATCACTTGGGAAGACAGGCGAACTAATGCCAGTGTACTGGAAGAAGCAAAGATCACCAGTGTTGAAGCAATGATTCTTCAACATCAACTTCGCTGGACTGGTCATGTTGTGCGGATGCCTGATGATCGTCTTCCGAAGCAACTAGTCTATGCCGAACTTAAAAATGGAAAGCGTAATGCTGGTGGTCAACAAAAGAGGTTTAAAGACTCTCTCAAGGCAAATCTTTTAAAAATGTAGTATGAACACCGGCAACTGGGAAACACTGGCCTACGAGCGCCCCAGTTGGAGAACAGCCTTGACCAAAGGTGTCATGAGCTTTGAAGACACTCGAACTCAGGACGCAAGGGAGAACTGTGCTAAGAGGAAGGCACGCTTGGCAAATCCACACCGTGATCAACTCCCGCCCAGAAACCAATGTCCCCACTGTGGAAGGACGTCTGGATCCAGAACTGGCCTCCACAGTCACTTACGGACTCATTGTTAAAACCGTGGTTATGGAAGGCAACCACACCATATTTTTCGCTCCATAAGACACACCTGACCATAAGATGCACTTAGTTTTTAGAAGAGGAAAGGGGGAAAGCCCCATTTTTTGAGGATCAGCTCAAAGTTGTGCAGCTTCTTTTGCAAAGGGGGAAAAACCCCTTTTTTTGAGGATCAGCTTAAAGTTGTTGAGCTTACTTTGCAAAGGGGAAAAATCCTGTTTTTATGGGGTTCAGCTCACAGTTCTGCAGCTTCTTTAGGCAAGGAAAGGGAGCCATTTCTACAGTTTCCAGACAGATAATCTAATCAGCCAGTCCCATGGGGAAACAAACAGCCTTCATCAGCAGAACATTCAACAATGGAGGCCTGGGCAAGGGGCCGGAAAGGGAGCCAGCGACCGACCACACATTCGACCCATAAGACGCACAGACATTCCCCCTTACTTTTTAGGAGGAAAAAAGTGCGTCTTGTGGAGCGAAAAACACGGTGCTCGGCTATGAGGGACCACCAAAGAAGAAGACGAAGAAGAAGACCACTGTACTTTAAATTGTAAAACAGAAAATTTAATTTAAAAATGATATGCAACGAAGGCCTGCTTTCATCCTGGCTCTCTCTTGCCCCTAGACTACCTCCTGCACCTGTCGGATAGCAGGCACCTGGCCGTCTTCCACAAAGGCCGCTTCTACAAGCTGTGGCTCTACCAGGCGGGGAAACTGCTCTCCCCCCGCGACCTGGAGATGCAGTTCCAGCGCATCCTGGACGACCCTTCGCCCCCCCAGCCCAACGAGGTGCGGCTGGCCGCTCTCACTGCCGGGGAACGGTAAGCGCTGCGGCCGGAGGAGGGGGGCAGGGGGGGCTCTCCAGGGTCAGGTCCCCCCACCCAGTTTAGCAGGGGAGGCCCCTCCCCTCCCCCAAAAGAATTTTATTTTTTTATTTTTTCATCTTAGGGGATAAATGTTTGCATATTTTTAAAGCTTTGGGTGTAGATTTTCACATTAGGGAAACCTCTATAGGTCACCTGTCCTAAGACAAAGATTTCAAATTGAAATAGCAAGAATATAAGGTTTTTAGGAACGCGCGTGAAAAAGCGTTAAATAATGAAACCGAGATGGGGAGGGGAGGGACGTCAACCCCAACTGTGGTTTAAAAAAGTCTCCTGTAGATGTTTTGTTTTGTTTGGAAATTTAATAAATTGTTATGTTAGGTTTGGGGAGGTGCGCTTGAGCCAAATACACGTGGCTGAGGTCTCGGTTTGCAGAAGGCATGCTCAGCTTTTTAACCAGTCATCGCTATGAATCATCCTTATTATTGCATGCTCATAATTACTAATCCCTTAATATTAAAGAATTAATTATGCTGCCCTTTAGCTGAAGATCACAGGGCAGTTTTCGACAGAGAAACACAAAATGCATAAGGTTATTATTTTTAAAAAGCAATACCCCCTATTAATTCTGACCTATGGAATAATAATTATTATATAACATATTTAATAAATAAATAAATAAATAAAATTACCAATATCATTAAATGATATGTTATCTATAACATTAATAATAAGATTTGTTATTGCCATTTTAACTTTCCGAAAGTTTTAAATTGTCATTATTAGTTTTTCTTGTTTGTGTTGTTGTTTTTTTGCATTATGTTTCCTGATGGAAGCCGCCCATAGTGGCTGGGGAAGCCCAGCCAGATGGGCAGGGTATAAATAAATTATTACTATTATTACTATTATATTCCAGGGGTCCGTGGGCCGAAGCCCGGAAGAAATACTTTGGCCGAGGGAAGAACAAGGCCTCCTTGGACTGCATCGAGCGAGCCGCCTTCTTCCTGACCCTGGACGAGGACGAGCAAGGCTTCTCCCCAGACCATGAGGACAGTCTGGACCTTTACTCCAAGAGCCTCCTGCACGGGAGATGCTACGACAGGTAAGGAGTCTCTGTCTACTCACCTGCCCAGCTGGAACTCCCTTCCGAGCGCCACCGCTGTGGTCCTCACTAGGGCTGGGCGGAGTCTGATTTTCAACATCAAGATATATCTTTTTATTACTATTATTATTTTCTCTAAATTACCTTTACCTATGTACAGTGGTACCTCGGGTTACATACGCTTCAGGTTACATATGCTTCAGGTTACACACTCCACTAACCCAGAAATAGTGCTTCAGGTTAAGAACTTTGCTTCAGGATAAGAACAGAAATCGTGCTCCGGCGGCACGGCAGCAGCAGGAGGCCCCATTAGCTAAAGTGGTGCTTCAGGTTAAGAACAGTTTCAGGTTAAATCCGGAACAAATTAAATACTTAACCCGAGGTACCACTGTACACACACACACACACACACAGAGAGAGAGAGAGAGAGAGAGAGAGAGAGAGAGAGAGAGTCATACCTTGGGTTACAGATGCTTCAGGTTGCGTTTTTTCGGGTTACAGACCCACAGAAACTCGGAAGTACCGGAACAGGTTACTTCCGAGTTACGGCGGTCGCGCATGCGCAGAAGCACTAAATCGCACTTTGTGCATGCGCAGAAGCGCCGAATTGCAACCCACGTGTGTGTAGATGCAGCGCTGCGGGTTGCGAACGTCCCTCCCGTACGGATCACGTTCGCAACCCGAGAGTCCACTGTATATAGCAAAACAGTTTACATAAAACAGCACAAACGAAAGAAAAAGAACAGTATGTCAGTAACAACTGCAGACACACTAACAACAAAGCTTCTAACTCCACACACACTTTTGACCTCCGATTCACCTTACTGTGCTTTCTACATATTCTTCAGCAATGTCTAGGCAACACGATGACCATATACATACACAATAGACAATCTTTATAGAATTCCTTCAAACCATAACAAGTACAAAATGAAATCTTTAGGCTCAAAGTCTCTGAAAATCTTTAAATGAAGCAAGGTACCAGACTGTGTAGGATGAAAGACAAGCTGTGAAGCTTTGTGTATTCAGCAAAAATGATGTCCAACACGGAACAGTGATTCCAGATATTGACTACTGTTTTGTAGTCAATATCAGTGATATTTTAGGGAGCAGGCTAGCAGGCGGGGCCCATGACTTACATCATAGGAGCCTACACAATACAGAACACTGTTGCTGTATGTAGGTTTTATTTTATTGGTTTTTTATCTTATATTTTGGAAATGTACATCCAGTTTTTTTCTCCTTTAAATTTTTGGGGGGCTCCCAAGAGAGCAGGGCCCTAAGCTATAGCTTGTTTAGCTTATATGTAAATCTGGCACTGCTAGGAACGGACCAGCATTCTTAAGCAACCTACCAGACCACTGGCTGCAGAGAGATTCTGACTTCTTTTGCCAGCCAGCTCTTGAGATTTGCAGGGGGGAACTGGAAACGCTGCTTGTCTTTTCAGCCACGGCCAGTTCTGGTGATTCTCTGCCTGCAGGAGGCAGGAAGGAGTCTGGGCAGATTTAGCAAGGGAGAAGCATAGACTGCCCCCAGATTTTCCAATACCACACTTGATTCATGATAAATTGCCAGCTCTTTTTAAAACAACAACAACAGTTATGATTTTCTACAAATATCGGTTTAAAACAATATAGTGCATATGCCTAGTCCTCACTCCTGATCCATGATTACTCGCTCTTGAATTCCTTTGGGGTAGGGATGTGCAGGCGTGGCTTGGCTCGCTTCCACGAGTCGCCTGGGGCAGCCGTTGGGCACCTGGTGTGACGCTTCTGCTCCCGGTTGATTGCCCAGAGCCCATAAATGCCCCTCCCCTGACAAGCAGGGAAGAAAAGAGCTCTTTGGGCAGCCCAGCGCACACACCTGCCTGCCTGCTGCTCTGAGGGATCTCACCTGTTCCAGGTGCCAGCTGCTCAGGGGAGCGGCAGGTGCTCCCACAACTGGCTGCTGTGTTTCTTTATCTTCCTGGGCTTCCTCTGTGTTCCTAAGGCTATCGCACCTCTGCCTTCTTATAGTGCAGGGGCCAGCAACCTTTTTCGGCAGGGGGCCGGTCCACTGTCCCTCAGACCTTGTGGGGGGCTGGACTATATTTTGAGGGGGGAAAGAATGAATTCCTATGCCCCACAAATAACCCAGAGATGCATTTTAAATAAAAGGACACATTCTACTCATCTAAAAACACGCTGATTCCCAGACCGTCCGGGGGCCGGATTGAGAAGGCGATTGGGCCGCATCCGGAGGGATATTTTAATTATTTGCATCATATATTTACACCTATTATTATTTCACGTTAGGGCAAGTTTCTAGAGACTAGATTATGAGTCTTTGTAAATTGTGTTTCTAAAGGAACGTTTGTTATTGTCAAATGCCAATGTGTTTGCATTATTAAGTTTGTTATGAATAAAAAAATCATGTTAGAGCTTAATAATTATTTCACTGTTAATAGACTTCTTCTTAATTGTATTTCAGTTCAACAATCACTTTGTTAAAATACATGTTTCGTTATGTGCAAATGGCTTGAGATACCTATGAGGTCCATCAGTGACCATAGAGCATACATTCAACATAGAAAAAAACAGCTACAATTTGTTGTTGATGAAGGACAGCTGGAGATATCAAGGGCCCCATTGCCTTCAGCGGCTGAGAGTCTCATCCAGCCTCAATCCGGCCCTGCTTGTGGCTGCCTGGCTTGCCCCAGCCTTGGCCCGTTCTAACTCAAGTCGTTGTTCTCACTGCAGGTGGTTTGACAAGTCCTTCACGCTGGTGGTATATCGCAACGGCAAGCTGGGAGCCAATGCTGAACACTCGTGGGCCGACGCACCCATCATGGGGCACCTCTGGGAGGTGAGAGGCAGGCAGGGAGGAGTCCCTCCTTTTTTACTCCCCCATGCGAACAACTGTGCGAGAGGGTTGCTGCGTTGCAGCGGGTTGGGCTGGATGACCCTTGGGCGCCCCCTCCAACTGTGCAGTTCTGTGATTCTATAGCAGGCACCCCCAAACTCGGCTCTCCAGGTGTTTTCTAATAATAATAAATTTTATTTATTCCCCCCCCCTCCCTGGCCAGAGCCAGGCTCAGGGTGGCTAACACCAATAAAATCACAGTAAAAACATAATAGGGGGAAAGGGGGGGGGAGAGAAAAAAATCCCAATTTAAAATACAGGTTAAAATGCAATTTAAAATGCAGCCTCAATCAAGACCATAAGGGGAGGGAAACATAAGGGACTATGTTTTGGGACTACAACTCCCATCATCCCTAGCTAACAGGGCCAGTGGCCAGGGATGATAGGAATTGTAGTCCCAAAACATCTGGAGGACCAGGTTTGGGAGTGCCTGTTCTATAGGAACTTCTCTACCCCCCCCCCCCCCGCCCAGCTCTCATCCTTTCTGCCTTCCTCCCCAGTTCATGCTGGCCACAGATGAGTTCCAGCTGGGATACTGCAGCAGCGGGCATTGCCACGGGGTGCCCAACACAGACCTCCCCATGCCACAGCGCTTGACGTGGGACATTTCTGAGGAGGTAGGCTTTGCACTGTTGCAGGAATTTATGTATAGGTTGGGGGGGGGTTGCCCCTCCAGCAGATATCATGCACATGCAGCCCACTACCAAAAACCAGCACAATCACTTTTCTGACTTTTTTGATTTGTCTCTACAAAACACTTCATCCATGTTTCTTCCTATCTATTCAAAGGGCCTTTGCTGCACAATACCAAATGTAAGAATTCACTGATAGATGTCTCTATGTACTGGCTCACTGGGAAAACTTCAGAAATTCATATAGACATGTGAGCTCAGCTACTCAGCAGCCCCTCTGCCTGAGGGATAATCCCTGGCATCCTGATACCTGAGTGCCAGACAGGTAGCCATTCCAGAAATAACAAACCCAGATGAAGACAAAAGGGTGTGATTAACTTGGCTGGGAAACAGGGAAATGTAAATGTCTCTTTTGTTACACTTGATGGGTGTTTGGTGGAGGGCAAGGAGAACCATGGGGCAGGGTCCAGGATGCTCAGATTACGGCCACCAGACCTCCCCTTTCATGATTAACCATGATGTATTAGTGATGTCGTTTGGGGGCTGTAACATGGGGATTAAAGGTAAAGGGTAAAGGGACCCCTGACCATGAGGTCCAGTTGTGACCGACTCTGGGGTTGCGGCACTCATCTCGCTTTCTTGGCCAAGGGAGCCGGCGTACAGCTTCCAGGTCATGTGGCCAGCATAACTAAACCGCTTCTGGCTAACCAGAGCAGCGCACGGAAACGCCGTTTACCTTCCCACCAGAGCGGTACCTATTTATCTACTTGCACTTTGACGTGCTTTGGAACTGCGAGGTGGGCAGGAGCAGGGACCGAGCAACGGGAGCTCACCCCGTCGCGGGGGTTTGAACCGCCAACCTTCTGATCGGCAAGTCCTAGGCTCTGTGGTTTAACCCACAGCGCCACCTGCATCCCTTAACATGGGGATTAGCAGCTAATAAAAGTTTGGGCTCTCTTTTGTTCGGGGCTTCCATTTTGTTCCACCTGGTGGCAGGTGGGAGTCCTGTCGCTACAGTCTTCAATCAAGACCAAGCCTGCTGGCTATTGTTTTGCTCTGCTGTTCCTGATTGGTGTCCTTGTTTTTTGTCCAAGGGAGCCCTCAGATTTCTCTGTTAACAGCACCCCCATTTTTTGCCTCGGCGGAGTGCCAGACGCTGTGCGGAACATCTGCAGGGCCACACGGCCCATGCTGCTCTCTGGCTCCCGACCGAGGGGTGTTGCGCCCCCTCCTCACCCTCGAGAGCGTGGGGCAGGGTAGGGGGCTTCCCTCCAAGCTCTCACCCCCCCCGGCTTATCCTTGCAGTGCAGCCAGGCCATCGAGCTCTCGTACCGCGTGGCCAGGACCCTGGCGGACGACGTGGATTTCCACTCCTTCCGCTTCACGGAGTTTGGCAAAGGTCGCATCAAGAAGTGCCGGACCAGTCCAGACAGCTTCATCCAGATTGCCCTGCAGCTGGCGCATTTCCGGGTAAGCGCCCCCTCATCCCCCCTCCCCAATGAACGGCGGTGGGTGGGATCGGGGGCAAGGGCGTTCAGGATGCGGCGCTCACCTTTGCACAACTGGCCGCGTGCAAAAGCAGGGGTTTCTTCACGGCTGCGGCGCACAAACCAGGTGGATAAACATGAATTATTTTTTAAAATTTAAATCGAATTTTTTAAAAAAATTAATCGGATTTTTGAAATAAAATGCTTTTGGAGGAAAAACCTTTCTAAAGGTTTTCTGTTGAAGTTACATTATAGTCCAAAGGCTCTTCATCAGGAAGTAAGGATTTGTTTTAAGTTTTTCATGTGGGATAAAACTCAGTCTAAGTTGTTGTTTTTAATTGTTTAACCACATCAGTTAACAAACATGGATACATACGCTATAATGTTATTGCTTTAGTTAAATAAATTGTTTAAATTGTTATTAAGGAAATGATTGTTTTTCTCCTTCCAAGTACAGCAGAAAAGTTGTCCAAATATAAACAGTTAACTTATTAAACCTCACAATAATTATCAGTCTATGTATTTCTAACAGTATAACCAAATCAGTAATTTCTGATATAACTGTAAAAACTACTCTGAAAATTTATTATTCCAAAAGTGAAACCTTTATCTGGTTGTAAATATTATGATTATACCAGCAAGAATGAGTCTTTCTGCAAAAAAAAGAAGAAAAAAAAGATTTAAAACAAGTCTTGCTGACTAATGATTTAAATCATGATTTAAATTGTGATTTAATCGATTGATTTAAATCAAACCCTGGCACAAACTCTCTCTATCCTCCCTGCATCATGGATTATTCAGCCATGACACCTGGACTGCATGGGGTCAGACTAGATGGCCATTGGAGATCCCACCAAAGTCCACCAGTTTTGTTTGTTAAGCTAAATAGCTTTGATCTGGAAGAAATGTGCAACTGATTGCTACCGCGTTGAATCTTATTGTTGTTCTCCCTTAAGTGGGCTGTGCAAACTGCTATTCTGAATAATGCTTTTTATAGAGTCGTGTGAGGGATGAGTTTATGGAACGGAGGGGGATGGTATTCCCCCCCCCCCAAAAAATGGGGGCGGGACCACTAGCTGGGCGCCGTTTCCTGAAGTGTCAGGGTGCACAAAGCCTTGAAAAGGGGCTTAGGAGAAGATGGGGGTCTGGATGTGTTCCTTGCAAAGTTGGGGGCGTGGGGGCCAGTGCCGCATTTACGTATAAGCTAAACAAGCTATAGCTTAGGGCTCCTCTCTCTTGGGGCCCCCCAAAAAATTAAAGGAAAAAACCCCTGGATGTACATTTCCAAAATATAAGATACAAAACATATAAAATAAAACCTACATACAGCAACAGTGTTTGTGTGTTGTGTGAGCTCCTGTGATGTAAGTCATGGGCCTCGCCTGCTAGCCTGCTCCCTAAAAGATAGCTGTCAACTTTTCCCTTATCTTGTGAGGAATCCTATTCAGAATGAGGTAATTTCCCTTAAAAAAGGGGAAATGTTGACAGCTATGCCCTCAAATATCCCTGGTTTGCTCCTTTCTATATAGAGGGTGCCTGCATTCTGCATGGACTGGTTGCACGGAGACATGTGCAAATGGCTTGAGATACCTATTAGGTCCATATATTACCATATAGCATATATTCCACACAAAAAACAGTGACCATTTGTTGTTGACAAAGGACAGCTGGACATATCAAGGGCCCCATTACTTTCAGTAGCTGAGGACCTCATCAAACCGAAATCCGGCCCTGATGGGGGCAGTCAGGTTTGGCTTCCTCTCCTGACCCCCAGCCCACGTCCTCACTGCCTCTTCTTCCAGGACAAGGGTCGCTTCTGCCTCACCTACGAGGCCTCCATGACGCGGCTCTTCAGGGAAGGGAGGACGGAGACGGTTCGATCCTGCACCAGTGAGTCCACAGCCTTCGTGCGCAGCATGTCCAACGCAAAGTGCAGTGTGAGTTTCATCGTTGCGAGGGTCTCCCTGTGCCCCCTTGGCCCTCATCCTGACCCCTTCCCTCCTGCCTGTCAGAAGCCCTTTTGCGCTTTCTCTCCCTCCCACTCTCTCTCTGTTATATATTGTTATGCAGTGGTACCTTGGTTCTCAAACTTGATCCGTTCCGGACGTCCGTTCCAAAAGCAAAGCGATCCAAAATCAAGGCAACACTATTAATTTATTGTTGTTGTTGTTTATTATTATTATTATTATTATTATTATTATTATTATTACTATTATTGTGGGATATTTACAATGCAGTCAAACCAACAGCCATGTTTGCTAGGAAACAGCCAGGAAAATACAGTCTGCCTAAAAGCATCCTAAATTACTAAAAGGCTAAAACTAGCCTATCAAAGCTTCCCTTTTAAGCTGCAAAGGGATGCACTGCTGAACTCACAGGCGTGAGGAAGGAAATATAATATCTAATAAACATCTCTGCTATGCACATCCCTACAAATAATAAGCGTGAAAATATATCTGTGTGGTACTCCAGAAAAAAATAATGTTGATGTCCCCCGTTCTGGTGTCGCGAGAGAGGGAGGAAAATCCTTTTTCTTCCACCCACTTCCTCCATAATTTTCCGATTCCCCCTTGCAGCCGGCCGAGTCCCTGCGACTGTTCAAGGTGGCAGCTGAGAAGCACCAGAACATGTACCGGCTGGCCATGACGGGGTCTGGCATCGACAGGCACCTCTTCTGCCTCTACGTGGTCTCGCGCTACCTGGGGGTCGACTCGCCCTTCCTCGCCAAGGTGACGCAGCTGGGGGCTTTGGCCACCCTCCCCACCCACCTGGACTGGGCAGGTTGAGCCTCGATGCGCAGCCAGGGGCTCCCTGCGATTGGCGTCCCGCGACTCCTCGCACGTCCAGCGAAGGCTGCTGACCCAGGTGCTTTTGCAGGGGCGTGGGTGGGGGGTGGAACCACCACTCACTCTGTCCCCGCCCTGCCGCCCGTAGGTGCTGTCTGAGCCCTGGCGCCTCTCCACCAGCCAGACCCCCCAGCAGCAGATCAAAATGTTCGACATGGAAGCCAATCCGAACCACGTCTCCTCAGGAGGGGGCTTCGGCCCAGTGAGTAGGCGCTGTGTAAAAGACAGGGGGAGAATGGGAAAAGGCTTTCTGGGGACCCCAGGGTGGGTGGAGGGGAGCGGGGGGCAATGGAGGTATTTAAAAGGAAGAGCCGACGTAGCTCAAACATCTGCTTGGCATGTAGAAGGTTCCAGGTTGACTCCTTGACATTCCCAGGGAAACCTGGGTGTCCCATTTCTGGGGGACAGGGGGCAGGCAGGTGTGGGGGATTCCCTGGTCCTGAATGGGGCCCCTGAAGGACCAGGTGTGCAGCCTGGGAGTCATTCTGGACTCACAGCTGTCCATGGAGGCGCAGGTCAGTTCTGTGTCCAGGACAGCTGTCTGCCAGCTCCTCTGGTACGCAGGCTGAGACCCTACCTGCCCGCAGACTGTCTGCCACAGTGGTGCATGCTCTGGTTATCTCCCACTTGGACTCCTGCCATGCGCTCTACGTGGGCCTTTGAAGGTGACCCAGAAACTACAACTAATCCAGAATACGGCAGCTAGACTGGTGACTGGGAGTGGCCGCCGAGACCATATAACACCGGTCCTGAAAGAACTTCATTGGCTCCCAGGACGTTTCCAAGCACAATTCAAAGTGTGGGGCTGACCTTTCAAGCCCTAAACCCAGGGGTCAGCAACCAGTTTGACCAGCCCACAAGCCTCCCCCGAACCGAGCCTCCTGCTCAAGTGCTGCGCTAAACAGGAGCGGCGCGGGGACTTGCTTCCGCGGCACTGAAAACCATGCATGCACAGACACAGAAAATCGTCTCCGGCCCATGGGGGGATCTCCGGGGGACCAATCTGGCCCAGGCAAGATAAAGTTTGCTGCCCCCTGCCCTAAATGGCCTCAAAGGCCCAGTATACCCGAAGGAGAGTCTCCACTCCCATTGTTCAGCCTGGACACTGAGATCCAGTGCTGAGAGCCTTCTGGCAGTTCCCTCACTGCGAAAAGTGAGGTTGCAGGGAACCAGGCAGAGGGCCTTCTCGGTGGTGGCGCCCTCCCACCAGATCTCAAGGAAATAAAGAACTATCTGACTTTTAGAAGACACCTGAAGGCAGCCTTGTATCAGGAGGTTTTCAATGTGTGATGTTTTATTATATTTTTATGCATGTTGGAAGCAACCCAGTCAGATGGGTGGGGTACAAATAATAAATTTGTTGTTGTTGTTGATAGACCCCAGGAAGCTGGCATTGAAATGCAGGCGGACTCTGACACCTGCAGGTGCCACTAGCCCCTACTGCCCCCCTGCCTTTAGTGCACTTTCCCTCTGGTGTGGAACTGGCCACCCCACTTCTGCCGTGGGCCTCAGCGCCTCTCCCTCTTCTCCCTGCAGGTGGCTGACGACGGTTATGGCGTCTCCTACATCATTGCTGGAGAGAACCTGATCACTTTCCACGTCTCCAGCAAGTTCTCCAGCCCTGAGACGGTGAGCGTGCCTGGGGAGGGAGGGTTGGGGTCTCCTGGGGGCTATGGGGATGAAGCCCATTTGGGAAAGTGCCTTGAGCATCCCTTTGTTGGCCAGGACGGGCCCTTCTCTCCCTTTGTCATAAGAAGAGTCTGCTGGATTCGGCCAATGGCCCATTGAGTCCCGCATCCTGTTCTCATAGTGGCCACCCAAGATGCCCATGGGAAACCTTGTAAGCAGGATTCGAACACAAGAGGACTCTCCCCTCTTCTGGTTTCCAGCAGCTGGTTATTTCAGTTCCTGATTCAACTGCGGAGACAGAGCATAGCCTTACGATCCTCCATGACTTTGTCTAATCCTCTTTTAAAGCCATCCAACCTGGGGGGGGGGGCATCACTGTTTCCTGCAGCAGTGAGTTCCATAGTTAATGTGCGGCGTGAAGAAGTTCTTTTATCCATCCTGAATCTTCCAACGTTCAGCTTCGCTGGACTTCCACAAGGGAGAAAAACGTCCATCTGCCCTCTTTCTCCTTGCCAAATATAATCACATAATCCTCTATCTGTCAGCATCACCCTTGAGCCAGTGCCACCAACTGGACTCATCTACTTCAGCCCCGACTGGGCTAGGCGAGCTGGATAGCACTTCCAGAGACCACCTTCTGCACAGGAACAGGTCAAAGTGCTGTGGACTCACAGCTCAGAGTTGTGAGCACCGGATTCACTCCCACAAGAAGACAGTCGTCGCACAGCAGAGTATAGCAGAGTATAGCAGAGCATAAACGACTCAGAGAGCAGCTCTGTAGAATATCTTCTTTATTCTATCTACAACTATAATACACAACTATGTATAGAGCTAAATGGGGTCTAAATGAAAATGCTGAACTGCACTGAGTGTCTGCAGCTGTTCTTAGCAGCAACCTTATCTATACACACGATCTCTCTCTAACACTCAGTCTCTCTCTCTCTCTCTTTGATGTGAGGCTGGAGTGGAATAAGTAGAGAGCAAAAACCGCCCCTCCTCTCTGGAGAATCAGCAGAGAATATCAGCAGATTCTTGGATATGGGAGGGGTGAAATCTCCTCACTATCATGTCGCCTCTCTCTTGCTAAAGTCCCAAATGCTGCAACCTTTCCACCCGGGGGAGTATCTCCACCCCCTTGGTCATTTTGACTGCCCTTTCCCAACTCTCTCTTCTTCCCCAGGACTCCAAGCGCTTTGGGAAGAACATCCACCGGGCGATGCTGGACATTGCAGCCCTGTTTGAAACGCCACCCAAGAAAGTGGCCGACTGAGCTTGGACTGGGCTTCCGATGGCGGTGACCCCTCTGTCCTGGGCCCACTCTGACCGGAGCCACAAGGAACACACACACAGACACACACACACCCGGCCAACTGGCTGCAGAGCTGGCTCCTTCCTGGCAAGCGGAAAGCAAGAGGATGCTTCTGGGCCCCACTGCCAGCTGCTTGCCCCCCCAGCCCTCTCTGCCCGGAGGAGGCGCCCCATGGAGGGACCCCAGAGGCTGGCGGGAGACGGGCAAGAGGGTGGGGCAGGGTGTATTTATGATGTCACTCATAAAGGAGGAACACTTTTGGCTGCGGGTGCCTGGCGCTGAGCCTGTTTTCTAAGCTGCTCTGCTGTAGGTGGCTCTTAGGGAACGGGGAGGGGGGCAGAGGAAATGCAAGTTGGGCAGGGGGGTGGCAGGAGCTGGGGCGCCCCCTCAGCTTCTTTCTTGGGTGGTGTGTGCATTCCCAGGGCCCATCCCCCTCCAGCCCCAGACAAGGCACAAAGAATGGATCTTTCCCTGAAAAAATTGCAGGCTTACTCCAGGTATTGGTCAGCAGTCCTAACAACCTTGCCACACAGCTGCTGGAGAACAGGGGCACAGGAAGTCGCCTTGCTTTGGGGGCTCACCTGCGCTTCCTTTCACACCACACGATGACCATGTACATATGCAATAAACAATCTTTTATATATAGACTACATATAGAATGTATGTAAATGAAAATATACAATCCCGTGGAACAGTGCTCATGTAATAATGTGGTCCACAGCACTGGATATTTTCATTTACATACATTCATTTGAAATAAGATGGGTTTATGAAGCAATTCTATATCCTCCCATCACGCTGACAAAGAATTCTACGTCTATATCTGGAATCACTGTTCAGTGTTGGACATCATATTTGCTGAAGACACAAAGCTTCACAGCTTGTCTGTCATTGTATAAAGTCTGGTAAAGGTAAAGGGACCCCTGACCATTAGGTCCAGTTGTGACTGACTCTGGGGCTGCGGCGCTCATTTTGCTTTATTGGCCAAGGGAGCCGGCGTACAGCTTCCGGGTCATGTGGCAAGCATGACTAAGCCGCTTCTGGTGAACCAGAGCAGCGCATGGAAACACCGTTTACCTTCCCGCCGGAGGGGTACCTATTTATCTACTTGCACTTTGACGTGCTTTTGAACTTCTAGGTTGGCAGGAGCAGGGACCAAGCAACGTGAGCTCACCCCGTCGTGGGGATTCGAACCGCCGACCTTCCGATCAGCAAGTCCTAGGCTCTGTGGTTTCACCCATAGTGCCACCCGTGTCCCATAAAGTCTGGTACCTCACTTCATTTAATGATTTTCAGAGACTTTGAGACTAAAGATTTTGTTTTGGACTTGTTATGGTTTGAAGGTTTTCTAGAAAATATTGTTTATTGCATATGTACATGGTCATCATGTTGCCTACTCCAGGTATTGGTCAGCAGTCATAACCTCCTTGCCGCATAGCTGCTGGAGAACAGGGGCAGAGGACACCCCCTTGCTTTGGGAGCTCACCTGCACTTCTGTTTCCCTGGGGAAAACTTCCAAACTTTGCCGCTGAATTGGAGCAAGCAGCCATCAGGGTTTCCCCAGAGGACATTTCCTCTGATTTAGTTCCAAAGAGCTGGTTTTCCAGGGGAAAGCAGCGTGGCAAACAGGAAACCACTCGGATAGGAAAGGCAGAAAATCCCTGGGGCCAGTGCTTTCTGGGCAAGCACAACTGGACGTGTGGCAAAGCCCCTCTGTCGGACCAATGGTCTTTCTTGCTCAGTATTGTAACACAAGTCGGGTGCCAACTCTCTGCAAGACTCCAGGAGGTTCCCGGCACTGTGGTTCCTTTGGAGTCCTGAGACATGGCAGAGACTGTCATAGCTTCAAGAAATACGGTTTATTCACCCATTTGCACCTTCAGCCTGCACGGAGGGGGTCCAGATCTCACAGCACGGTCATTTCAAGAGGGGCTTGCCCCCTACATCACTGCCGCCTTAGAGTCCAAGGCATCTCTCCCAGCCAGCCTTCAGCCAGCCTGCCCAAGATGGATCCCAGTCTTTTCTCCGCCATCTCCTTCCCAGAACACCTTGCTAAACAACCTTCTATTCCACACTCAGTTACGTTGGCAACCTTCCAGACCCCCCAGACTCTATTGGCTATTGGCAATGCATCCTTGGAGCCAAATTCGCAAGGCTGGGCCCAGGTCAACAGCCTTGCTCAGGGAGAGGAGGAAGGGGCCACAGAGGGATGCCCTGGCCCTCGACTGCAGCACAGGCCCTTCCTGCTCTCGTCCACGTTGAAGCTGCCTAATGGGTCCCAGGTTCTTAGTGCCACGAAAACTCAGCTGGATCTGAAAACTTCAGAAAGAAGTGTGCATCTCTGAACCCCAAAGGAGGCTGTTTTTGAGCGTCCCTGCTGGGAGAGCTTTCTGGAGATTATTTGCAAGTCTTGGGTTCCGCTTAAGCAGCCCAGTCATACAAATGCTTACACAGGAGTAAGTTGCACTGAGCCCACCTGGGCTTCCCCAAGAGTCTTGCAGCCTCCCCCCACCCACCCAACATTTTTCTTGGCCAACACTGCCAGTCCCTTCATCTTTCCTCAAAGGATTTGCCACTGGGGGTGTGCTGAGCTTAGGTCAGATCTTAAGGAGGGCATGAAGACGGGGGTGGGATGAGGGAGCTTCTCCAAAGGAGGGGCAGGCAGGACAAGAAGCAGGTCAAGCCCAAGAACTCTGTCACACGACTGCGGATTGCCCAGCGAGGGAAATGGGGAGCAGAGGTCCTCGGGTCTTTGCACATCCACTGTGGATGCTGTGATTCTGGGCAGCTGCATCTTCTACAGGCCCCCCATTGGCTGCTGCCAGCAAGTGATGGCTTCATTTTCCATTGGCAATGCAACCCTTGGGTGGTAGGCATCAGATGCCCTGACTGCATCACCTTCATATATCTTTGTGTCTCATGAGCCAGTGTGGTGTAGTGGTTAAGAGCAGTGGACTCATAATCTGGTGAACCGGGTTCGCGTCTCCGCTCCTCCACATGCAGCTGCTGGGTGACCTTGGGCTAGTCACACTTCTCTGAAGTCTCTCAGCCCCACTCACCTCACAGAGTGTTTGTTGTGGGGAAAGGAGAATGTTAGCCGCTTTGAGACTCCTTCAGGTAGTGATAAAGCGGGATATCAAATCCAAACTCCTCCTCCTCCTCCTCCTCCTCCTCCTCCTCCTCCTCCTCCTCCTCTTCTTCTTCTTCTTCTTCTTCTTCTTCTTCTTCTTCTTCTTCTTCATGGATTTCCACAACAGTTCCCCATAAACATACCATCACCACCCCACCCTGCTAGGCTATGGAAGAAAAGATCTTCTGCCACAGTTGCAGGAGTGATTCCGGAAGGTGCCAAAGATGTTTCTGATTGAGAATGTTGCGAAAAGATACCAGGTTTCCAGAAAACCATCACCACCACCTGTACCAGCTAGAGGCCTCCCTCCTTTTGCCCGTTTTCCCAAGAGTGCCATTGTCCATACTTTTCGCTGCCCCACTAAGAGATGAGAACGACCTAATCCTTTTCAGATTTGGGACTACCTCAACTGATGCGGGTGGCGCTGTGGGCTTGCCGATCAGAAGGTCGGCAGTTCGAATCCCCGCGACAGGGTGAGCTCCTGTTGCTCGGTCCCTGCTCCTGCCAACCTAGCATTTTGAAAGAACATCAAAGTGGAAGTAGATAAATAGGTACCACTCCAGCAGGAAGGTAAACAGTGTTTCCATGCACTGCTCTGGTTCACCAGAAGCGGCTTAGTCATGCTGGCCACATGACCCGGAAGCTGTACGCCGGCTCCCTCGGCCAATAAAGCGAGATGAGTGCCGCAACCCCAGAGTCGACCACGACTGGACCTAATGGTCAGGGGTCCCTTTACCAACTGCCTTCTTGACCCTGTGCCACATTGTCTGCCCTCTGCAGCCCTGCCTCCTCACTCCTGCAAGATTTTATCTTCAGCTATGCTATCGCTTTGGACGTGCTAAGGAAAAGTCTCCCCATCCCCTGAAGGCCACACAGCAAACATGCCCAGGGAGGTTTCGGACGCTCCTCCTTCCTTGGAGGTTTTTAAGCAGAGGTTGGGTGGCCATCTGCCATGGATGCTTTGGCTGAGATTCCTGCATTGCAGGGGGTTGGACTGGATGGTTGGACTAGAGGGTAGCTTCCAAGTCTACAATGCTATGATTCTATGGGTCATTGCCTGCCGCAACCAGTCCCACTTTGTTCCCCATCAGGCTTGAACAGAGAGCAAAGCTAACCAGGCATGGTTGGCCTCTGATCTAGCCACACACACCTCGCAGCATGGCATCTTCTTGCTGCTTTGGACTACAGATCCCCTCATCTGCTGCCTCTGTGGCCATCTGACGCAGGGGCTGATGGGTATTGTAGTCCAAGCAGCTGGAGGACACCAGGGGAGAGAAGGCCGCCCCAGAGCAAGGAAGGATTAGGACCCCTAAATCGGGACTTGCTTTAGAGCAGGGGTCCGCAAACTTTTTCAGCAGAGGGCCGGTCCACTGTCCCTCAGACCTTGTGGGGGGCCAGACTATATTTTTTGGGGGAAAATGAACAAATTCCTATACCCCACAAATAACCCAGAGATGCATTTTAAATAAAAGCACACATTCTACTCATGTAAAAACACGCTGATTCCTGGACCATCCGTGGGCTGGATTGAGAAGGCGATTGGGCCGGATCCGGCCCCCGGGCCTTAGTTTGCCTACCCATGCTTTAGAGGGTCCCAATTTCCATGTATCCCCTTAAAAAAGCATCGCCCCCCACAGAAAATGAACGGAGATGGTACATTTTACATGCACAAGAGAGGTTTATTGCAGGTTCTGTGCTGCTGCCTGCCTGGGTTGGCATCCAGAGTCAGAGCAAGGGAGCTCGGGGGGGGGGCTGATTCGAGAGAGGAGAGAGGGGGAAAAGGGATGGGTAGTGGGGGTCTGTGCAGGGCTGGAGACAGGAGACCGGGGCCTCCAGGCACCCACCCAGGGCAGGGCAGGTTGTGGTCTGTGCTGAAGCTTCCAGGATTCCTGCCCACCAGGTGTGCGTGTCTACACCTTGCAGACAAAGGGGTTCCGGTCGTAGCAGGAATCGTTGTCCCACAGCATGAACCCTGGAAAAGGGGAGAGAGGGAGGAGTCAGTCCTGGGAAACCTGCCCAATATCCGAAGAGTCTGTTTTTGCAGCGGCTGACCACATGCCCCAAAAGTGTTGGTGCTGACCTTTTAAGCCCTATACGGCCTCGGCCCAGTAGACCTGAAGGAGAGTCTCCACCCCCATCATTCTGCCCGGACACTGAGGTCCAGCTCCAACAGCCTTCTGGTGGTTCCCTCACTGCGAGAAGCAAAGCTTCAGGGAACCAGGCAGAGGGCCTTCTCGGTGGTGGTGCCTGCCCTGTGGAACGCCCTCCCACCAGATGTCAAAGAGAACAACAACTACCAAACTTTTAGAAGACATCTGAAGGCAGCCCTGTTTAGGGAAGCTTTTAATGTTTAACAGACCACTGTATTTTAATACTCTGTTGGAAGCCAGCCAGATGGGTGGGGTATAAATAATAAAGTCTATTCTATTCCAAAAGGAAAACATGCAGGAGCTGAGCACCAGAGCCCTCTGTCTTCCTGTGGTTTCCAGCAACTGGGAATAGAGAATAGCCACTGTGGCCAGTAGCCATTGCTAGCCGTCGCCTCCATGAATTGGTCCTTTTTTAAAAAGGACTGGGTTGCCTCCTGTGGCAGCGAGTTCCATAGCTCTTTCCCCTCCTGTTCACCGCAGACCCTGCTACAAAGCAGAACGTTGCCACGGGAACCCACCTAACAAATGTCACACTGCCTTTATGTTTCCATTTGTGTCGCGCCCCGCTGAGTTCTCATCGCAACAGCCTGAGGCAGGGAGTTCCGCAGGTTAACAGGGCCGAGCGTGAACGATTCCTGCCGCGAGCGCTGCCTGGTGCCCAGAACAGAGCCACCCTCCTAAATCCCTCTCTCTCACACACACTTCCTCACCTGAAGACTCATCCAAGGCAGCGCAATGCTCGCCTTTCAGGGCAGGATAGCTCTTGTACTTTTCCCAGGCTGTGTAGCTCACGGGGCTCCCGTCTGCCCAAGCCCAGGTGGTGCTCTGCAAATGGGGAAGATGAGAAATGTATCTGGGAACCGGCATTTGGAACATTTAGGGGCCGAGCTTTCAGAAGAACACAGCAAGGCGCCACGTAACATTTCAAAAAAACAAATAAATAAATACAACAAATGCATAAATAAATATTGCTTGGTAGAAAGAAACTCATCTCAAAGGATTCTGTGAATAACACCCTTTTTTTAGGCGGCATCTGAAAGAAGGTCGGGATGTCAGCCTGGATAGCTCAGCTGGTTAGAGCGTGGTGCTGATAACGCCAGTGTTGCAGGTTCGATCCCCGTATAGGACAGCTGCATTGCAGGGGGTTGGGCTAGATGATCGTCAGGGTCTCTTCCAACTGTATAATGTGAGGAGTTCAGCCTACACACGAGTAGGACCCTGGCAGAGACACGTGCCTGACTGGCATGTTCTCTCCCTCCTGGTCAATCGTTCGGGAGCTTCAAAAGCTTTCTTCAGCCCGAACATCACAGCAACCGATGCCAACCGACACCGGCACACTTAGGGATCCGCAGAGTTTGTGCAACTTGCGTAACAGACCTCAGCATTTTGGCTAATCTACTTTATTTACATATAAACACACACGGAGCACTGCAACATGGCTCCCTCTCTCTCTAGCATCAGACAGAAAAGAGAAAAAGAGCAAAGGACAATAGTCCCACTTCATGGAACACAGGAACACAAACATCCTGTCTCCGTCACTTCCCACTCTGTGGAGTCAAAACATACACCGCCATGTGAAAGACAACAATCCCATGACTGCAATCACGGAGCAGGAATTCTAACATACAATGTTATGGTTCACACTGAACTTCCCCTGGCAGGGAGTTCCGCAGGGCAAAGCCTCCCACACCAAAGGCTTGGTCCCTAGTAAAGGCCGACCAAACCTCAGGGGCTGTGTGGGGAACCCCCAGAAGTGCCCTGTCAGAGGATAACTGTGTTTGGGGCTGTGGAAATTCTGCATTCAAGTGAGAGCCTCAATTCTCCCTTCCAGCAATTTCTCAGGTGCTCTGGCCTCTCCCACATGGAAACATGGATGCTGGGACGTCAACAAGCATCGCAAGCAACAGCGGCATATGGGGGCATATTCCTGCATCGCAGGGGGTTGGACTAGATGGCCTTCGGGGGACCCTTCCAAGGCTATGATTCTTTGATGGGCGATGATGCTTCTCACTCACCCTGCCAGGGATGGAGAGCCCGAACCAGACGTCGTCGTCGTCCCACCTCTGGGCCTGCTGCAGGAACCTGGCCACGGCGTTGTGCTCGTTCCTGTCCAGAAGGGAGGCCAGGTGTCCCCCCAGGCGCTGGCATTCATTCTGGTCGAGGGAGGGGGAAAGGTGAGTACAAGATATTCAGAATACTGGGTAATGTTCTGGTTGCCTTATCTCAAAAAGGAGTTGGAGAAGGTTCAGAACCAAAATTATCAATGGGGTGGGGAGACTCCCCTGTGGGGAAAGGGGGCAGAGTTTGGGACTTCTTAGCTTATAGAAATTTAATAAATACAGGGAAAAGGGCGCAGAGTTTTGGACTTTTTAGATTATAGAAATTTAATAAATACAGAGAAAAGGGTGCAGAGTTTGGGACTTTTTAGCTTATAGAAATTTAATAAATACAGAAATTTAATAAATACAGGGAAAAGGGTGCAGAGTTTGGGACTTTTTAGCTCATAGAAATTTAATAAATACAGCCGTATCTTGGAACTCAAACGCCTCGGCTCCCGAACAAATCGGCACCCGAACGATCAAAACCCAGAAGTGAGTGTTCCGGTTTTTGAACAATTTTCAGAAGCCAAACATCCGGCGTGGCTTCCACTGCTTCCGATTGGCTGCAGGAGCTTGGAGCTAGGTTGGCAGGAGCTGGGACAGAGCAACGGGAGCTCACCCCGTGGTGGGGATTCGAACCGCTGACCAGCAAGCCCAAGAGGCTCAGTGGTTTAGAGCACAGCACCACCCGCATCCCTACTCATGTTGCTAGTGGGACCCACAAAGGGGGAGGGCTCCCTCCCACCCCATTTTGGGGGGAGCCCTGTTTACGCTGCTCACCTCTGCATGCTGCCAGGACACCTCCTGGGGGAAGTAACCGTAGCATTTCCCCTGGAAAGACAGCCAGTTGTTGGGACACTGCGCAGCACGGACCCCTCCTGCGTGGGACACAGAGCGTCATCGTGAGAGATACAGAACCCCCTGGTTGCCCCCCAGCCACCCATCCTAGGAGAGAGGAGGACAGGGAGGGGCACCTCTGGGTAGCACGCCCCATTCCAATGGTGGGCACAAAGAGTCTGGGCAGCAGGCTTATTTGCTTATTTGCTATTCTTATTTTATTTTATTTATACAGTGGTACCTCGGGTTAAGTACTTACCGTATTTTTCGCCCCATAGGACGCACTTTTTCCCCTCCAAAAATGAAGGGGAACTGTGTGTGCGTCCTATGGGGCGAATGCAGGCTTTCGCTGAAGCCTGGAGAGCGAGAGGCCGGTGCGCACCGACCCTCTCGCTCTCCTGGCTTCGCGCAGCTCTCTGCAAGGCGCAGGAGCCCGGCGCTGGACTCCCATGGCTTGCGGAGAGTTGCCTGTTCTGGGGGCTGGGGTCGGGGTAAGCTCGGGCTTCCCCCGCCCCAGCCCCGTGCCTGGGGGGGGAAATATTTTTTGCCCCCTTTATTTCCCCCCCAAAAAACTAGGTGCGCCTTATGGGATGGTGCATCCTATAGGGCGAAAAATGCGGTAATTCGTTCCGGAAGTCCGTTCTTAACCTGAAACTGTTCTTAACCTGAAGCACTACTTTAGCTAATGGGGCCTCCCACTGCCACCAGAGCACGATTTCTGTTCTCACCCTGAAGCAAAATTCTTAACCCGAGGTACTATTTCTGGGTTAACGGAGTCTGCAACCTGAAGCGTCTGTAACCCGAGGTACCACTGTATGCCGATCTTGTCAGTGTTTGTTAAAAAAAAAAGTTCTGACCTCCCTTTGTCACCTCAGCCTGGTCCTCGGACCCTTGTCGGCATAAAAGAGTCCACGAGAAAAGTATCATTGCGGAGTGCTTTCTGCTTTTATTCTTAAAAGTCTTTCTGCCAAAGCGACTGACCAACTATACACACATCACCACTACCAGCTTTCACTAAGCAACCAACCAACCCAACAACAAATTGACATTTCTCACTCTATATATACAACCCGGTGCAGATCTCCAGATCGAGACTTGAGGTGGACAAATTAGAATGATACAGTCAAAAAGCTAGGACCAAAACTCCCAGGCAACTCTGATTCTCCCTCCTTAGGGAAACCAGACTGGCTCCCTCCTTGTTGCCCCTCCTTGTCGCTGGCAAAGGCTTTCTTGCCCCAAGAGGCTTTTGGGAACGGACTGCTTTTAAGGAAAGCGCAGCTGCTGTGTTGCTTTTATTGCAATGATCTGTATGTTTGGCTAGATCTCTCTCTCTCTCTCTTACACACCAGTATACACATATATACTATCAAAATTTAATTGCTTTTTAAAAAATTATTGTTCTCCCCTCCCCAAGGGGGTTTTAGCTGTGTTTATTTTTATCTGTAAGCTGCCTTGTGTCCCTGTTAGGGGAAAAGGCAGGGTATAAATTCAACCTCATCACCACCACCACCACCATCAGTGCTTTTTTCTGGGGATACACAGGGCTACGCAAACCCCTAAACATGTTGTGAATCTTTGTACTTTTGTCCATTTATTTTCCCCGATTTGAACTATAAAAGGGTGATTTTCTTGCGTCAAAATGAGAGTACCCCTCAACACTTTTTAAAGAAAAAGCAGGAATAATAATAATAATAATAATAATAATAAGAATAATAATAATAGGCACTGGACCAGGATGATCCCCTTAAAATCTTCAGGGGACCCATTGGGGTCTCGGGAGAACTCACCACTCATGAAGGGTCCAACTACTAAGCATCCCAGGAGCCCGAGGCTGAAATAGGAAACCAGACCCATCTTCTTGCTTCTTCTTCAGCTCTGGGAAGGCAGAGAGAGAGGAAGAGGAATCAGGAGAAGAGAGGAGGACTCTGTGGTCCTTGCCCATTCAGTGCCAGAAGCAGAAATGTTTGCAGACAACCTTGCCATCCCTGAACTGACTGCTTGGGGTGGCCAGTGCTGTTTGTTTCTTTTGAAATAATAAAAAAATAAGGTCTTATATATACAGTGGTACCTCTGGTTACGTACTTAATTCGTTCCGGAGGTCCGTTCTTAACCTGAAACTGTTCTTAACCTGAAGCACCACTTTAGCTAATGGGGCCTCCTGCTGCTGCCGGAGCACGATTTCTGTTCTCATCCTGAAGCAAAGTTCTTAACCTGAGGTAATATTTCTGGGTTAGCGGAGTCTGTAACCTGAAGCGTATGTAACCTGAGGTACCACTGTATAATAAATGTTCATAAATGTACCAATGTCTGGAGCAGCACAGGAAGACCTTTCTGAATCCATTTTGACTCCCTGAAACCATTTTGACTCCTAAACTGACCAAATGTTTTCTCTGCAAGGAGGGAGGGGGTGAGGGAACCTTCCCATTGTCTCAGGAATTGGGAAATCACCATCTCAAAGGAATGGCCAGACTACCAGGAAAGGCAATCAGATAAGGCACTATCAGAAAACCTGCCAGACAGGAAAAACAACAACACTCAAATTTCTGTTGTAGACCACATTTCTGTGATGTAGGTATGATGTATCTGGGGGGTGGTCTTGAGCTCCAGGGCAGGAAATTTAAAATGTCTACATAGGGGCGGGCACACCTTGGTTTGGGGTCCTCCTCAGGGGAGCACCCTGTTGCAACAGTCAATAAAGATCAGGCTTACTAGCTGCTTTGCTTCTCAATATTCTCTGGTTGGCCTCTGCTATTTTCTCCGACCGATGGAGAACCTACAAAGGACTCTATAAGGGCTCTTGTGTCCCCCATAAGGGAAGAAGGGCAGATTTTTTGCTTATTACACTTTGTAAGCATTTGTATTTGTTCTGCAAGGGACAATGACAATAAAGATATCTTAAATCGTAAATTAAATCGTATGCCTCTGAGTACTTCAATAGTATCTTGGCAGCCGGGCCAGCCCTTGTCAGGGATTCTCTTGCTGCAATTCCAAGGGGTTGGACTAGATGTCCCCTGGGGGTCCCTGCCAACACTACGATTCTATGGTTTCATCCAGACTTGCTCTTGCTCCACCTCTTTCCCCTGCCTGACGAAACCTGATATTTACCGTTGAATCAGAGCAAACATCTACGGGGTTTTTCTCTGAACTGACATTTGCTCTGATTTATCCCTACAGAAGAGACGCAGGTGGCGCTGTGGGTTAAACCACAGAGCCTAGGACTTGCCAATCAGAAGGTTGGCGGTTCTGAATCCCTGTGATGGGGTGAGCTCCGTTGCTCGGTCCCTGCTCTTGCCAACCTAGCAGTTTGAAAGCACGTCAAAGTGCAAGTAGATAAATAGGTACCGCTCCGGCGGGAAGGCAAACGGCGTTTCCTTGCGCTGCTCTGGTTCTCCAGAAGCAGCTCAGTCATGCTGGCCACATGACCCAGAAGCTGTACACTGGCTCCCTCGGCCAATAAAGCGAGATGAGCGCCGCAACCCCAGAGTCAGTCACGACTGGACCTAATGGTCAGGGGTCCCTTTACCTTTACCTATCCCTAAAGAATAGGTTTTCCAGGGGGAAGCAGCGGGGACAGGGCAAAGCCATTGTGCTTTCTAGGTGCTGCTGTTCTGCTGAGCACCTACTTGCAAGGTGCCAACAACTGGTCTAGCAAACACAGAGTTTCCCTTCTGTGCATAGCTGTCAACCTCCCCCTTTTTTGCGGGAAATTCCCTTATTCCAGTGCCGTTTCCCACTGCTTCCCTCTGCTATCCCAGATTGTTAGATATCCCGTAGACTGTCCCTGGGACAGGTGAGGCTGCTGATCCCTTAATTTTGAGGCTGCTGATCCCTTATTTTCAAATCTGAAAGTTGACAGCTATGCTTCTGTGTGAGCTCTTTGGCTCGGCGTTGGGTGCCAGATTTGCTCAAAGGGGCTAGCAAATCTCCAGCTAAAGGGCTATGATTTTTTCAAAAAAAGGAATAAAAATATTAATCCTCTGCCAAACATCAGTTGGCTAAACCCACCGATCAAACAAGGAGAGCTTGCTGCTTTCTAGCATAAAGGGGGAAAGGAAGAGGAAGCGGGTGAGACTCACCTGTCCGTCTTTTCCCAAAGGGAGGCGATTGCAGGTCAGCCGATGGAGGCGATGGGTGGCTTCTGCTGCCTTTATACCCCTCCATCTGGGGAGATCCGGCTCTCTGCAGGACATGTGGCAGATGTAACCCAAAAGCCCCCACCCCGCCCAAAGCAAACAAGAGATTAGAGAGATTCAGCAAACCGGACAGACAGGGATGGCCCTCTTATCAGAGAGATCAAAGGCAGGAGCTGGAGATGAAAGGAGGCGATGGGAGATTCTCTATGTCTGCGTTGTCACTGCAGTCTGACACCCCTCCTTTTTTTTCCTCTTGGGCCCAGCAGCTGGCAGCACAAAAAAGGACTATTCTGTTTTTTAAAAATAAATAAAAGGAACAGTGCAAAGTTAAAACATGTCCAGGGACATTCATGACATGCAGAAACTTCTTCTTTTTTAAAAAAAATATAATATTTTTTATTGAATGATTTTATATTACAAAAAACATTACAACCGTACTACCACAAAATACAGCTGAGAAATAAAAATCACATACATCAATATTTTGTTTGTTGTTTGTTATTTACCGTCTTATTTCCTCCCAAACATCCCATACAAGACACACACACAAAAAGAACAATAATGATAATAATGAAAATAAATATTTTATCTTACAAAATCTTTTCTTCAATTTTGACTTCCTGTCAAGTCCCTTTGCATATGTTTTATCTTACAATTGAGTGTACACAAAACAAGAAACCTTTCTATATAAATTTTCCAATATATTCAGAAAACATAATAAATCCTTAATTGTTATCCACCTCCTTTTACTTCCTTTGTCACTCGAACGCTAGCACGGAGTCAAAACTATTATTGTATTTTTGAACATATCTTCCATAACCATCCCATTTTTCTGCAAATTTTTGCTTTGAGTTTCCTCTGAGTTTGCTAGTCAATTGAGCCATCTCCACAAATTCCTGTAATTTAATTTGCTGATCTGTTATTTTTGGAGCCTCCTGATCTTTCCATCCCTTGGCCACGAGTATTTGAGCCACTGCAGTTGCATGCGAGAATAACTCACTTGAATTTTTTGGGATCTCTTTGTCTAAAATACTTAATAGAAATGCCTCCGTTTTTTTAATAAAGGTTATCCCCATCATCTTTTTTAATTCATCGTATATTTCCCCCCAACACATCTTAACCTTTTTACACGTCCACCACATGTGGATCATGTCACCATTATTTCCTCCACATCTCCAATAATAATAATAATAATATAATAATAATAATAATTTATTATTTATACCCCGCCCATCTGGCTGGGCTTCCCCAGCCACTCTGGGCGGCTTCCAAAAAAAATATTAAAATACTGTACTACATCAAACATTAAAAGCCTCCCTAAACAGGGCCGCCTTCAGATGTCTTCTAAAAGTTTGGTAGTTGTTTTTCTCTTTGACATCTGGTGGGAGGGCATTCCACAGGGTGGGTGCCACCACCAAGAAGGCCCTCTGCCTGGTTCCCTGTAACTTGGCTTCTCGCAGTGAGGGAACCGCCAGAAGGCCCTCGGAACTGGACCTCAGTGTCCGGGCAGAACGATGGGGGTGGAGACGCTCCTTCAGATATACTTCAGATATACAAGCATTCGCCAAATTCTTATACATTCTTGATAATCTGGAAGGAGGGAGGTACTGACATGCAGAAACTTCTCAATGGAAGCAGACAGGTTTTGCGGAACAGCAAACAGCAGGGGGGAGGCCGCGGAGGTGTAGTGGTTAGAGCGTCGGACTGAGATCTGGGTTCAAATGCCGCCTCCACCATGAAGCTCCCTTGGTGACCATGGGAATGGAGATGCTTCCTTTCTTCATCTAACGTACCTCATAGGGTTGTTGTGGGGATTAAATGAGGAAGGGAAGAGCCATGGGTTCCACCTTGAGCTGCTTGGGGGGAAAGATGGGGTGTAAATGCATTAATAAAATAAAATCATCTCCATCTATCATCACCATTGCCACCATTATTCTTATTTAAATTTATCAGTTGCTTTTTTATTTTACAAAAGCATCTCCAAGTGGCTAACACCATCAGATAACCCAGCGATTTCTTTTTATTATTTTAAACCTTATTGAAAATTTTAGGAAAACTTTGCCCAAAAGTGGAAAGAAGAAGAAGTCCCAGAGAAAGAAGAATGGATACAAAAACTTATCGGATATGCAGAAATGGCAAAACTTTCCGAAAAAGTAAGAAATCAAGATAACAAACATATCTATAAAAGAAGGGAAATGGTTTGTTGAATATTTACAAATAAACTGTAAACAGATAAGAACATTGGCAGGGTTATTGAATAACCTGCAGTTTTATAAGAGTATGTATTTAAAGAAGATGAATAAATGAGCAAATTAAGTTAACTTGGAATATGCAGAAAATATAAAAAAATAATTTCAGGAACGGCAGAAAGAGGGGGAAGGAAGTCGAGTTTTGAAATGTTAAAATGAGTGTAAAATTATTGAAATGTATAAAACTGGAAATCATAAATAAAATAATAATAATTAAAAAGGATTTTTTCAGAACCGATTGCCAAACACAAAGTGTGGTCTTCCAAGGCTTCAAAGGAGACTTTCCTTTTAAAAGCCACAAGCTATCATGGAAAGTTCCTATATCTCGTGATTGTGGGCATTCAATGGCCGATCAGGGGAGAAGACTAGAGGCGCTGTGTGGAAGCATAGAAGGCAGAGCATGGATTAGTTGTAGTTTCCAGGTCACCTTGAAAGGTAGCCCCACGGAAAGTGCATTGCAGTAGTCCGATCCAGCACAGAGCAAGCAGGTTTCCGTGTCTCCAGCTTCCAGCCTGGTTCCAGCTCAGCTCTCACACCCCAACTTTTGCTGTTGTTCTGCTATCTAGCAGCTGGTTGAGTGGGGGGGGGGTGAAGGAAAGCCTGGAAGGCCCCCTCACTTAGATGTAGCTCTTGAAAACTGGCACATTTCTCCGGGATGCTGAGGAGGACACTCCAGTGGTCACCTAAAGTCATTGTCCAACACAGAAACTTGTGTGACTAGCAACTGAATCCTGTATTCGATTCTAACCCTTACTGAGCACAGGACCCCAAGTACTGGAAGGAACTCCCGGCATCATCCAGACTGACCCCCCCTGCCAAACCCACAACAATAAGAACACAAGGAAGAAGCTGGCTGCTGGATCAGGCCGGAGGGGGACCCATCAAACAACAACAACAACAACAACTTAGTTATACCCCACCCATCTGGCTGGGTTTCCCCAGCCACTCTTGGCAGCTTCCAACAAAATATTAAAATACAATAATGCATCAAACATTAAAAGCTTCCCTAAACAGGGCTGCCTTCAGATGTCTTCTAAAAGTCAGATATTGGTTTATTTCCTTGACATCTGATGGGAGGGCGTTCCACAGGGCGGGCGCCACCACCGAGAAGGCCCTCTGCCTGGTTCCCTGTAACTTGGCTTCTCTCAGTGATGGAACTGCCAGAAGGCCCTCAGAGCTGGACCTCAGTGTCCAGGCAGAACGATGGGGGTGGAGACGCTCCTTCAGATATCCAGCATCTTGTTCTTACAGTGCCAAGGGAGAGCCCACAAACACGACCTGAGCATAGCAGTGGCACTTTTCCCTTCTAGGATTCCTGGCAACCGGTAATCAGAGGCTTCTTGCCTCCAGCTGGGTAAGGAGAACATAGCCATTGTGTCTAGTAGCCACCGATAGCCTTATTCACCCTCTTGAATTTGTCTTATGCTTTGCTATTTTGTTTTAGATTAAGCCCCTTGTTTGGCTACCGAAATATTGTTCACCTGCTTGTCTAGTTGGTTATATGTTTTACCATTTAAGGGTTGTCACACCAAGGTTCACTTGGGAGGAGGAAGGGCAGGTTCTGAACTTAATAGATCAGCAATGTTGTGTCACCACGCTCATTTTCTTCCATTAATATTTCTCTGCTTCTGTAAACTGTTGATCTTCGTGCAAACTTTTGAAGTTGGCAGTGGCCCTGCCTGTCATTTATTCTGGTTCACAGAATAAAATCAAAATACAAAACCACGAAATACATAAACACAACAACCCAATAGCACCCCCTCCCCCCAAAAAAACACATTCTAAGAGGGCATAGGATGTAAATCAAATCAACCAAAGGCCTGGTTAAAAAGGAACGTTTTTGCCTGGTGCCTAAATGAAGGCACCAGGCGAACTTCCCTGGGGAGAGCATTCCACAGATGGGGAGCCACTACAGAGAAGGCCCCGTTCTCGTGTTGCCACCCTCTGAACCTCTCGAGGAGAAGGCACACGAAGGAGGGCCTCAGAAGATGATCTCAGGGTCCGGGTAGGCTCATATGGAAAGAGGCGGTCCTTGAGGTATTGTCATTTGCCTTGAGATATTGAAGATTGACATTGGGGTGTCGGCAGAAGCACCTGTAAACTTGGCCACACCTTACGGTCTTGTTTTGCTTTTGATTTCCAAGTAACAATTTCCTAGAATCACAGAATCATACTTGGAAGGGACCCCAAGGGCCATCTAGTCCAACCCCCTGCAATGCAGAAATCTCAGCTAAAGCATCCGTTTGGTGGGAAGTCAGTTGGGCTGGGTGCCTGGGCCTGAAGGGGACCTGGGGTAACCCAACAGACATTCAACACACAACACAAAGATGTCAGAAGAGGAAGAGGAGCCCCGTGCCCTCTCCCCAGCCATGTCTGCGTTGGATGAAATTTCCAGAATGTTTGCTGGCTTTAGGATCAAAGGAGATTCCTCTTCTGAGCATCTGTTCTCTGCTGCTTTTATGAGGTTGTTTTTAAGCAGGCGGCTGATACGGTGGTGCCGTTCTGGGTCTGCTAATATCATGTTTTCATGACTGCACTGTGTGGACTCTTGTTTTGATGTGCTGGCTAACTTTAAGGCTTTGGGAATGCTTCAGAGTTCCAGACTGTGTTTTGTATTTTGCCATGCAGGAGATTATCCCCAAATGCAGGATAAAAAGCTATGAAGTGAAGAAATAACATGCATTATTAGCTGAGTCACTCGCCTGCAGCTTAAGGTCATCGTCAATTAAAAGGGCAGATGATATCGCTCCCTAGCCATAGAAGGATCTCCAAGATGGTTTACTCATAAAATGTTTTATTATGTTTTTATATGTGTTATAAGG